TCTATGTTGGAGGGTACAGATCACGGATTCAGTCGGAGGCTATCCTCCACCGATAATGAAGTCTATTGATCCTATCCTCCACCGATGATTAAATCCATTAAGCACCGAATTGTGCCAATTGATTTTGGGATGGCATTTTCGTAAATATTTGGGCTCGATTTTTCGAAATGCCATTTTCCTTTGATTTTGAAGGCAACGGATCACGGATTCGGCCTGAGGCTATTCTTCGACGATGATTAAGTCCATTAAACACGGATATGGGCGGATTTCTTCCGGGTCCATTTTTGGCAGATTCCAAAGGGGTACCATCACAGATTTCGGGCTATTTTTTCTGAAATGTCATTTTCTTTCTATTTTGGAGGGTACAGATCACAGATTCAATCGGAGGCTATCCTCCACCGATAATGAAGTCTATTGATCCTATCTACCACCGATGATTAAATCCATTAAGCACCGAATTGTGCCAATTGATTTTGGGATGGCATTTTCATAAATATTTGGGCTCAATTTTTCGAAAGGCCATTTTCCTTAGATTTTGAAGGCTATGGATCACGGATTCGGCCTGAGGCTATTCTTCAACGATGATTAAGCCCATTAAACGCGGATTTGGTCGGATTTCTTCCGGGTCCATTTTTGGCAGATTCCAAAGGGGTACCATCACAGATTTCGGGCGATTTTTTCTGAAATGTCATTTTCTTTCTATTTTGGAGGGTACAGATCACGAATTCAGCCGGAGGCTATCCTCCACCGATAATGAGGTCTATTGATCCTATCCTCCACCGATGATTAAATCCATTAAGCACCGAATTGTGCCAATTGATTTTGGAATGGCATTTTCGTAAATATTTGGGCTCGATTTTTCGAAAGGCCATATTCCTTAGATTTTGAAGGCTATGGATCACGGATTCGGCCTAGGCTATTCTTCAACGATGATTAAGTCCATTAAACGCGGATTTTGTCGGATTTCTTCCGGGTCCATTTTTGGCAGATTCCAAAGGGGTACCATCACAGATTTCGGGCGATTTTTTCTGAAATGTCATTTTCTTTCTATTTTGGAGGGTACAGATCACGGATTCAGTCGGAGGCTATCCTCCACTGATAATGAAGTCTATTGATCCCATCCTCCACCGATGATTAAGTACATTAAGCACCGAATTGGGCCAATTGATTTCGGGATGGCATTTTCGTAAATATTTGGGCTAGATTTTTCGAAAGGCCATTTTCCTTGGATTTTGAAGGCTACGGATCACGGATTCGCCCTGAGGCTATTCTTCGAAGATGATTAAGTCCATTAAACACGGATTTGGGCGGATTTCTTCCGGGTCCATTTTTGGCAGATTCCAAAGGGGTACCATCACATATTTCGGGCGATTTTTTCCGAAATGTCATTTTCTTTCGATTTTGGAGGGTACAGATCACAGATTCAGCCGGATGCTATCCTCCACGGTAATGAGGTCTATTGATCCTATTCTCCACCGATGATTAAGTCCATTAAGCACGAAATTGGGCCAATTGATTTCGGGATGGCATTTTCGTAAATATTTGGGCTAGATTTTTCAAAAGGCCATTTTCCTTGGATTTTGAAGGCTACGTATCACTGATTCGGCCTGAGGCTATTCTTCGACGATGATTAAGTCCATTAAACACGTATTTGGGCGGATTTCTTCCGGGTCCATTTTTGGCAGATTCCAAAGGGGTACCATCACAGATTTCGGGCGATTTTTTCCGAAATGTAATTTTCTTTCGATTTTGGAGGGTACAGATCACCGATTCAGCCGGAGGCTATCCTCCACCGTTAATGAGGTCTATTGATCCTATTCTCCACCGATGATTAAGTCCATTAAGCACCGAATTGGGCCAATTTATTTCGGGATGGCATTTTCGTAAAATTTTGGGCTAGATTTTTCGAAAGGCCATTTTCTCTGGATTTTGAAGGTTACGGATCACGGATTCGGCTTGAGGCTATTCTTCAACGATGATTAAGTCCATTAAACACGGATTTGGGCGGATTTCTTCCGGGTCCATTTTTGGCAGATTCCAAAGGGGTACCATCACAGATTTCGGGCTATTTTTTCTGAAATGTCATTTTCTTTCGATTTTGGAGGGTGCCAGATCACGGATTCAGCCGGAGGCTATCCTCCACCGATAATGAGGTCTATTGATCCTATTCTCCACCGATGATTAAGTCCATTAAGCACCGAATTGGGCCAATTGATTTCGGGATGACATTTTCGTAAATATTTGGGCTAGATTTTTCGAAAGGCCATTTTCCTTGGATTTTGAAGGCTACGGATCACGGATTCGCCCTGAGGCTATTCTTCAACGATGATTAAGTCCATTAAACACGGATTTGTGCGGATTTCTTCCGGGTCCATTTTTGGTAGATTCCAAAGGGGTACCATCACAAATTTCGAGCGGTTTTTTTCCGAAATGTCATTTTCTTTCGATTTTGGAGAGTACAGATCACGGATTCAGCCGGAGGCTATCCTCCACCGATAATGAGGTCTACTTATCCTATTCTCCACCGATGATTAAGTCCATTAAGCACCGAATTGGGCCAATTGATTTCGGGATGGCATTTTCGTAAATATTTGGGCTAGTTTTTTCGAAAGGCCATTTTCCTTGGATTTTGAAGGCTACGGATCACGGATTCGGCCTGAGGCTATTCTTCGACGATGATTAAGTCCATTAAACAAGAATTTGGGCGGATTTCTTCCGGGTCCATTTTTGGCAGATTCCAAACGGGTACCATCATAGATTTCGGTCGATTTTTTCCGAAATGTCATTGTCTTGCGATTTTGGAGGGTACAGATCACGGATTCAGCCGGAGGCTATCCTCCACCGTTAATGAGGTCTATTGATCCTATTCTCCACCGATGATTAAGTCCATTAAGCACCGAATTGGGCCAATTTATTTCGGGATGGCATTTTCGTAAAATTTTGGGCTAGATTTTTCGAAAGGCCATTTTCCTTGGATTTTGAAGGTTAAGGATCACGGATTCGGCCTAAGGCTATTCTTCAACGATGATTAAGTCCATTAAACACGGATTTGGGCGGATTTCTTCCGGGTCCATTTTTGGCAGATTCCAAAGGGGTACCACCACAGATTTCGGGCGATTTTTTTTCCGAAATGTCATTTTCTTTCGATTTTGGAGGGTACAGATCACGGATTCAGCCGGAGGCTATCCTCCACCGATAATGAGGTCTATTGATCCTATTCTCCACCGATGATTAAGTCCATTAAGCACCGAATTGGGCCAATTGATTTCGGGATGGCATTTTCGTAAATATTTGGGCTAGATTTTTCGAAAGGCCATTTTCCTTGGATTTTGAAGGCTACGGATCACGGATTCGGCCTATGGCTATTCTTCGATGATGATTAAATCCATTAAACACGGATTTGGGCGGATTTCTTCAGGGTCCATTTTTGGCAGATTTCAATGGGGGTACCATCACAGATTTCGGGCGATTTTTTCTGAAATGTCATTTTCTTTCTATTTTGAAGGGTATAGATCACGAATTTAGCCGGAGGCTATCCTCCACTGATAATGAGGTCTATTGATCCTATTCTCCACCGATGATTAAGTCCATTAAGCACCGAATTGGGCCAATTGATTTCGGGATGACATTTTCGTAAATATTTGGCTAGATTTTTCGAAGGACCATTTTCCTTGGATTTTGAAGGCTACGGATCACGGATTCGGCCTGAGGCTATTCTTCGACGATGATTAAGTCCATTAAACACGGATTTGGGCGGATTTCTTCCGGGTCCATTTTTGGCAGATTCCAAAGGGGTACCATCAAAGATTTCGGGCGATTTTTTCAGAAATGTCATTTTCTTTCGATTTTGGAGGGTACAGATCACGGATTCAGCCGGAGGCTATCCTCCACCGTTAATGAGGTCTATTGATCCTATTCTCCACCGATGATTAAGTCCATTAAGCACCGAATTGGACCAATTTATTTCGGGATGGCATTTTCCTAAAATTTTGGGCTAGATTTTTCGAAAGCCCATTTTCCTTGGATTTTGAAGGCTACGGATCACGGATTCGGCCTGAGGCTATTCTTCAACGATGATTAAGTCCATTAAACACGGATTTGGGCGGATTTCTTCCGGGTCCATTTTTGGCAGATTCCAAAGGGGTACCATCACAGATTTCGGGCTATTTTTTCTTAAATGTCATTTTCTTTCTATTTTGGAGGGTACAGATCACAGATTCAATCGGAGGCTATCCTCCACAGATAATGAAGTCTATTGATCCTATCCTCCACCGATGATTAAATCCATTAAGCACCGAATTGTGCCAATTGATTTTGGGATGCCATTTTCGTAAATATTTGGGCTAGATTTTTCGAAAAGCCATTTTCCTTGGATTTTGAAGGCTACGGATCACGGATTCGGCCTGAGGCTATTGTTCGACGATGATTAAGTCCATTAAACACGGATTTGGGCGGATTTCTTCCGGGTCCATTTTTGGCAGATTCCAAAGGGGTACCATCACAGATTTCGTGCGATTTTTTCCGAAATGTAATTTTCTTTCAATTTTGGAGGCTACAGATCACGGATTCAGCCGGAGGCTATCCTCCACCGTTAATGAGGTCTATTGATCCTATTCTCCACCGATGATTAAGTCCATTAAGCACCGAATTGGGCTAATTGATTTCGGGATGGCATTTTCATAAAATATTTGGGCTAGATTTTTCGAAATGCCATTTTCCTTGGATTTTGAAGGCTACGGATCACGGATTCGGCCTGAGGCTATTGTTCGACGATGATTAAGTCCATTAAACACGGATTTGGGCGGATTTCTTCCGGGTCCATTTTTGGCAGATTCCAAAGGGGTACCATCACAGATTTCGGGCGATTTTTTCCGAAATGTAATTTTCTTTCGATTTTGGAGGGTACAGATCACCGATTCAGCCGGAGGCTATCCTCCACCGTTAATGAGGTCTATTGATCCTATTATACACCGATGATTAAGTCCATTAAGCACCGAATTGGGCCAATTGATTTCGGGATGGCATTTTCGCAAAATTTTGGGCTAGATTTTTCGAAAGGCCATTTTACTTGAATTTTGAAGGCTACGGATCACGGATTCAGCCGAGGCTATTCTTCAACGATGATTAAGTCCATTAAACATGGATTTGGGCGGATTTCTTCCGGGTCCATTTTTGGCAGATTCCAAAGGGGTACCATCACAGATTTCGGGCTATTTTTTCTGAAATGTCATTTTCTTTCGATTTTGGAGGGTGTCAGATCACGGATTCAGCCGGAGGCTATCCTCCACCGATAATGAGGTCTATTGATCCTATTCTCCACCGATGATTAAGTCCATTAAGCACCGAATTGGGCCAATTGATTTCGGGATGACATTTTCGTAAATATTTGGGCTAGATTTTTCGAAAGGCCATTTTCCTTGGATTTTGAAGGCTACGGATCACGGATTCGCCCTGAGGCTATTCTTCAACGATGATTAAGTCCATTAAACACGGATTTGTGCGGATTTCTTCCGGGTCCATTTTTGGCGGATTCTAAAGGGGTACCATCACAGATTTCGGTCGATTTTTTCTGAAATGTCATTTTCTTTCGATTTTGGAGGGTACAGATTACGAATTCAGCCGGATGCTATCCTCTACCGATAATAAGGTCTATTTGATCCTATTCTCCACCGATGATTAAGTCCATTAAGCACCAAATTGAGCCAATTGATTTCGGGATGTCATTTTGGTAAATTTCGCTCAATATCCCCTTGCCGCTCATTGCTCTTCGCCGCCGTCCACTCCTTTTCCTTACCCGCTATCCGTGAGCCCAAATCACTCTTTCCACACCGACCCCAATGACGCCCTCTACCATCGGAAATCAGACACGTCCCTCCTCCCGGTCACCGCCGAAGTCATCCTATATAGAAAATGGTCACCGGCTTCTCAGAGTAATTTTTTTTAATTAATGGATGCAGTTGACCGTTACGGGTCAACAGTGTCATTATTTGGTAGGTGGCGGGGGTGTTAAACGTGATACGCTTAGTGGGCAACAACGACATTTCAGTAGGCCAACGTACGGAGTTCCAATAGACATGATCACCGCCGGAGGCTGACGCGCTTCGCCGTCTTATCATTTTATCCCTTCTTCGTTCTCTACGGCATTTGGCCACGCGGCAAATTCAATTGTCCCGGCAGAGAGAGCTTTTTGGGTTTTATTCTGTCCGCGGCGGTAACTGAACCTTCTCCTTCAATTTTATCAGCTCCTTTCGTCTGATTGAAATGGTTTCAGGGCTATGTTCTGCAAAATTGCAACTTTAGGATGGGGGTAATGTACTATCGATTATCTATGTTGTGGGCTTCTTCCAAAAGTAGCAATGAACGTTTGGGGCCTCATGATTCTGTGGCTTAGGGACTGCATCGAAATTGTTGATAGAGTTTCAATGGATTTTTCTTCATGTGTATTTCTGTTGATTCTAGCTCGGTCATTTTGCCACCACACATTTGAACCATAGAAGTTTGAGGAGTCAAGTTAATGAATCTATCGACTGTTTCAGGGCTTCTCTGCTCAGCAGCACCAGTAACTCTTAAGAGAACTTGAACTCCGTGCAGACATAAGATAAAGTATCGATGGCATCTCAGAACTCTGTCATGGCCTACAATGATCAGGTTGCCACAGACACTCCTTTCTTTTTGGGAAGTTTAAGATGTTCAAGTTTAGTACTTTGTTCACTTAATATGGCCTGACATGCAATGGAAAAGTAATATTCGAGGACAGGTTGTTAGTTAAATGGTGTGAGTTTATTCTCTTGTGTGAGTTTATTCTTTCTGCGAGCAGCTAGTAATGCTCTCTTGAGATGCTGCAGCAGTTGTCAGTTTCCATGGTGTACCTGTCCTAAACTGACTGATTATGCATCACTCACAGGTTTTTAAATTGCTTTGTGTGCTTGGCTGATATGTTACAGGTTCTGGTAGAAGAGAAGTCGTTCACAAGAATATTGGTATTAAATAGGCCTAAACAGTTGAATGCCCTCTCGTATCCAATGGTATGTTTCCTTTCTTCCCCATCAAACTTCTCAGCTTTTGGACATCCTTGCAATAGGGTATAATAACTTTTCAGAAGCAAAGTTCAGAAATACTAATTATGTTTACATCTGTGTTAGATTTCTCGGCTTCTAGACCTTTTCGTTGCTTACGAGGCAGATCCGAATGTGAAACTTATTATCCTTAAGGTACTTTCCTGTTCAATTTTTGCACTCCTATTTTTCTCATCTCCAAAATAGTTAGGAGAGCGTCCAGTCACGCAATGCTTCAGTATTCCCAGTGTGCAGTGGATACTATTGTTGAAAGTCATAAATCTCATAAATGTATCCCTCTTGAAGTATGACTAAATGTTTCTAGGACTGTATCTTTATCCCCAGGGAAATGGAAGAGCGTTTTGTGCGGGAGGTGATGTGGCTGCCGTTGTTCATGATATTCGCAAAGGTTAAATTTCGTTTTATTTCCTGTTTGCAATGATAATACTTACTGTTTAGTTGATGAAGATGAGAGTTGTTTTGTCCATGTGTTTGTCTCAGCTAACTGGAAATCAGGTGCCCAATTTTTCACGAAGGAATTCACCTTGAACTATGTGATCGCGACAAACACCAAACCCCAGGTAATGCACTTCTCTTTCAGTTTTTAGTTATTCGAATGCCATTTCTAATGTTTTGTTGTTAACTTGAAGGTTTCTATCCTTAATGGAATTGTCATGGGAGGAGGAAATGGTGTTTCTATGCATGGAAGATTCCGCGTAGCAACTGAAACTTCGGTAATGTATTTTTCGTTTTAGCTTGGGTTTGTCCTTGATTGTCATGCAACTGATTGGGATAATTTTTGCATGCTCTTTCATTTATGTTTTAGTTGTAGAAGATAAAACTTGGATTTCAGGGTGCAGCATTCTTAAAGAAACAGAATTTCAGAATATATTATCATCCTCATGAATCATGATTTGATATGACATCCCTTGTGTAGTGTCTGAAGAATGTCTACACGAGAAGACTAATATTGAATATTTTCAGGTATTTGCTATGCCTGAAACGGCTTTAGGTCTCTTCCCTGATATTGGTGCCTCCTATTTCTTGTCCAGGCTCCCAGGATTCTTTGGTAAAATAATTTGAATTCTTCATTTTTTTGGCAGCCCTCGCATTGCAGAAATACTCGAGATTCATGGATTATGTATTTTATCTATTTGCATTAGGCCTGGTTGTTTATTGAGCCAATTGTGATTTTAAAATATTAACTCCCACCCCACAAAATGCATTGGACATGTATTTATTATTAAGAGCTTTCCATACAAAATATTGATGGTGTGGATTTTACAATAAACCTTCCTCATATGTATTCTCCCTGAAATTTTGTATTGATAGGAGAATACGTTGGGCTTACTGGGGCAAGGTTGGATGGTGCTGAAATGCTTGCATGCGGCCTTGCAACTCATTTTGTCCCTGCGACGGTATGTTTTTCATATAGGAGTCTAAATAAATTTGGAATACAGGAAAGCTGAAGGCTCTTAATGAAATGTTTTAGAAAAGGAATCGTATTTGTAATAGATTCGCCAATCTTTACTCGTTTCATGCGATAGGAACATAAAATTGATTCCATTTTGTCTACATAGCTGTTCGAGTAAACATCATGAGTTGTCTATATGCTGGCAGAAATTGAGTCTACTGGAAGAAGCTCTATACAAGGTAGATTCAAGTGATTCAAACATCATTTCTGCAATTATTGACTGCTATTCTCAGCAACCATACTTGAAAGACCAAAGTGCTTATAAACGGTCAGTTCTTTCCCCTCACTCTAGTCACTTCAGGTGTCTGACAGCTTGTTGCATTTTATAAGAGGAGAGCATCATGAGTTTAGTCCCTTTATTTGGATCATCTGTGCCTATATCATATTTCATGACATGTATTCCAGAAAAAATCTCTTGGTTCTTGTTCTGAGTCAATAAGTTGGAAGTTGGGATGTGAGCTTATGCTGGTTATTATTTGACCTCTAAATTAGTGTAACAGAAATGGAGGATTGATGCAAACTTCTTAAAACATGATTGAACAATGTTCTTCTCCCTCCTCATGTCCTAATGTGTGTCTGCAGTTTAGATGTCATCGATAGATGTTTCTCCCGGAAAACAGTTGAAGATATCCTGTCTGCGCTTGTAAGTTAATTCATCTCCACTTGTCAGTGGGACTTGTGCCTAGCTATATGCATTGAGCCATTGACTAACTAGTTAATGATGACTCGTAATATGTAGGAAAGGGAATCCATGAGTAAGGCAGATGATTGGATTAAAAACACTATTCAGTCACTGAAGAAGGCTTCTCCAACAAGTCTTAAAATTTCACTCCGATCAGTAAGTATTTTACTTGGGCTATCACTTTGAGACCCAGGAGAAGAAAAGGCTAACAATACTCTGTATGCTGATTTTACTGCAATTGCAGATTCGAGAAGGAAGGATTCAAGGTGTTGGTCAATGCCTAACTCGTGAGTTTCGAATGGTCTGTCATTTTATGGAAGGAAAGCTAAGCAAGGACTTCTTTGAGGTTCCCAGCTGAACTCAATAGCATTTGCATCTCTCTGACCAATTCTATCTCTCCCCACTTTGCTCACTCACTTTTGGAATTTGAATGCAGGGTTGCAGGGCCATACTGTTGGACAAGGACAGGAACCCAAAGGTAAAGGAAATAACACTATACCCACCTCTATCTCCATATCCTCCATTAATGCATAATTTCTATGCTCATGCTCAAAGTTACTCCAGTTCTGAATCCTCTTTGGTTTGTTTCTTGTCTAAAAACATTAGTGGGAACCTGCTAGATTGGAGCTCATCAGTGAGGGGATGGTTGAGCAGTTCTTCTCAAGAATGGATGATGAAGAATGGGATGATCTAAAGCTTCCTTCTAGGTCCAATTTCGTTCTGCCCCGGCACGCCATAGCAAAACTGTGAGCAAGGATTAGCAATGGAATGTTGAGGAAGGGGTATTTATTCAAGGAGCTGGATATTCAGTTCAAGAATATACATATTATTATTGTAGCCCTACAGGTGGTCAGTAAGTGACAAACTAGACTTCAATAAGACCAACAAATGCTCATATTATCCTAGAAATGTGGTTATATATGATCATACGTTTGTTTATTCTTTGAATAAGTATATTGGAAAGAAAAAAATACACCCTTTGTCTAGTCATCTTTATTGTCACCTGATGAAATTTTGGCAGCAATGATAGTAAGCAGCAGCGTTGGTTTAAGTCCATTTCATCACTAAACAGCTACACAACAACAACAACAACAACAACAACAACAACAAAACAAAGCAAACTTCCTGCTTGCTACTGTACGCAGTCTCCCATGGCAGGCAGAAGAATAATCGGATTAGCTCAAGGGAGGTCTCAAACTCTGTTGCCTATAAATTCATCTCAACTTGAAGCTACCAACACATCACCATACCACAGACTTGCAAATCAAGAGCAGCAAGCAACCAAAAGAGCGAAAAATGGCATTCAGGGCAGCCATCGCATTATCAGCAATTCTGGCTGCAGTTCTGATGATGGGTTGTGAAGCAGGTGGTGGAATATCAATCTACTGGGGACAGAACGGCAACGAAGGAACCTTGGCCGAGACTTGCTCCACAGGGAACTATCACTATGTCAACATAGCCTTTCTGTCATCATTTGGGAACGGGCAGCCACCAGTGATCAACCTTGCAGGCCATTGTGATCCAACCAACAGCGGTTGTGCTGGTCTAACTCCCGACATCAAGTCGTGTCAAGCGAAAGGGATCAAGGTCTTGCTGTCAATTGGCGGAGGAGCTGGAGGTTACTACCTAGCATCCAAACAAGATGCAGAGCAGGTTGCAACTTATCTCTGGGACAACTTCTTCGGTGGTTCTTCATCTGCCAGGCCACTTGGCCCGGCTGTGCTCGATGGGGTTGATTTCGACATCGAGGGGGGAACAAACCTGCACTGGGATGATCTAGCTAGGTTTCTGAAATCCCACGACGAAAATATCATACTGACAGCTGCTCCACAGTGCCCATTCCCTGATGCTTGGATAGGGAGTGCACTTAAAACTGGACTGTTTGACTATGTTTGGGTGCAGTTCTACAACAACCCTCCTTGCCAGTACTCTTCTGGCAGTGTCACAAACCTTGAAGATGCTTGGAAGCAATGGACTTCGGCCATTCCTGCAAAGAAGATCTTCCTTGGACTGCCTGCTGCTCCGGATGCTGCTGGGAGCGGGTTCATCCCTGTGAACGACCTCGAATCGCAGGTGCTGCCTGCGATCAAGGACAGTTCCAAGTATGGTGGTGTGATGCTGTGGTCGAAGTTCTATGATGATCAAACTGGCTACAGCAAATCCATCAAGAACTCTGTGTAAATTATGTGTTCAGCGCATCCCATCTGCACATGTTTACTAGCATTATGTGTGAATAGTTTCTGAGAATGCACCACTATGAATGCATTTACCGAATATTTCCATACTCTAATGTACAAAATCGTTTCGTGTTCTATTAATGGATCCCTTTCTCTGTATACTGGTTAATTATTGCATTGCCAGGCGATGCCTAGTAATCTTTCGGGTCGTTTGGATGGAGTATTTGTATGAGTTATTTAAGTAACTCGTTTGGTAACGTTTTACTGAAATGAGTTATTTGGACAGTGAGTTATTTACAAATAACTCAAAACGAGTTATTTGAAATAACTTATACTCATGTGTTATTTCGAAATAACTCGTTTTATCACTCTACTTTTACCAAATACCACATGTCGAATACCACATTTGCATGGTTCAACCAAACGAACTACTTTATTTCAATTATCATTGAAATAACACTAAAATATCACATGAATAATAAATGAGTCATTTGACTCTACAAATACCACATTGACAATTAAACCATCCAAACGACCCCTTTATGTCTTTCTTGCCTTGATCTGCGTCCTTTTTTTCACCATATTTAGTATGCCTAAGCATCGTCTAATCGTTAAGCGAAAATAATAGTTTTTTAGTGGACATAATAATTATTTTTACTTTAGTTCAATTTCAAATGATTAATAACTTAGCTAATCTTCAACAAGAAAAATGTACAATGATTTCCTAAAATTACACGTCCATAGAAGTTGTGGATTGTGCCAGAGCATAAAAAAGTGTAGGGTTGAAGGTCAGGTCGACTGTAGCTCGAGAAGAACTTCCAAACTAATGGATTTTGGTTGCTCTATACTCTATAGTGCAACTTGGCAACGATAGGGTAGAGGGTGAAAGGGATAGAGCGAAAATGAGACGTCGTTTGCAATTCCTGAGTTTCGAGTCTTTGTCTCATTGACCTAGAATTTCAATTCCAAATCAAGGAAGGAAAAGTGAAGGACCCGTATAAATATAGGGTTGCTAGAAATTATCTCATTTTGGGAAGGTTAGCTACAAATTTATTAATTCTTGGTCTGCCAGAGCGCTTAAGCGTGTCCACTTTTTTTTTGGTAGAAAATGGGGACGCTAAAAGGGCGCCCCTGCCTGATACTTAAATTAAACGGGTTTGGGAAATTCCCAAAACGTCATACAAAATCCAAAAGGACAGACCCGAGTCTGTACTCTCAAAAACATGGTAACCTATGCTAACAGAGTGACCTTTATTTGCAAGGAAGTCGGCCACTTTATTTCCTTCTCTATAAATATGGGAAATTCTAACTTCCCAGTTTCGCTGAATCAGCCCCTGAAATTGAAGAACCAAGTTATGGTACCTGTGCACAGTCTGATCTTGGGCGGTAAGGATGTTGATGGTCGTAGTGGAGTCCAACTGTATTAAGATTTTCCTGTATCCTTTCTCCCACGCCATCTACAAACCTCGAATGGCTGCCATGATCTCTGCTCGGGTAATCGTGCAAACACCAAGATTTTTCACAAAGGCTCCCAAACATTTCCCTGTCCAGTCCCGGACCAGGCCGCCCCCTGCAGCTTCCGAACCAGGTTGCTTTACATACCCGTCGGTATTTATACATATCCAGTCCTGTGGTGGTGGTATCCAGGCGAGCCACTGTTCTACCTTCTTTGGCGCCTCTTTGTGTGAAGCCGAGTCGTTATCCTGCGCTTTCCTAATTGTTGCCGTCCAGCTCTCGATGCGTTGCGCCAGGACATGATCATCTTGAATCAAGCTGTGGAAGACCCTCTCATTCCTTCTTTTCCAAAGATACCAAGCTGCCACGCCAAAAAGAAGCCCTTCCTGATCCCTCTTGAGGTGTTTATCGAGCCAGACTGAAAAAACCAAGGCCATAAGTTAGAGCAGATTCCTGAATACCTAACCTATGCCATACCTGTATGGAGCTCGGACACTGGCGTAGTATGTGCTCAGTGGTTTTTGGTCCGTTTCTGCAAGTCGGGCATGTGTCGTCTGTCGTCAGTTTCCTCTTCTTGCGCTGCGCATTCGTCATCATCCTGTCATGAAAAACCAACCACAAAAAATGCTTAATCCTATTCAGTCCCGCCCATTTCCAGAGTCGCTTCCAGTACTGATGGTCATGAGCCTCCTCCGCCTCACACTCCTCGTCACTCAGCCACTCCACTGCCGCGGCATAGGCTGACCGCAGCTTGAACTTTCCGTCTGGCTCCATCCCCCAAGCAGTAATGTCTTCACCCGTTCCTGGCATGGGCAGGTCCGTACCTGCAACCAGGGAAAATAATTTCTGAGTCAGGTGCGGCGAGAACTCCTGCCACTTCCACTCACCTTCGCCAGTGACCATCTCGGCAACGGTGGTATGCGAGTTTATGCCCTCGCCATTGTCAGAGATATGCTCGCTCAGGACCACACCCTCGGCAATCCATGGATCAGTCCAGAATTGGACATTATGGCCTGCCCGGATGTCCCACACAACCCGCTGCTTGAGAATAGGCCAGGTAAACACAATTCCTTTCCAAAGCCGCGAGTAATTGCTTTTTTTCATCACAAGAGCTCCTGTTTCATTGACTTTAAAGTACTTCCCTTGCAGGATGCGGATGCACATCTCGTCCGACTTGTTCAGGAAGGCCCACCCCAGTTTCATAAGGTAGGATATATTGAGAGCTCTAGCAGAGCGCATGCCCAGGCCGCCATGCTCCTTTGGTTTACAAATAGTCTCCCATTTGACAAAGTGAGGCTTGGAGACTCCGTCTTCAGCTCCCCAGATAAAGGCTCTGACTTTCCTATCAATGATGTCGCAGACAGAAATAGGGAGAACCGCTGTCTGCATGACATAGTTCGGAAGGGCGTTGAGCACCGACGTCGCCAATGTGACTCTGCCTGCAAGGGATAGACTCCTCGCTTTCCACCCTGCAAGACGTTGGTCAATCTTCTCCAAGATGAACTTGTAGGTATCTTTCGTGACTCTGCCATGGACTATAGGATCAGCCAAGTAGCGCCCCAGGTTGCTGGTGTGCTTAATCCCCAGCAAGTCACTTATCCTTCTCTCCAGGTTCTCCTTAGTGTTCTTGGAGAAGAAGACACAAGACTTGTCTTTGCTCACTTGCTCCCCCGAGGCTTCACAGAACCGGTTAAGACATGTGAGGACTTCTTCACCCTGCTTTAGATCAGCCTCCGCAAACAGTACAAGATCATCTTCAAAAAAACATATTAGTAATAGCAGGACCATCCTTAGACAGAGTAATAGGACTCCAGGCTTTCCTCTCTACAGAGTCCTTGATGCAGTGACTAAACCTTTCAATATATAAAGTAAAGAGATAAGTTGAAAGAGGACATCCCTGCCGAAGACCCCTAGTGGGCTGGAAAGATTCGGTGCAGCCACCATTCCAAAGCACCTGGAAACGCACAGTCGTCACACAAGCCATGACAAGTTTGACAAAGTCATCAGGGAGACCGGCCGCCTGAAGGGTTGATTCCAGGAATTTCCAATTGATTCGGTCGTACGCTTTGGCCAGGTCAATTTTCAGAATCATGTGACCTTTTGGCTCCCGTCCTGAGAGACATAGTGCGGACCACTTCCTGCAAGATGATGATGTTATCTGTGATATGTCTTTTCGGGACGAAGCTTGACTGGCTTGGGTCGATGAGTTGAGGCATGAATTTTTTGAGCCGGTTCGCTAGACACTTCGCCAGCACCTTATAGCTCACGTTACAAAGGCCGATGGGCCTGAACTGAGAAACTTGCTTCGGGAAATCCACCTTGGGTAGCAACACCAAAAGGGTTTCATTGCACCTCTTGATTAGTTAAAGTGTACCTGAAACAGTCAACAATATGGTCATGGAAATTAACACCCACCCTGTTCCATCATTTCTGATAGAAGGTAGCATGAAAGCCATCCTTCCCCTAGGCCTTTAACCCTCCCATCTCCTTGATTATCTGATAAGTCTCCTCGGGGAGAGGGCTGGCAGCAAGGTGCGACGTCATTGCACTAGTCAAGACATTGAAAAGAGTCAGGATGTCTTGCTGCCCTGTGTTATCATCCGAGTAGAGTCGGATATAAAACTCCCTGGCCATCCTTTTCAGCGTCTCCGGATCCTCCACCCAAGCCCCATCCTCTTGCTGCAATTTAGTAATTCTATTTTTCCTACGCCTCGTGAGAGCAACAGTGTGAAAATACCGGGTATTCTTATCCCCATTCACAATCTGGTTGGCCCTCGCCTTCTGTAGCCAAAGGAGTTCTTGTTGTCATAAAGTCTGCTCCAGTTCCTCCCGAATCCGCCCTTCTCTTCTTAGGGAAGCTTCACAAGCTGTCTGCTCGTTCTGAATTTCCAGGCGAGTAAGTTGCTTTGACAGTTTAACTTTCCTCCAAAAAATGTTCCCAAACACCTCATTGTTCCATCGAGTGAGATGCGCTTGAAGATCCTGCAAAGACAACAAACAGTCCCTTCCTCGGTTCCACGAGGCCTCAAGTGCATAGGGAAAATCCTTGTGAGCAAGCCACGGCACTAAGAAATGGAAAGGTCTTACCTGCCTAAGAGGGATGTGTCCACTGCCACTGCAGATGAGAATTGGTCTATGATCCGAGCGAAGCTTGGGCAGGTTCGTTGACACAGTATCAGGGAACTTCCTGATCCATTCTTGGTTACATAAAGCTCTGTCATTACTGTCAGGGCGCTGTGAGAGCCTCCCATTACTCCATGTGAACTTAAGTCCAGTAAACCCGACATCTAGAAGCCCACAATCCCGAATACACGCATTGAAATTAGTCGTTCTACTCAGATTGTACGCAACACCTCCTGTGCGCTCTGAAGGGCAAGTGATGGAATTGAAATCGCCTGTTAAGAGCCACGGCCTATCAATGTTGCGCTCCAATCTTCGAATAGCCGCCCACAGTGGTAGCCTATCATGCTCGTTGGGCTTGGCGTAGATTGCTGTCAAGAGGGCCGAGTTACTATTCTGATCTGTGCACAAAAAATGGAGAAACTGTGAGTCACGATCCAGTTCAGTGATAGAAAGATGAGAATCCATCCAGAGCACCCAAATAATACCGAAAAAATCAACAGCATCGACCACTAAATGCTTATCAAACCCCATAGATTTAATAACATCTTCTACATCCTTGCCACTGATCCGTGGCTCAACGATGAAGACGATATTGGGCTTGTGGGTGAACATATATTCTTTGAAAGTTGCAAGAAGAGAGGTCGACTTCCCTGACTCGCAGAAGCAAAAGGGACAGAGGGATTTTGGTTGCTCTATACTCTATAGTGCAACTTGGCAACGATAGGGTAGAGGGTGAAAGGGATAGAGCGATAATGAGACGTCGTTTGCAATTCCTGAGTTTCGAGTCTTTGTCTCATTGACCTAGAATTTCAATTCCAAATCAAGGAAAGAAGAGTGAAGGACCCGTATAAATATAGGGTTGCTAGAAATGATCTCATTTTGAGAAGGTTAGCTACAAATTTATTAATTCTTGGTCTGCCAGAGCACTTAAGCGTGTCCACTTTGATTAATCACACATCATAAGAATTAATCGTGTCTAACTTTGCTTAGACGTCGTCTAAGAATTATGAACGCCTAATTATTTGCTGGGACCTAGGAAAAGTTTTTTTGTCATTAATAAACGCGTCTGGACGTAAGTGGAATTACACCTCTTGAATCTTGCTAATACTATCCTAAGATTTCACCGGCAAAACTTGCTTAGAAATTTACAACTTTCGCGGACTTTTCAGTCGCCGGCCTGCCATATTAAGGTGAACGATCGAAATCACCCTGACCCAGGGGCGGACCCACGGGAATTTTGGGAAAACGATTATCCAACCCCCGGTAGTAATTTACGTATTGATAATAAAATTATAATTGATAGTCGGGGACACTCTTAAATTTAAAAAAATGATTATCCTACTCTCATCTTTTAGTTTGAGTATGAGAATATAAGTCGTAGTTTGGGTAATTCAAACCTAGGACACTTTTATTATTAATAAACATAATTTTCATTAGGCTACAACTCATATGTTATTCGATTTCAAACACTGTGTAATAGTATAATATCATTCTCTATCTCTAATTATTTTCAAAATCTAACAATTAAACAAATTTCAAGCTACCCTTAATTTGTATTGATTTATGGTTGTACAACAAGTATTGAAAGAGTCTTTTCAGATTTGGATTACATCAAGAACAAGTTTAGAAATTGAATATGTGATCAGTTCGTGAATGATTGTCTAATATGATATACAGAGACAATTTTGTTTTTAATTGTATATACCCCAAGTGTGTTCTACAATCATTTTTTAATATGAAAATACATTGTGAATTTTTTCAAACTGTAAAAGTAAAGTATTTATTATTTATTAATTATTTTAGAATTATTTATATTTAATTTATTTTTTAAAAGAGGACAATCTTATGTAAAATTTTTGGGTCGGCCAATGCCTGACCCAGTACCGCCATCAACGCCAAGTTCCCATCTTTGAGCTTTTTGGATGATCTTCCGGCGGCTTCCAATCGCCTTCACCCCATGTGCAAATCAAGAAACAGCACTGAAATCCGCCATTCTTCCAGACCCACCAAGCCTTCTTCTTCGTCTTCTGCTACTTTCTCTTCTTCCTTAACATCTTCCTCTTCTTTCCCGAACCCTTCTTATAATTCATCCATATCGAATTGCGACGCCTCCAAATCTTCCTCCTTCTCCAGCAGAACCTCCCTCGCCAGCCTCCGTGGCTCTTTACCCGAAAACGCCACCATTTACGACTTATCGGAAATCTCCAGAGCTACCCACAATTTCTTGCTCAAGCCCTTCTCCTCTTCCTCCACTTCCACCTCCTGGCGCTGCGCGATTCGCGGCAGGGACGCCGTCCTCTTCCAGCGGAAGCTCCGCCGCCCAATTGAGCCGCCCGAACTGCAGCAAAGGTTACTGACGATATGCCGCAGTCACTACAGCAGCTTGGTTAAGCTTCTGGGGGCGGCCGTCTCCGGCAGGTACATTTATCTGGTCTACGACTACGTCCCTGGATCCAATTTAGCCGATTGTCTCCGAAACCCTCAAAACCCGAGCTTCACGGTGCTCTCCACTTGGCTTTCCCGGATGCAGATCGCTACTGATGTAGCCCATGGCCTCGATTACATTCACCATTGCTCAGGTTTGAACACGAATTTTGTGCATAATCATGTGAAGAGTTCGAGCATTTTGGTCACTGAGGCGACTCTGAATGCGAAAATCTGTCATTTTGGGGAAATGGATCATTCTGAACGCGAGCTCAAGAAGAAATCTAGTAGCAGGTTGTCAGGAACTAGAAGGTCGAAAATAGAAGGAACCAGGGGATACATGGCGCCTGAGTTTCAGTCCAAGGGGGTCTTGACACAGAAATGTGATGTTTATGCCTTTGGAGTTGTGATCCTGGAGCTGCTGTCTGGTTTGGAGGCGTTGAGGTATGAGTTTGATGAAGGAGGTGAAGGGGTTTGGAGAATCAGTGTCATTGAGATGGCTAGACAGGCGGTTGCAGGTTGTGGTGCTGGGGTGAGGAAATGGGTTGATAGGAGGTTGAAGGATTCATATCCGGTGGATGTGGCGGAGAAGATGGTGTCGATGGCGTTGGAATGCGTGGAGGAGGATCCCGAGAAGCGGCCGGATATGGAGAAGGTTGCTGTCAAGGTGTCTAAGTTGTACCTGGAATCAAAGGGCTGAGAGGATCTGCTTGGCAGTTGATTTCTCGTCTTCATTGGCTCCCAGGTGATGCTAGTTGTTTACAATCCAGTTATAGAGATTAGAGATACAATAGAATAGAGAATACCTATACCACACATTGCAAAACTGGTCATATTAGTGACTCAAGTTAACCAGAACTTAGTTTGAGATTGCAAAATTTTGTTCTTTAATGGAGGGAATGCAACTGCATAGGAGGCAGTTTATCTTCTTTCGACTTGTATTTCACAAATACACTTTACTCTCAGACGAACAATGAGAATCTCCTGCATAGAATCTTCAAAACAAATTTCCCTGTATGCATTGTCTGCATTGTTAGAAATATGCAGAGATTTGGAGGAGATCTACTGGTTCAGTTGCTTAGTTTCAGTCACTTTGGCTGAATTAGATATTTATCAGGTGAAGAAGGGGTCAAATTAGGCTACGCCTTGGCATTGTCCTTCTGTCTTCATCTGATTGTTTTTAGTGTTCAACCAGTTGCTGTTCACTTCATGCTTCTAGCCGGCTGTCTGGATTTGATTCATGGCCTAATTGGTGGGTCATTTTCTGATTGAGAAAGCGATAAGATGACAAGGAGAGGAATACCAGAATGTAATTGTTTGACGTTCTGTAACCAGAAAAATACAATTGTGTCGTTTGGTAATATAAAATATTGGATGAGCGACTACTTCCAAGCAATGTAGTCAAAATCGCGATTCTATCTAGAAGCGTGTTGGTGACCTAGAAGCGTAAAATCGTAAGCTTTTAAGTTTCAAAGCATAGATTTTGACTACACCTGTAAGGGAAAAGCACGATTCTATGTAGAAGCGTTTTGATGATCTAAAAAGGTAGACACGTAAGCTTTTAAGTTTTAAAGCGCTATTTTAACTGCATTGCTTCCAAGTATGAGGATATGGTTTTTTATTTACAGTAGAAGCATATTGCTGTATCTACAAGTCAATGAAATGAGGTATGTAGTATGAGTGTGAAATGTATGCTTTCAGCTTTCTGGATTGGGTTTGTGGCGCTAGTTTTTTTTTTTTTTTTTTTTTTTTTTGGTTGTTGCTGATCAACCCACGAGTGTGTGGCGCCTGTTTTTCTCATCGGTCCAAGTCAATCCGTGAGTTGGTAAGTAAATTGACAGCCTTTCAATGATATTTTGTGCATATCGCGTTTCGATTTGGTTTTGAGAACCCAGAACGTTTTGTGGTTCCAACGTTTTTCTTAACACGCAGAATATTTGAGTGTTAAGTTGAAACGCTAAAAATGAAAAACGTTCGGGTTTTCAAAACCGAAATCGAAATGCGAAAACTGTCGAGAACGATATATTGCCGATATGCCATATGACTGTATCTGTATTCTGTATGAGTGAAGGCCAATGCTACGGTACCGCTATCAAAAGTGCGGCACCGGTGCCGCTTCTTTTTATTGGACCACATGGCTGCTTATGTGGCTTAAGTTAATTGTCTTACAGAAAATCCAACCCAAAACCTATTCCATCAACCGGCCCAACCATCAAACCTCTTTAATGCTTTTTTTATTTTCTTTTTCTCCTCGTAAATTAACAGTCTCCCTCATCATCCCTCTTCTAGGGCTGCTTTGCCGCCACCAAATCCTGTCAATCTTAAGCCAATGGAAAACTAAATCTTCCTCCCTCTCTGATCCCTTTTTCAATCATCAAAACCCGGAGTATCGGAACCCAGATCCAAAGATTGATGATTATAATTCCAGAGCGGCTTTTGCTTTCAGTTAATTCCACCCTCGCTCACCGCCTCGTTCCCGTTTGTTTAACCGGTAGTCAATAATTATTAATTCTTTCTTCCTCATCGCGCGAATGATGAACTACAAAAATAAATTTGTTGGTTGGCTTGAGATTGTGTGGATCACGGGATGGTGGAGCAGTTCGACGGAGACGCAGCGCCGGCCGAGACAAGGATTCGTGCCTGCAAGTATTTTTCTTACATAATAACTCTTGGAGGAAGATGGTGAAGATTTTAGCGGAGGTTAATAGAAGAGCTTGCATAAGAGATCGGTTCGGCAATGAAGAAGTTCGCCGGAACTTTTGTTGATTTTAATACTCCGGTGGAGAGGGAGGGTGAGGAAGACGAAGAGATTCTTTTTGCGTTTTGCGTTCTTTTTTTTTTGGAAAAAAGTAATCACTTAAAATAATTGAAAAAACCCTTTTAGTTTTTACCGTACAAAATAATATATATATATATATATATGAGAAAAGAAAAAAAAATCAGTAAAAAATTCCTTTGTCCGGTGGTTGGCCCGGTTCATTAGAGTCGAATTTGGGCTGGTTTTTGCAAAAATTAACTAAAGCCACATCAGCTAGTCACTGCCCACATGGCCCAATTGAAATCAGCGACACCAGTGCCGCACTTTTGATAGCGGCACCATAGTATTGGCCATGAGTGAATTATCATGGTATTTTGAGAAGGAGATTGGGTATTATATTTGGGCCGAGCGAATATACTAAAAGCCCAAAACCGTTTGTTGACCACTGGAAAACTTATAGCCCACGTTTGGTTTGGGTGGACCGACTCCAATATTGCAAACTCCACCCACCGCCTGTAAAATTTAGTCATGCTTCAGAGTTCAGCCCCAGCCCTGCGCCACGGAGCTCTGGTCGACGACGGCGACGACTGAAGAGAATACTTCCCCGACTCGCACCTAATGGCGGCTTCTCGGAACTTGTTGAAGATGGGGCGGCTCCTTTCTGCCCTTTCCCATGGTCGTTATACCAGCAGCGGCGGCGGCGGCGCCTTTCTCCCCGGCCGAGGTTAGCTCTCTCGTCCATGAATAAGAATGGCGGTTCTCTATATTTCCCGAGCAATCAATTGGCTCATTATCGGTCTCTCAGTTTCTAACTCGTTTGTATCGTATCTTAAGAACCTCCGATGGAATTGAATAGCTGACCTTTGTATTTGGCTGAAAAATCGCTTTAAGCAAGGGTCTAGGGTTTTTCAATTCTGGTCAAGCAGTCGAGGCCTTTGCTTCCCGGAGAATGTAAATCCCTGCTGGGTTTGGCTCTATTCGGTTGCCCTTTTTAGCCAAGTAAAAAAGATCAAAACTTCACAGAAACTATCTTGCGTGTTGGTTATACCGGTGTAGCATATAATGACAGTTTCAGGACATTCGTGGTGCTATTTATGTTGATTCTGCCTTGTTTTCTTGCTGTTGAGTCAAAACCCATTCATGTTTACAACTTACCTCGTTAAATTTCGCTGCAAAGTTGGATGCTTAATTACTTATAGAGCCTTGTCACCCTCTTACATTCTGGAATTTGATCTATGAACATAAGATACTGAGAATTAATGGGATTGATAGAAGTGTGGAGTGTTTTTATCTTATGATCATACATATGGTTGGTAATAGCTTCTTGGCTTCATCTTCATCGTGTTTATATTCCTTTCTTGCTTTCTTTCTTGTCAGAAGCTGGTGGTCAGCTCCTTCCCTCTGCTGGTTCAATATTCACCAGGAGTGATTACTGTCGAAGACGGCTTCAAACACAAAGCAGCATAGACAGTCACTCCAAGGATGGTCCTTCTTCAGATGTTACAACTTCTTCGCATCCAGAAATCAACTCAGCTAGTACTTCTCCCACTATCAACTCAGCTAGTACTCCTCCCACTGGAGAACCGAAAAAATTGAGCGTAGCAGCTTCCGACCCGCCAGAAGTGTCTGCCACGTCCAAGTTGAAGGTTTCGGCAAGGCACGATCTGGCCATGATGTTCACTTGCAGTGTCTGCGAGACGAGATCATTCAAGACGCTTTCTAGGGAGTCGTACGAGAAAGGCGTGGTGGTGGCACGATGTGGAGGGTGTGACAACCTTCACCTCATTGCGGATCGTCTTGGGTGGTTTGGAGAGCCTGGAAGCGTGGAGGAGTTCTTGGCTGCTCGCGGTGAGGAAGTGAAGAAGGGCTCTGCCGACACTCTCGGTCTAACTCTGGAGGATTTAGCTGGGAAGAAGACCTCTGTGGAGGACAAGACTGACGATTCCAAAGAAGACGAGAAAGAAGAAAGCACACAGAAACTTTCAGAGACGCCAACATTGTAAAAATATTAGTTCAAACTTCAAAGAATGTAATGTCAGCTGTGAAATGAGAGCATTTTGGTTTAGTTGATATATCATGCACTTATCAGTGGAAGATATTCAATCTCATCACATTCTGAAACCGTATTATATAGGTAATTTGATCGAATTGCATCATGAAATTATTGAACTAAAGTTAAATCATAAATTCAGTACAAAATACTCGTGTTATGTGTGAATTACAAATTTATGAATCCATTAATCCGGTGACTAATCTGGCAATTTGGGATTGGGACTATAAATTGGCAAAATCTGGTCAGTAGAAAGAAAGTAACAAACTTGGTAGGAGAAAGACACTCATCCGAACGAACGAACAAAAGCAGGGAAGAAGACACTTCTCTTTGGAGCCTGCCGCCTGGTGTGTTCATCTATCCTCTGAAGGACTGCGAAGAAACAAACTTCAGTGATACTAAATTGACTGACCGGCGATTTGACATGGCCCCGGCAACTATTATCTCGTCTTCTTCTCCTTTCTTCTCGCCGTCTCTTGGGAATGTTTTCTCTGCAACCAACTCCAGGGCCGGGGCGGTGGGTTTCCTCGGTTTTGCGCCCAAATTTCAGGCGCCAAACCCTCTTACTGCAACCACAACTTCCGTTTCTCTCTCAACCGTGAGGAAAATCTCCAGGAGCTTACTCCAAGGTAAGGTATTCCCTTCAAATTCAATGCCCAAATCGCCTTTCTGAGGTTGTACCGCAGTCGTAATTGTTGCGGTGGTATTGGGTTGTTTTAATTTGGCGAATACTGTGTGACCTGGGTTGTTCATAATGTGGAACTAGCATAGCTTTGTATCGTGGAGTGAACTTTCAGGCATTGGAAAGAATTAGCGAACAAGCTGATGACTTCATCTTCAAACAGCTATTGGCGAAAGTTTGCTATCAGGTTGTTCATAGAAATATTGGTGGCCAGGATTACCACTGTGCGCTTTTTGCTGCAATTTATGGGCGATATCACTATCTTGATAATGATAAGTGCATAGTACTATTCACTTCAGTTTATACTTTAGGTGGACGACCAGGTATAGGGCAAATCCCATGATGATACCACACATCAAATTTATACACGGTTTGCGCTGTTGTTTTCAGTGCGATCAGTTGCTGCTCCAGTAGAAGATGTGGCTGGATTCGGTGATATGGTCTCTGGAACTCAAAGGAAGTACTACATGCTTGGTGGTAAGGGAGGTGTAGGAAAAACTAGCTGTGCTGCCTCACTTGCTGTGAAATTTGCGAACAGTGGGCATCCTACTTTGGTCGTGTCAACGGATCCAGCACATTCCTTGAGTGATTCTTTTGCTCAGGTTTTAACCTTCTTACTAGAAGAACTGTCTGACTAGTCCTTGAAAGTATTGTTCTGAGCTCCGACTGACTGCCTGGCTTTTATGTAATTGCTGTTGTTGCAGGATTTAACTGGGGGCACACTAGTACAGGTCGAGGGACCTGATTACCCACTTTTTGCTCTTGAGGTACTTCAATCTTTCATCTGTGGTAGCAACCCCTGTCCCCTTTTTCTCTCTACAAGATACGAGATACTTCATCAGTTAAATTTTCTGATGCTGGCTTCCGTTTGCTGATTTTCTGCTGTACTGGCTTTGTGGATTTCTGGCAGCTGAATCCAGAGAAAGCCAGGGAAGAATTTCGTACCGCATCTAAGCAGAATGGTGGAACCGGTGTGAAAGATTTTATGGAAGACATGGGTCTTGGAATGCTTGTTGAACAGGTAATTCAGCGTTTTTACTTTGCCATTGGGTGAGACTGTCTGCTGCTTGGATGATTACATTTGCTACACTAGCCCCCTGAACACCCAGCGAACGCATGAGCAACCCTTCCAAAATTTGCTACTTTGATGATTATATTTGCTACATAGATAGAACCATACCCTTATATTCAATAGCGTATCTGCAGAAAAAGACATCCTATGTTTTCTAACATGTTTGTGTGCTCATTCTCTCAATGAACAAGTTAGGAGAGTTGAAACTAGGAGAACTACTGGATACACCTCCTCCTGGTTTGGATGAAGCTATTGCGATTTCAAAAGTACGGGGTTCTCGGCTTTGCTCATTTGATGGTTTTCTAAAAGTTGTGTTTATCATGCTTACTTAATTGCAATTAATCCTCTTGTAGGTGATACAATTTCTTGAGTCAGAAGAATACAACATGTTTACTCGAATAGTTTTTGATACAGCACCAACGGTGAGCATCCAAAACTACAAAAAGTAATTTTGGGCGCTTGAAATATCCGATTAAATTGACTGCATCTTATGTCTCACCACAGGGTCATACTCTGCGGCTTCTCTCGTTGCCTGATTTCCTAGATGCGTCCATTGGGAAGATACTGAAGGTACAATTATCTAATTAACATAATGAAACATATGCATATGTTTTCTTCCATCAATGATGAGTTATCTAAATTGTTCAAGCAAACAAGTTTATGTGTCGTGAATCTTCTGTCTTTGAGCCTTTTTTGTATTTTCTGGGGTTGATCCTAAGCAATTTTGGTATGGAATACTCGCTACTTACATTCCTGGATGGAGAAAATGGGAAGGAAAAAGGAAGTTGGTAGCGTAAATATGTGTGCATTTCTCTTCAATCCTACAAAAAATTGTTGGGTATCTTATTGCAGCTTAAACAAAAGATAACTTCAGCTACATCTGCAATCAAATCTGTTTTTGGAAAAGAAGAAAAGCGACCGGATGCTGTAAGCCATGAATTCATGAACAGCTGGTTTAGTCTCCACCAACTTTCTCTCTGTCTCTCACGTTTACCTGGACTTGTGATGTTGTGGTTTTGGCATTTAGGCTGATAAGTTGGAGAAGCTGAGGGAAAGGATGATAAAAGTGCGTGAACTGTTTCGGGATGTGGACTCCACTGAGTTTGTTATAGTCACAATTCCTACGGTAATATACTTAATCGATTACTAACATTTACTGCATTTTCATTGCATTCTTGCCAGAGATTGCTGATCACTGCATTCTTTCGTCCTGTCCCTAGGTAATGGCAGTTAGTGAATCATCTAGATTGCGTGCCTCCTTAGAGAAGGAGAATGTACCCGTTAAAAGGCTTATTGTAAATCAACTTCTTCCACCATCTGTCTCTGACTGCAAATTTTGTGCAATGAGAAGGAAGGTAATGAGATTTAACTTTCTTCTGGATATGCTCACAAAATCATAGGGCCATGTTACTGACAAAAGCTGTTACTTTCATCAACTTCTCAGGATCAGGCACGTGCTCTAGATATGATCCAGGATGATCCAGAACTGTCTACCTTGAGATTGATCAAAGCTCCCCTGGTCGATGTAGAGATCAGAGGCGTTCCAGCCCTCAAATTCATCGGTGACATCATATGGAAATGATCATAAGCAAAGAGTCGGCCTCGAATCGTACCATGACCAACTTTGAAACATCCACTGATAGTAAGCAATTGCAGGAAGAGCTGAATGCTATCGACACAGTCTGCAGAGACTTTGTAGAGCTCATATGATGTTTTGATGGTTTGAACTCTGAGTCAATGTGTACGTAACACTTCATGTAGATAATGTTCAAGTTTCAAGATCTTTAGTTAGATGTTTGATCATGAAAGCTCAAACAGGATACAATAGAGTAACTACCATATGGGTTTACACACAATGTACAACAACTGAGGACTTGCTATTGGAGAAGTTTTTTCCTGTCATGTGTAAGCTCCTATAGATTTACAAAAAACCGTTTCTCTGTTGGGGAAAAGGAGAAGAAATAATTCACACCCGCTAATTCTCTGCTATCTATAAATCCTGATAGATAATCGAATCAATTGAATGGCTAAACATAGTATATGCACTTCTGCCTGTCAACTCACCGCCTCCGGCCTAATGTCACCAAACCAAAGAATGCCACAATGCGACAAACTACACCAAAGAAGAGGAGGATGTATATGCAAAGAAGCCAGTCATGGACATCATAGCCGCTATTCATCAGGGCACCACAGCGAGTAAGCAGCCATACTCCATCGTACCTATATGACCACAGCACAACCATTATTAACTACTGATGCTACTCTTGTGTTCTGAGTTGTCTCAGATTCAGATACTTGCATAAGTGGAATCTTATTGTCAATCATACCTCTCTGCATTGGCAATGACAAAAGCTTCTAGAGCCCATCTAGGGTAGCAGAAGTTCGATATGAACTTCAAGATATTGCTCGGCCGCTGCTGGGTTGCAATGAGAGTTAAAACCACAGGAAGAAGAACCGACCACTGCAGCAAAGATAAGAGCCCATATGTCAAACTAAAATAAAGTTGCCATCTTTTGAGCTTTGGAGATGTGACATCAGTCGTTCATAATCATACTCACCAGTTGCGCAGGCCCTGCTTCAAAAAAGATGGCCAAAGCATAGGCCATGCCGGTAACACAGTAGACAAGGCAAAGCAAAACAATGTAGTTATCGGCAAAGGTTGATCTTGGGTTGGTGAAGAAATAGAACATGGAGAGGTATACAACAGGCTTGATCACTGTATTGAAATGGTCGACAGTATCCTTGGCTAGAAAGTAAGCCAAGCTGCTCATCCCAGAGGCACTCTCCCTCCAGTACTGTAGTCTGTCCAGTGAAAATGATCTCAAAGCTGCTATTTTGCAAAGGAGAGCTGACAAAATCCCAACAGATGAATTGAGTTAGCGACATATGTATTGATGAAGCTGGGAAAGAGGGGAAATTATGCGCTAAATCCTGCTTACAAACTGCAATGATTGTATGTGAATATCCAGAAGCTCCCAAATTTTTGTCATTGGCTTTTCCAAGCGATCCAAGGCAAGCTCCAGCAAGGAACAGTATAAGCAAGTCCACTGCTTGCATTTTGGCTTCTCGTAGTCGCTGCTTGAAGACTCTGAAAGATAATATGGTGAAGTCCAACATTAGCTTATTCTCCACATTACTTTAAGATAATACTGCTGAAAGTAAATGATATTGGAAGCTAGGACTTCAGTCCAATCTCGGTGAAGAACCATTTCATCCCAATAACTCTAGTTATTGGGAGAGCACCAATATCCTATACCCTTACGTAAATGTCAAGATAGAAATGAATAAAACAGTGAGGTGGTTACCTGCCAAGGTAGTATCTATACTGACTCCATACACCTGGGGTCCTTCGGTTTGACAAGTCTCTTGGCATCCAAAGGTGATCACGAATCTTATCCCGCTGCAACTCCACATTACCCTTCACATCTTGCCATAACTCCTCAGCAAAAGACTGGTCTTCATCCCCATCACCAAGCTGCAACACACTGGCATTTCTATTCATTTGAGGAGGCATAACAATTCCTGGGGTATTATTCTCTTGCATGTCGGGTGGAATTGGGTATCCGTTATTCATCATCCATTTAAGAGGAAGGTTCATATAGTTCGCCACTGTGCCTGCACTGGGCGTAACAATACCCTCTAAAATGTCGATGTAATGGTCTGGAGGATTCACGCGGTCCGGCACTTTAATCCCAATGCCATTGAAGTACCCTTCGACTTTGGCAACTGACCCATGGTATACAGTAAGTCCTCCTTTTGCCAGAAGTACCAGGTCATCAAACATTTTGAACAGGGTATAGCTACAAAACAGGGGGGGAAAAGTGTCAGCATTAAATTAAGGGTCATTTGGTAAGTTACGGTAACCATGCATAGTTCCCATTGATTCCGATATTCATGGTTTCTAACAATACATAATTTTTCCTGTATGATGACTTGGGCATGAAAACCATGCATTTCATGACCCATGTAATTCTAGAATATATGACTTCCAGTATTCTGGACAACTTGGTAACCTTCAAAGCTTTCAAGAAGACATGCTTTTGGTGGTTCATCAGTATTTTCATTTTTCCCCCCACAATCCTTCCATACATAATACAGGCATTGTTAAAGTATGTGGATCAATACTACATGGCAACAAAAAAACCCTTTAGAAATATGCAATAGCTGAATAATGCTTATATATATACTGTAAGTGGCCTTACCTTGGTTGATGAACAACCATACAGATATTGACACCTTCAAGAGCTTCACGACGAAGTGCCCTAAGAAGCAACTGCGAGGATGCACTGTCCAGACCAGATGTGGGTTCATCCAAGAGTAAAAGAGAAGGTTCCATAACCATTTCTAGTCCAACATTTACGCGCTTCCTTTGTCCTCCAGATATTCCTCGTTTTTCCACAGTCCCAACAACAGAACTTCTCACTGCCTGTAGTCCCAAAGATTCGATAGCTCTTTCAACAATTAGAACCTTCTCTGCCTTTGGCAAGTCAGCTGATAACCTTCGGAAAAAACCAAGTATTCATTGTAAGAACAGAGGCAGCAAAAAAAAAAAAACAATGGAATCTCTAACTTAGTCAAACCAAGAAAAATCTGTTTACCTGCAGTGTGCACTGAACCAGAGGTTCTCTTCAACTGTCAAGTTCCCATGCACGATATCATCTTGTGGAACAAAACCAATGATTCTCTTATATGAGTGGATGGATTGACTTTTCCCATTGATAAGAATCATACCAGAGATTTTACATCCTGCTGTCTTCCCAGCTAGAGCAGAGAGGAAGGTTGTCTTCCCCGCTCCTGATGGACCCATGACAGATGTAATACGCCCTGGTTTGATTTTCCCAGTCACACACCTTAAAATGTGCTTCTTTTTGGTTTTTAAAGTCAAGGTCAGGTCTTTGAATGCAACCTCAATCAGAGGTCTTTTCTTGACTTCGTGGTTAGCAGCCATTGCAACAACTCCTGAGAAGGTGAGATCCTTGTTTTGTTGCTGCATGGCCCTCTCCCTCTCAAGTTGTGAATAAGCATACCTAAAGATTTGGCTGTCTGTATCCAAATCCTTTCCCTTCGGTTTATGATCCATCTCAAATGTTGAACTTGCATGACTATCAGGCTCCATGTCAAGTTGATACGTCGAATGGGCATGATGAGACTGTTCCTTTTTCTTTCCAATTTCTGGGGTAAAGGAAGGAGATGGATATGCAGTACTTAGTTGGGAAGGTGCATATGAATTTTCATTTCGATTTCCATTTGGTGGTGTAGAGGATGCAGATGGATGTCGAACGCTTGATCGAGCAGTAACATATTCATCATCATTATCTTCATCGGTCTTGGCTTCATTCGGAATCATAGGTAGCTCTGCAGGTGCAGAATATTTCTTCCTGGAAAATGTTTGAGAGAGCTGGGCCTGCAATCCACCAGCACGCTTTGCAGCAGCACCTTTTGCAGATTTCCATCTTTGACGTGCTTTTGCTGTTTCGTGAGCACTTTTTGCTGCTGCTTCCCTTGATTTTGCCAATCTCCTCTCTCGAATGGCCAGAACTTGATCAGAGCAGTTATAAATCATGAGCAGCACAGTAATTAAAGCAACCTGTGAAAGCATCTCTATTTGCATTAGCTATCTCCGTTCAGATAATCTCAGTATACAGTAAATATCTAAAATGTAAAATAACAAATCCGGGGCAAAAAGTGAACAACTTACTATCACCAGGACCCCATAAGCGTGAATGTTTTGGGTTGTCGTTTTGGCATCACATGTTGTCAATTTGAAGCAACCTGCAGATAAAATACAATCAACATATTAGCGGGGAAACCATAAAATGGAAGTGGAAATATGAACTTATAGACATGTCTATAGTAAACAGTCATTAGCTGAGCTAGTAGTGATGGAAGAAAACTCTTACGTGTCTCAGATGTGGCACCCATTCTGCAATAATGTCTGAAGCACCAAGAAAACGCATCAGTGGAAGGAAACTATTGCAACCATTCCAAAGCATTTTGAACTTTCAGCAGAGAATGATAAGTAGGAAAAACTAAAGCAACAAACAAACATTGGTGAAAGGGTAATACCCACTGCTGCAAGTTGTCTGCTCAATCGTAGTAGGACAGTATGACCCCGCAGCACAGAATATCTCACTGCTAGTGGCTACGTCGGTCCATTTATTTGCTCCCCCACAGGTATGGTTAGGTTGCCCTGGGGGTGGCTGATAATTATATCTGCAAATTAACATCCCAATTTGATACAGTCAAGGAATCATTCTTCGATTATATAAATAGGAAACCGAGGGGTTGAAAGTAATCAGACACTTACGGTTCACATACACCAGTGGCCTTATTGAGAGTGGCCTGCGGGCAATACGAACCCAATGGACAAGCTTCAACAATAGAGCCAAACAACAAAAGAAGTGTGAGAAATCAAGAACCACAAACAACAGTGTCTCGTGAGATAAAAGCTCCATAAATACTTACGTATCATACAAGTAAGGCCCTGAGGACAAAAGAAACCGTCGCAACAGGTCTGGCAACTGCTAGTTCTAGCAGGAATATCATGGGAGTTTTGAAGGTCAACTTGTTGAGTCCCACCAACACTGCAAGCCCATCCTGGCTCACAGCCAGGGACCCATGTCGTCAAATTGCAGTTCAAGTTAGGTTTCAGGTAGTTGGGACCCTTAACAGCTGATGATTTATTCTGGTTCTCGAATGAGCTGAACATCGTATCGAAGTAGAATTTCATTTCTGCTGCAGTACATATGCGCCGCATCATGTCTCCTGTGCAACCAAAAACAGAATTAATCAGTAGAGGATCCAATAAACTTCATTGGAATAGATGGCTTGACTCATTTATCACATACCCCCAGTCTGTAGAATGCAATTGGACAAGAAATCCAGATTGGACGAAAAATTGAAGGCTCGGTTCCAATCAGCATCCCTGAGAAAGAGGACAAATAACCAACCACCAAAGCGTTACAACTGAGGCCAAAGTCTTTCACTACATCAAAGATTTGAGCTTTTTCCTTTTCCAGCTTCCATCTGAACTAAGAGGTCCATACTAAGACCAGCACAATCAAACAAGATTTACCGATGGAAATCACAACCAAAATGAAGACGAATTGAGTCTGCTCAGATCCAAAAATTGAACAAACAGAAAGAAAAATACAATGGATGAAGGAGTTGACTTACGGATCCTTCATGCAGAAGCTGGCCTGAGTACCAAGAGCTCTAGTGATATTGGCAGTCATATTAGAAATCTTGTTATAAGCATACTCGGCCATAAGCGGGCGAAGCGTTGGATCCCCTGCAAATGCACTATAGTCGCCGCCCATATCTTGACACTCCCCGGAAAAGCTCAAAATAGCAACTACCCATATCAGAATCAAGCAAGAAGAGCTCGAAAATCCGAGCTTCATGGACATCATCCTCCGCATTGAAGCACCAATTTGAGAAAGCCGAGATGATAAAACCAAGTTTAAAAAGAGAGCAACTTGGGTTAAAACCCAGCTATAAAAGGCGCCGCGAGGGAAAACCCAGAAGTTGGGGAAAGCAGGGAAGGAGCTCTGACGCTGTCAAGCAGGACATTGTCTTAAACACAGAAGTTTATCCAGGAAGAACGATTCAAAGGGGAAACCCCGAATTGAAGTCAACGGACGAAATCAATCAAGTCAATCGCTCTGTTTTTTTCTTTTAGAACGGGTAAACGAAGCAGTTGAGTGGTTGCTTTCTCTGGAGATTGATGATCAGAAACAGTGGGAATGGAGGCTGGGGGAAGAAACGAAAGAATGAGGAACAAATGGAGAGAAAGAGGGGCGGAACGAAGGGTATATAAAAAAAGTGGCGGGGGCGAATGGGACACGTAGGTAGAGAGATTTGGGACCCACGTCGGTCCGGCGAAGGCAAACGGCCGGCTGGCAGGGGCCATGTGGGAGAACTGTTGTGTTGTTCTGGTTTTTGAGCTTTGCTTCGCCATTGCCGCCATTTTCCCTAAGTTTTGTTGGTTAGTCGATTCGGTTCTTCGTTATCGTTGATCGGATTCGCCGTTCCGTTGGACATTATTGAAAGCAATTAACAATCCGGTGTGGTGGCATGACATTTGGTGTTTGTATATGGCATTGGCTCCGAGGAGGATCAAATCGACTTTTGTCGGGTTGGATCCGTCCTTAAGCCTAAAATTTAAGGAGTTTCTTAAGTTTGTACTGACCAATAAGAGAAGCATAGAGAAATTGAAGTCTGACCACCTAAAGTAATAAATAAGGTATATTAATTAAATATCATTATTTATAGTTAATAAAATTCGGATTTAAAATGGAAATTCGTAAGTAATATACGTTTAAAAAAAGGAAATTTTAAATTCAGAATGCCTACATTCTCTTTCTGTGGCAACTTACAGTGACATGATTGACATTTGCAATTTTATTATCAATGTTTATGAAATGAAATGCTATTTATATATCTCATCATTATTAACATTTTTAATATACTTGTCAGTGTTTTACAATTACACTATTACGATTTTAGTTCAACTGCTAACGATATACATTTCCATCATCAACAATTATCAAAGAATTATTAAAGTTATGTCACATTGTCATTAAAGGGTTAAACAAAGTTATCATAGATTTACATCATCTTTATTACGATTCATGTTTTCATGTCATGTTCATAACTAGCCAATCATTGCCTCTTATTACAACTTTCAATGACATTGTTGACGTTTTGCAATCAACTGATATCAGTTTACATTATCGTTCTCATTGATCAATGATAACAAAATTGTATTTTGTTGAAAACAAGCACAAAAATATAATGTTCAGTCTCAGTGTTAAGTATCAAATACCATCCAAAAAGTACATATGATTGTTGTATTACGTTCAAAACTAAAGCAAAAATATTAACAATGATATATAACAATTAAAAATGACATCAAACCGTTTTTTTTTTTTTTGTAATCTAGTTTATTTTTGGTAATCACATCAAACCATTAATGCATGCAATGAAAACTGTTAATAATGAATGAGCATGTCATTGAAAAGAAAATTGAATTTCGTTGAAAACCAACACAAAATTATTAATAATAACCAAATTCAATGTTAAGTATCATATGTCATTAAAAACGTTCAAAATAATATTGTATTATGTTCAAAATTAAAACAAAAATGTTAATAATAATTGGCTTCAACATTAAAAAATGACATTAGACCATTAACGATGATATTTTTATCATCAACGATTAAGAATTAATTATTAAAGTTATGTCACATCGTTATTAATGATTTGAATAACATTATATTTGATTTACAATATCTTTATTAATGATTCATGTCTTAAAATGACTTCTAATGATATCGTTAACATTTTGTGATCAATTATTATCGATTTACATTGTCATTCTTAGAGTATATGAAATTAATTTTTACCCAACATTATTAACGATTTCAATATACTTATCAATGCTTTACAATAACGTTATTAACTATTTCTCATCATTTTTCAACATACACCTCACACCATACGCATTACGCAACAATATATCACCGCATAGGAGCCACCAATATCCTAAGCTCCATAGCTTCCATCGTAGATGAGCGATGATGACATTCCGTATCTATTACCAACACCTCCGATGAGAAAATATCCATGAACACTAAGAGAGTTAACTCGCTAGGAGGAGGAGAATCGGCCGGATCTTGCCTGGTGGTGGTTGCCGGAAGTATCAGAGTGGCAGCCGAAGGAAGCACCACCGCCGGTGATGAAAAGCTTGCGGAGGCGAATATGTGGGATTTTGCGTTTTGACACGCTTGACAAGGATGCCATTTAATAGGGCTTAGGGAGGTAACTGATGAGTGCGGCCGTAATTGTTAGTTTTTTAATATTTTAATTAATTAATTAGTTATTATTACCTTAATTACCTCTAACCACCAATTAACTACTAACAATCTATTAACTACCTAAATTATTATCAACCAATAGAAATGACTTAAGATAATTCTTAAGTTAGTAGACTTAAGGACCTGAACCTAGCCCACTTTTGTCGACTTTTGTCGTCTTCAAAGTGAACTAGTAAAGTCTTAAAAATATATTAAAGGGCTTTAAGATTTTCGCCTACACCATAATACCATATGATTCATGCTAAAATCATGGTTTATGAAACCATATGCAGAATGTCAATATTAGAGTTGAAACTATTAGGTGGTATTGAGTGGTATTAATGATTGAACTATGATTAAATCACGGTAAGAGTCTTGACAATAGATACATAAATATGACGACTCCTCACGATACGTCGACATGGGCAGAGAAGAAAAGAATTGCGGTTCAGCGAAACAGAATCAGATGGTGATACTTCCACAGAAAAGGGTTCTCGGAGAATCATTTTTTTTTTGTGGAAATACTCTCCTAAGTTTCAAAGTGTCAATGGATTAATCTACTATGAGGACATAACATTCAAAGACAACCTCTTTGGCTCGGGTTACAGCAACGACAACCTGTTGGTTGTGAATGTTGCGCAGGACTCGGATCATGAACTGCTATTTCTTAAACTTCAGGACGTCGGGGATTCTGGTACAAAGCGGTCAGTCCACCTTCATCCAGTCCTGCTTCATGGGACACATCACACGGTCGGCGGAGGCGTGGAAGAGAGGTACTATTCTGTCACAGGGATTGACACCGTTGGAAATGACAATGTCATCGGTGATTTTCTTCTCTGACGGTGTTGAGAGACGTCCACAATTGCGAAAACCAGCGAATCTTCGGCTAGATAGGTCATGGTCAAAGTGGATGCCAACTACAACCGAATCGCCTACTACTTTGTCAATTACAACCCGATCGTATTACAACTTCACATATGCAGAGGAGGAAGGAATTGCGATTCAATGCAAGGAGAAACAAGTTGTGCGAAGTATCACTTGCAATCATTTGAATAAAAGTTTTTTTTAACAAAATTGCATTACCAAGAATCAGAAGATCACAAACGTTTACAACTCCATCCGGAACCAAGCGCAAAAATCAAACCCACCAATAAGAGTAGGAAACAAAGAAATGGCATTTCTAAAATTGAAAAAGAACCAATAAATGACACCAATATTTTTCATTCTGTCAAATTTTCAACTACATTCATCCAAAATAAATTATTTGAAACATGTTATTATCTAAAATTCATTGGTCCAATGCAAAAAAAAAAGGGCTAATACCACTGGGAAACCCGAACTATTAACTTTGTGCCATTTGTGTCCTAAAGTATTCGATATGATATTTGTGTCACAACGTATGATAGTTGTGTGTCATTTATGTCCTGACGATTTTGTTGACCGTTATAGATAACGGTTGACCAAACGGAAGTCAACATTAACATTGACTTTTGTTGACGTGGCAGCCACGTAGATGCCACGTCAATGACACCTCATATTTTTAATTAAAAATTAAATAAAAAAATAAAAGATTATTAAAAAAAATAAAAAAGAAAGGCAAAATACACCTGTATAGCCAAAACTTTGACGATTTTGCCAAACATAGCCAATTTTGACGAAATACCAAAAATAGCCATTTCCGTCCAATTCTTTGACGGTGTGAGTTAACGTGCTGACTGGACTAACAGAAAATCTGACATGTCAAACTTTTAGTCTATAAAAATATGAGCTGGAATTAATAGAAAAAATAAAAATAAAAAAGTTTATTATTTTCACTCCCCCCCCCCCCACGCCCCTCGGTTCTTTCCCCTTCGCTTTCCCCAACCGCCGATCATCTTCTCGAATTTCTTCCTCCGGCTCATTCTCACCACCGCCGCTGAGGAACCGCCTCTCCACTTCTTCACATAAACTTAAATTAACCAAAAACCCATTCACAACATGTCAATGATCTGCCTCTTCGAATATACTGATTGTGCAACCATCTGCCTATCCCAACAAAAAACCCCAAATGCAAACATCTCAATTCCTAAACCAAAAACCCCAAAATACAACATCCGTTTCAATTTCCCCACCGTGATAGCGACAGGATCGTCGGAGAAGAAGGCAACATAGAGATCTGTGAAGAAATCGAAGCATCCGGGCGACCAGCAGATCTTGTAGGCGGCGATTCACGCGCTCGGCGGCGACGAAGGCGTAGTTCTCGAAGCTGGTGTAGAGGTGCCAGATCCCGGTGTCGATGACGCCGATGATGACGCCGTAGGCGGAGTTGAGGGGGAGTGGTGTGGAGGTGGCGGATCTGGTCAGGGACAACAACAAAGGAAAAAGGAGAAACATTTTCGGCAAGAAATTCGAAAATCGTCTTCCCTGTAAACACAATTATGGAAAGGAAGCAAGAAAGAAAGAAACACGGGAAAAGGGTAATTACCTGCTAGAAAACTTCTTCTAACTCCGTGATCGGAGATTTCCCGCCGGAGGGTAAAACTCTCTGTTTTGTAGAAAGCAGAAAGCCCTATGCTCTTGTAGTAGTAGAAAGCAGAAACCAAGCGAGGATTTCGGCGACGAGCTCTGGGGGGAGAATAGGCAGATGCCGCCGCGGTCGATCTGTATTCTTCGCCTTGTCGGAACTTGGAGAGAATGGGTCTGCGCGAAAAGAAACGAAGGCGGCGGAGCTGGGTACGTCGTCGGGTGCGGCGGCGCTGGGTTCGTCGACGAGTGCGGCGGGCTGCTTCAATCGGTGGAGCTGGGTTTGTGAACGAGTGCGGCGGGGATGCTCTTCATCTTCATGGCTGAAACCCTAAATGAAATGGAATTGGGGAAATGAAAGAGGAACAATACCAATCTGATTCTCCTGATTTAGGTTTTTTTTTTTTTTTTTTGCTTAAAAATGACGTGTCATCCCATTTGTCAATGGATGCTGAGGTGGGAAGGAAAGATACAGTGAGTTGGCAGCCAGATCATTGTTCCGTTAATTAGATTAACGGTGTCACTGACGCCGTCAAACTATGTAACGGAAATGGCTATAATTGTCATCGAACTTTTAAATTTCTGGCTATTTCTGGTATTTCGTCAAAAGTGGCTATATTTGGCAAAATCGTCAAAGTTTTGGCTATACAAGTGTATTTAGCCAAAAAGAAACCCTCATAAGCTTTCCTCTTCTTCTAATCACATTCCGCCGAGGAAGAAGGGAGCGGCGGCGGCATTTCCTCTCCGATTTCTTCTCTGCGTAAAAAAATTTCCTCTCCGTTACAGGTCCGCCGTTACTTCAGTAATAGACTCTTGTTCTGCAATTTTACCAATCGAAAGGTTGAATCCGGGAACCAACTCAAATTTGGAATAAAGAATCGTTCGTTTGCGAGTGGGCTGCTTGCAAAATTTGATGGGTGTCTCCCGATTAATCAGCATAAGGCTTTTAAAGCTCTCTGCAGCGAGGTCTGCCACCAATCTGTAGTTTACCCTCTTCTCTGCTTCTTCTACTATGGCGAGCACCACCACCTGCTTCTCCCCTGTTACAAATTAGGGTTTGAAGTGAATTGGGGATTCTAAACAAATTGTAGGGCAGAACATCCAGAAGATGGTGAAGGATGATTACATTTCGCAGGGTATGGTTTTGACGATGGCTGCTGGATTTGGCTGTATATTACCCAGACGACGGAGGTGGAGGCTGCCGGAGTGGTCGAGCGGCGGAGGTGGCGAAGTGCAGCGGAGGCGAAGGAGGACAACCCACGAACCCTTCGACCGGAATTCGCGACGGAACATCCCCGATTCCTTCCTCTTCCTCTTCCCTACTCTCCCGCTCGTCACATTCTTCGCACGCGACGAGGTTAACATTATCCCGACAGAAAGAGGCGATTCTGTCCCCGCATATTTGGCAGAGAGGGGTTCTCAAATGCGATTCTGTCCCGTATAATTTTTCTTATTTAAAATTTTTATTAGGTGCAAAAGTAACTAAAAATTAATATTAAAATTCCATGTCAGATGCCACGTCAACGCTGACTGGACTTTCTGTTAAGAACTAACGGTCAACGCCAGTCAACTCTAACGGAAAAATAGTTTGTGACACAAATGTCATATCGAATACTTTAGGACACAAATGACACAAAGTTAATAGTTCGGGTTTCCCAGTGGTATTAGCCCAAAAAAAAAAACTATCTAACCTTTTGCTCATAAAAAAATTCAAATTTTATTTTCAAGTGGGGTATGTGGACCTCACAACTTACAAGGTGGTTTTACCAATGTGTATAATCAAGCGGGTTCGAGTTGAATAGTAAGAAAATCATTCTCAGCTATCACCCGCCATATTCAAATTTGAATTTTACCCAAACCCAATAAAAATCATTTGAGTTCAAATTTCATCCTACTCGATTAGATCGGATTCGACACACAGTTCACATTATAATTTTCTTTACCATCCTCACTTATATAAGATTTAATTGCAAGGAGGGCGAATCCACCAGGAAACAACAACCAAGCTCACAATTTCCTAAATATCCTGGTTTTGTCCCGTTCTCGTTGGTCCTTCCCGCCGGATTTTGGAACCGGGTGGTGCTAACAACGTTTGTTGACCTGTTCTATACATATAATCCGTTATTAAGTACAACCATTAGCTAGTAGTAAATAATTAACCAAGATTTGGAACTATGTAATATCCTCAACAATCCTGTTTTTTCCCCCTCTGAAGGCAAATGGCATATAACCATATTGTAAACTCTCTCAATCTCCATTTTCCGACCAAGAAAGAAAGCTGTCCAAAGTTCGTCCCTTTGTATTTGCAACCATCCATCTTGTTCTTTTCCTTGTTTTCGTGATATCGACTTAATATGGGACAACTTCACTCATATTGGTGATATTTGTTTGTTCTTCTTTGAAAATAAGTCAACTGCAATTAAGTTAGTGGAAGTGGGAGATTAATTGTTGATAGGGGGTGTGCAATATGACGCAGTCTGGTTCAAATATCGATCCGGTCTCTTTTTCTTTCATTTCATAAATTTTGTGGGGGCCAAGAACTTAACTGTTTTACATTTGATCTGATTTGGGTCGGTTTTAATGTCTATTTGATCCAGTATGCACCAAATCATTGTATACCCTTAATTGTGGAATCGTGAATTCAAATGTTTGTTTATGGTATTTTCAAATAAAGAACTGAATGATGAGTTGCTTATAAATGATCACATGAAATATGTTTCTCGTATGTCTTTCTTTCAAAATTATTTTCCATATTCTCGAGATCCTGAAACAAAAAACAAAAAAGAATATGAAGCATCACATCGTCGAAATAACCGAATTAGATCTAAAATGACAAGACACAAGGGTTGAAAGGCACGAGGCAAATGTGATATCACAATGACCCAAATGATGTGATGGTGGTTAAGGGAGAAAATTATTTGTCAAATTTTTTTTTATTTGTCAAAAAATGGTTTAAGGGAGAAAATGACATGTAGTATTTGCAATGAAGTAGTGTGGTTGAGATGGCTTACGCAAGAACATGGGATATCCACGCAAGAGCCAACTCCAATACATTGCGATGATCCAACAGCATTGCATATTGCTACTAATCACGTCTTCCATTAGTGAACATATTAAGCATATGAAGATCGATTGCTATTTTATTCGAGAATATGCGGTGTCATCAAAGATGGTGTCTCAAAAAGATCTCGACTAATTTCCAGTTGATCGTTGTTTTGCATAAAGGGGGATGGAAGCATAATAGTTCACCCATCTTTTGCAAACCTCGCCTTCATGGTATCTTTGGCTCAACTTGAGAAGGAGTGTTTAGTAGCAACTAGCAACAACGCGAACTCTATCCTAATTATTAGTTGTTGGTTTATTGGAATTGTTGTTTTTTTTTAATTAATCATGTAATTCGGTCTACAGCCCAAGCTGTCTACAATGTAGTTTGTGTCAGAAATGATAATTATGTATCCAATTCATCTATCAAAATATCAATTAATCCAATTTATTTAAATTCATTATCCAATCCATTTAATCGAAATTCAATTAGCTTGGTGGATGCATAGATTTATTAGCAAATTGCAAGTTAGTACCTATATATTGTTGGTAATTGCATTTTGGTACTTGGAATTTGTTATTATGGCATTTTAGTACCTAAACTTTTCAAATTGTTCATATCGCTCCAATATTTAGATGCAACTTAGATTCATCAATCCAATTCACCAATCCATTTTAATCCAATCTAAGAATTCACCGATCCATTTGAATCAAATTCATTTGCCCCCTTTAAGTTTGTGAGAAAACAAGAACTTTTGTGGTAAGCCTACGAGTAGTGGCAGACCTAGAAATTTTACATAGGGGTGTCCTCTTTAAAAAAAAAAATCGTAAATAACAAAATACCTTACTCGTACAGGTTACAAAAAGTTCATGATGTGTTTTCATATTCAGAAATAATTGTAGAATACACTTGGTGTCTACAGTGTTAAAAAAATTTGTCTCTATATACCCTACTAAACAATCATTCACGAACTGATCGCATATTCGATTTGTAACTCATTTTTTATGTAACCCAAAGCTGAAAGACTCTTTTAACACTTGCCGTACAACCATAAAATCAATACAAATTAATGGTAGCTTGAAATTAGTTTATTAACTGTTAGCATTTGAAAATAATTAGAGATAGGAATGACATTTTACTATTACACAATGTTCTAAATCGAACAACAAATCAGTTGTAGGTTAATGAAAATTATGTTTATTAATAATAACTAATTTTTTGACCCGCGCTTCGCATCGGTAATAAACTAATAAAAATAATAATTGAATTTCTATGCGAAGAAAAAAATAATGAATTTCATTCACTCATTTAATGATTTGGTTGAAATCAAATTATTCACAATATTTTTTGGGTAAGATACTTGCATAAACTTTGCGTAGTATCTTAATTATTGCGAAAGACTTACATAATACATTTGCTTAATTGATACATAAGAAATAACTATCATGTTATAAGTTTTACGTAACTAATTTACGTAATTGTTGTAGAATGGTGTTATACAGAATTTTCATAATGGGTGGTCTAATAATAAAATCAAGTTACGGATACGTCTCATATTTTATTAAAATATTACGTAAAAGTTACTTATCTTACGGAGCCCTTGCGTAATTCAAATTGATGAGATCAAGAATATAGTAGGTAATACCATAGGAATTGTATTTAATAAAAGTGAATTAAGTTACGAAAAGTATCATATTCGATCAACAGTTTAGTTAAAAATTAGGATTTTTTCTTCAAACTTATATCACGGAAAATTTATATTTTATTTTTATTTAATTAATACATAATAAATTACTATACCTTCATAAACTTTATGTAGCGTCTCAGTCATTACGAAAATTAGCTCTCTGTAAGCATTACGTAATGTATTTATAATTTACGTAATTGATATTAGTAAATCTTTCATAATGTATGGTCTAATAATAAAATCAAGTTATGAAAAGTATAACATTTGATTAAATTTTTTAAAGTAATTAAAACACCCATGTGATTTTCGTTAATTGTGATATGAATGATGTTGGATAATCAATTGTGGCAGGGCCGGCCAAGAGGGTGTGCCGGCCCGCCCTCCGGCACAGGGCCTCCGAATATTAGGGGCCTCCACTTAAATTCGTTAGTTACCAATCGAATATTGCAGGTTGTTTTTTTAGTGTATGATTGATAGATTATGAATATGATGACGAATTTAATAGATAATTTTAGCTATAATAACAATTGAAAAGGATCTCATGGAGAATACGAAAATCAGAGAGATAATAGATCATTTTAATTTAAACAATAAAGAAAGATATTACATTTTGAATAATGGTATTATAATCATTTTAGTTTTATTAGAGTTAAAAGTCAATTTGGATCATGTCTCAATTTTGGAATAGGGCCTACACGATCCATTAGATAGACCCGCACCCATCTCTCGATTTATTTATATTATTTTCATTTTCCCATTCAATTTTTGCTCTATATCCATTTTTTGTTCCCTCCAGATTTACTTTTCTCCCTCCCTGCTAGGAGTGAGAATTTGGTCTTGGTTTCTTGATCAAACATGAAGTGAGATTGTTTATTAATTTTGAAATCATTTTCTGAACTTATGTACTTTATAATTATTTAATAAATTTTATTTTCAATAAATTTATTGAGAAAAAAGTAGGGATCACATGTTAAATTTTCGAACAGGGCCTCCAAATATCATGGACGGCTCTGAATTGTGGAAACCCTATAAAAGTTAAATCGAATATTTTAGATGTGATTTTTCTCTTTTTAATTCATACCTGTAGTGGATTGAGGATTAAATGGGAGAAAAAAAGGACAAAGGGAAAGAGCAGTCGAAACTCGAGAGGAGAGAAGGGAAGAAAGAGCTAGCTAGGCTAACGGTTGGGCTTAATACTCAGCCAACCCAAAGTAGTTAACTTGAGTTTTCCCCTAAAAATTTGCAATGAACAGTAAATCCGAAATTTAAGCAACTTGCGGATCAATATTATTTACTAATAATAGTGTTCTAGATTTGATTATCCAACCTACCACTTATATTCTCATACACAAATTTAAAAAGGGACAGTAGGATAATCATTTTTTCAAATTTCAGGGGGTGTCCCTCACTGTCAATTATAATTATTTGTCCGTACGTAAATTACCACCAAAGGTTGGATAATTGTTTTCCCAAATTTTAGGGGTGTCCCCTTGGGTCCGCCCTTGCCTACGAGTAACAAAGAAATAAATGAGAGCTTTATGGAGCATGAACCACGAGTAAGATTATTCACATCGAATGGTAACATGAATCGCGTCAAAATCGTTATACGAGTCTGGTTTATATCTCCGAGTTATCAATATCTTGAAGAGATAGTCGCCCCACACCTGACTTAAACTTGAATTCTGCAAATTACACCTACGAGATAGATTTCACATTTCAGTTAGGGGACTGAATCAAACAAATCCAAATCACTCAAAATTGTCTGTATTTCATACTTTATTTAGGTTTAACAAATACTCTGATGACACGGTTCCGCGGGAAGGAGTTTTTGATGATTTTCATACTTTTATTAATTTTAGTTCTCATCTCCTCGGTTTTACGGTTGGTGAGCTACAAAGAATCCAGCTGCCGCGGATTTGACCTGCCTCTCACATCATGGACTGCTCGTTCTTGCTGCCCTTTTCCCATTCTTAATAATAATAAGCTTTCATGGCGCCATAACAATAAACAAATCTGCATTAAAAACCATGATCACCTTCTCCAATTTCGCTTCTCCGTGATATTGTTTTAGAAGGAGACTGGTGACCTGTCTTCGTGGAGGGAAAAAAGTAGTAATTCTTCTTGGGGCGCTACAAAGAATCCGGCTTTATTACATTTCGTTGATTTTGCTGTGGGAAAGGTGGAATTTTTGTTCATTTCTGTTCCCCCCTGTTTTTTTGTCCTTTCTTTGCATCAGTGGCTATGAAGTGTTTCCATTATTTCTCGAGCAGAGAGGAAAATGGTGGAGGAGGAGGAGGGATACCGTCGCCGCCGCCAGCAGTGCTCAAATCTGTTTCCGGAAACTCGAATTCTTCTTCGGTATCCATGTCGAACTCGACTGATCTTGACATGAGAAGATCTGGGTCGGAGTTCAATTCGCAGAACATGTCCGATTTCAGCACCGAGTCGTCTGCACAGAACTCGTTCGCGGTAATGTCTCAGAGAAGACAGCAGCTGCTGCAGAGCAGTAACCTCCGCGTGTTCACATTCTCCGAGTTGAAGTCGGCCACCAAGAACTTCAGCAGATCGCTCATGGTTGGAGAAGGAGGGTTCGGCGGCGTGTACAGAGGGGTGATCAAGAGCGCGGAGGATCATGGGAAGAAGATTGACATTGCTGTCAAGCAGTTGAGCAGAAGAGGGCTCCAGGTAAAGAAGCTTTCTTTGACCTTTCTGCCTTTTTTTGCTTGTGAGTGCTGCCCCAACCTGTATGATTATAAAATGCTAAATCACTCCAGGACTTGATGAAGATTATCTCAATTAGGCCACTAGAAAACAACCCTCTTCCAAAATCTTGGCACGTTGGTTTTCTGATGTGTTCTTGCATTTTGTTTGTACACAGGGACACAAGGAATGGGTTACAGAAGTCAATGTGTTGGGCATTGTTGAGCACCAAAATCTCGTCAAGCTGATCGGCTACTGTGCTGAAGATGACGAAAGGGGCATCCAGAGGCTACTGGTCTACGAGTACATGCCGAACAAAAGTGTGCAGGATCACTTAACAAGTCGGTTTCAGACACCACTTTCCTGGGGAACAAGGATGAAAATTGCTCAGGATTCAGCCAGGGGACTAGCTTACCTCCATGAAGGAATGGATTTTCAGGTAACAGATTGTGTTTCATCTTTTGGCACAATGGGGGGCAGTAGATAGAAGGTAGTGACTATAATCAGTTGCCAATTCCCATCTGAATGTTGATGCAGATCATTTTCAGAGATTTCAAGTCATCTAACATACTTCTGGATGAAGAATGGAATGCTAAGCTGTCAGATTTTGGGTTGGCTAGGTTGGGGCCTTCAGAGGGTTTAAGCCACGTCTCAACTGCAGTAAGTTTCAGGTTTACACAGGAACTTGAATGTCACCTCCCTTTTACTATGCCTTGCAGAGAAATGACATAGAGGAAACCCTTCTTAATATTCTTTTGATTTAGGTTGTGGGGACGATTGGGTATGCAGCTCCTGAATACATACAAACAGGGCGTCTCACAGCAAAGAGTGATGTGTGGAGCTACGGTGTTTTCCTGTATGAACTCATCACAGGCAGGCGTCCCTTGGACCGGAACAAGCCAAAGAATGAACAAAAGCTGTTGGAATGGGTGAGGCAGCACCTCTCTGATATGAGGAAATTCAGGCTGATTCTGGACCCCAAACTGGAAGGAAAGTACGATCTCAAGTCCGCCCAGAGACTCGCTGCAGTGGCCAATAGGTGCCTCATGCGACAGGCTAAAGCACGCCCCAAGATGAGCGAGGTTCTGGAGATGCTTAACAAAATCATGGATTCTGCACAACTCGGGACTAGTCCCCAACTCCCAATGAAGACACTAAGGGATCCAGAATCTTCCAGACGAATTCCTCGTCTGAACCTCAGCATGAAAATGGGAGGCAAGGGATGGTTCTGTTGGCGAATACAGAGACCAAAGCTTCTGAGAGCATCACGAAAGGGAGTGAACTGATTGTCATCCTAGTAATTTTGTTCAGCTGACATGGGTATTCTTCTCTGTTTAAGAGGTGAGGGCTTTAATTGTAAAGGTTTTGTTACCAACGTTTTGGGGAGCAGCAGAAGAGTTTTTTCGTTGCTGATGTAAAAGTCTGATTACATTGCCAACTCGTTCATGCCCGTTTATCATGTCAACGCTGGAATGTCTAACCAACAATAGATTCTCAGGATACTTTGTACCAAAGTCAACTCCCTCCTGCAACTACTTCGTTTGACGAATACTCTGTGCTTGCGAGTGCACTGTCACAGTGGCAATCCAAATCAGACTCGGATTTCTCATTATCAATAGCCTCAACTTGAGTACTTGATCTTCTTCTCCTCTTCAAAATGGGGTCGGACTCCATCATCAATTCAACGTACTTCTGCCTAACTCTTGATAAAGGATGCCTCTCTATGGCTGATTCATCGCGATAAGCCTCCTTTAGAATCGCTGTACGGGTCTTGTTCCTGAAAGACAAGTAAAAAATGTGGGGATGCCTTTCAAACGCCTTGTGCACTTTCTGCGGCAAACCGAAATACTTCTTCAGGCACAAAAGCCTCTTTCTTTCAGCTGAATGATCTACAAACAAACAAAGCAACTCATGGAGAAACCCCACAACCCTCTTCTCTGCAATATCACTGTCTGTATCCAAATAGGAGTAATCCTCATATGGTGACACATAAGGAAGTTTTTGATACTCAATGAGCCAATCAGCTATCTTCCTCTTAAGCCTCAAACCTTTTGATGGAAAGAGAGGAAACTGTAATGCCTCCATTGGCTCCCCTGAATAAACCCCTTGCTTCATGGCGTTCTTTTGAAGGACAGATAAAACTCTTCCTTGGCTCTCAACAGCTAAACCCTTCAACCCACCTTCCAAATCCACTAATCTGAAAGACCCATCATCGAATCTCTGCAGATAATCATCAGGCAAACCCAAATACCATGCCATCCCTTGGATGATCTTCAAAGGCACTGCCTTTTCTTTACTCATCCAAATGAACTTCTTCAGTCTTTCCGTTAGACCACCCTTCTGATCCTCAAGAACACTCATTTCTTCTCTATCAATCTCGGCTGCTCTCTGGGTCAACCTAAACCAGGGCAAATTATGATGGGGGCCAACATATTCCTCGAAGATTGATGGGTATTGCCTAAAAAACCTAGCCACTTTGATTTTCAGATCAAATTGCAGACCTTTCTTTGACACATCAGATATGGGGATGCAACCATTGGTGTTCCGAGCTATGACGTTCTTCAGAGAAACAATGCGCTTCAGCTCCGTGGACTTGTGAATGTGCTCGATTGAGTCGAAGTAGGGATCTTTCTTCCATTTCATAGTCACTTGAACGTAGCTCTGAGTTTGGGTGTAAGAACATTGGAGATTTGGTGGATCATTGTTGGCTAGCGGAAAGATGAGATTTTGGGAAGCTGAGGTTAGGGCTTTGATGCATTTGGACTTCCAGTTTCTTACGATCATACGGGTTGGAGAGAAAATCAGATTGGAGTATAGAAAATCGGAGCCTAGATAGGGTTTTGGGGAGTTTGAAATTGGGGATGGCCGCTGGGAAAGTCGACAGCTAACTGCCGTAAGCAGATCGTCGGCGGGAAACGGAAGTTAAGTGGCGGTGATTGGTCGTGGGAGTTGGGCTTTTTGTTTTGCACTTCATGTCTCATGAGACAAATTGATCATGGGCTCATGGCGATTCGTCGTTGGCCTTGAAAAAACGAGCCGAATTTGAGCTTAGTCTTACTCAATTTACACGATAGCTCAATTTAGTGGTTTGTTGAGCTCAAGGTGGATCTTTGTCATATGTATGGAAAATCCATACATTCACAAAAAAAATTCATATCGGTATCCAACTGATATAACTTTTGATATGACAACAAAAGGATTGTTTTGATAGATACTGATATTTTAAAAATCTGCACCTAACTAATCAACTTTGTGCTACTAGTATGCTCTAGATCCTCACACTTCACCATTTACAGCATCCATATCACTAAAAATTTATGTAACCGTTTATCTCTTAAATCTTATGTCTTGTTCATTCTTCTTCACTATGAAAATAATATCTCATAAATTACGTCAATCAACATCCACATTTTTACAACATTACGTAACATCCAGACATTACGTAACATCCAGAAGGACGGTATGGATGGATTTTCCCCAAACCACACATACATGTTTGTTGGTTTTAATATGTAATAGAAACCAAGTAGCCAGACATTCTCAGTACTAAGAAGATTTGTATTATACACTAATACTGACTATAAGGCGCATCGGCTGTTATGTACAATCCGGTTCATAATTACACAAAATTGAGAGGGACTCCCCTATATGGAGATGAAAGAGAGCAAGTAATTCTTTGTATCATATACAATGGAATTTTATCAAGCATCTGTCAAGAACCAACAGCAGCAACATTCAGGGATGGAAGCTTATGCCCCAAGAAAAAAGCCGCGACCCCTTTGCCAAAGCATATATGTAAATTCATTGCCCATTTTCTAATTGGAGAGAGGCTGCTTCCACCATTTCTTCTTCTTATTTTCCTCAGCCAAGAACAGACTCTGTAGAGAAATCAAAGTTCAGACAGGGAAAGAAGCATAATTTTTCTAGCATTCTCTAAACAACTATTTCATATCATTCGACATGATAAACAAACGAATGAAGAGAACTTTCATATCGCTTGCGAAAGGGTAAAGGGGAAACATCTCTCACCTCCTTCAGGGTATATTGAATTGTAATGCACCTCTGCCCAGAAGCTCAAGAATATAACTGCAGAAAAGGAAAGAAAAAGAAGAAGAAAAAAAGACAAAGCCAGCATCTTAGCTTAGTGAAGAAGTAGTTTCAGAGCAGGGATATGGATCTACTACATTCATCATATGCAGAATTCTGTGATTAAAGCGTTTGGACTTCTCAACATGGGGCCAATCTAAGAGCAAATCGAAGACTCAGAATTGTCTTTCCGAAATTCTTAACTGCGTTTGGACTTCTCAACATGGGGCGTGATCTCAATATAACATGTGTCCTTGAAAGAGGTAAGCACAAATATCTTTACTCCATACTGCAATTCATTGAGAAAAGATCCATTAGCCAACTGATTCCAAGTAATAAAGGAGAAAAAAGATATCTCCTGTGGATCCTGGATTCCTGCAGAACCCTATATTGAAGTGATCGAAACTCAAGAAACTGACTAAGCAAACAACAGAAGGAACATACTGAATCTGCAGCAGCTTGTAGCGTGACATGATCACCCCATTCACCAGGCCTATAGTTAATCAATAAAAAAGCAAATAATTGTAAGCATGAATGGTTGATTGACGAAAAAGATTTATCAAGACAAGCATTACAAGGAAGTAAGCATACTTGCACATGTTGTTCAGATAGTCGCTGTAAGGCATAGGAACATACCCCTCGTACATTTCAGGGAGAGACCTCAGCTGGTCATGAAAACAAGGTCAATAGCATCAGGCACAGAGGTGGTAAGAAGGAGAGGGAACAAAACAGGAAAACAAAATTACACTAGCTCACCTGATCAACCACTTGCTGCCTGACAACTTTGTGGTGCTCAGTAGAGCGATATAGTTGATCTGATAAAGCACGAAACTGAAAAAACATAATGTTAATGAGACTTCTGGTCTTTGACTACCTGGGGGTTGAATTTTTTTTAAATATATAGCTTTTCACTATGAATACAAGGGATCCAACCTGACAATTACCGTCTCCTTGAACCTTATTCTCGACGAGAGAATATACCTTCAACCTTGAAAAGGGAAAGCAACAATGTCAGAGACTTGCTCAGCAAGCAAGGCCTTTTACAGGGCAAGAACCAAGAGCATCCCCCGCATGACAGGCATAACATACCAACAATTATTCCTGGTCAACAAATGGCCTAGTACAGGGGTTGATAACAGAAACATAAAGCGTTTGCATGTTCCAGTTACAGCAAAACCTTGAGAGCATAATTCAGTTCATCATCCTTTCTCATGTGCAGGCAAATACTTCTCTTAACACACGAGCATCCAACTCTAACAGATGCACTAAATTGCAAAGCTATAACTTAGGCAACGCTGACCTGTCTAGGAGTCTCTGATGATCTGAAACCTCTTCATCCAGTGTTGGTATTTCTCCATTAATCTTAGGTAAATGCTGCACATAAACAGATATTTAACTAGAATCCTACTGGAAGATTTGCAAAGCAAGCATTCTGGATATCTTCTTTATTTACAATTGAATCAACAATGACATACATTAAACAGATTCCGAGAAGGGGTGTTCATACTACCAAAGTAAGCGGATGCAAGGACAAAATACTAGGACGGACCAATGTGAATCATAAAAATGATCATATTTTTTTTGTACACTTATTTGGAGAAGATAAAATTATGAAACAAAAAAATAAACATGTTTTGACATTCATTATATTTCTGCAGTCAAAATAGTTATGTTCTTCACCTAGAATAACATGAGTTATTTCATAAACATTATGCTTACAGGAACAGGAACCATCTTCTCATTGATCCTTTTGCCCACTTCACCATCAAGAGTATACTCATCCGCTATGTTTAAATCAAATGGCTCGTCTTCCACACTAGGATGCTTAGCTTCCTGGAAAGATGAAGAAACTGATATGGGCACTTCATCACCATCTTCTACTTTTTTATGACTAAAGCCATCTGCTTCCTTTTGTGTGCAGTGGGGAACCCCCTTTCTATCAGGTTTATCATTAACGCCCATTCTCTGGCCAATCTCATGATCTACAAGTAGAGCATAATATTACTAACATTTCAGTGAAGACAAATTATTAAGGATCAGGAGACTTAATAACTAGAAAAAAATCATATGGAAAACCTGCTCCAAAATTCTTACCAATTCCTGAAGGACTAAACCAGTCCTGTGAAACAATGGACTCTCGTCCATTGCCAAGTCGACCAGACGCTTCAGCAGCTGCTACGCGAGAGAACTCTTCCTGCAGAGCACGTGCAATAACTGCATCGCTCTCTACATTGTTGCTATATACCGGTTTGTTATAGCCCTCCCTTACATAATCAACTTGGCTTTGGTCTGCTTCATACCGAGTAACACCACTACACGAACCATCCTTGCGAACTCCAAAGACACCTATCAGATTGTGAAGGCCCCACCGAACAACATCAGGATCTTGTTCATGAACGATCATATCTTCAAAAAGTAAGGCAAGAAACCTTTGTCTCCTTTTCTCCCCCCAAAATAAGAAAACCCCAAGGATGAGGTAAAGCCTGTCAAGAAGCCAGAGTTAAAAACTTGGAACGGCCGAAGTACCAAAACAGAAAGAAGTCCCAACACTGCCATAACACAAAAGGGGTGAAACATGATTTATTTTCTTAACACGAAAGGAAGAAGCTGAGTTCAAAGGGAACCTAGATCAATGGTCCTACAATCAAACTTTGTGGCCTTTCAGATAAAACAAGAACCAAATCCTCCAAACTTGAGAACGTTATGATCAAACTGGTCACAAAAGCCTTCCTCCTCCACCAAACTCCACAGAACAGAGCCCGACCTCAGCTTTTGAAACCCTAAAGCCCCTGAACTCAGAGCTTCTTAAGCCCTTGAACCAATCCAGGCACAACCCAGAAATCAACGCGCCACCGTCCAAAAACCCAATTGCCAAATCGACAAGTCGAGGAGAGAATCTACTTATCCAGAATGGCGAGAAGGGAAAGGCTTTTTTTTTCTGCTAGCAGACGCGTACCAATAAAAGGGCTAAGCGGAAGTTGGATTGGCGCTAAAGAAAAGAACTCCAAGCCGTAACGGAACCGGGAAGGCAACTGAAAGATCGTCTGAATGGCTGGCGTAAGTTATGATTGCGATGACGAGTCTCTTTTCTATTTGATTACTTATTTCTTGTTCTTCAAGATTTCCCCATCTATTTATCTATCTAATCGATGCTAGCAATACACAAATATAGAAAGAGAACCTTTGAGGTGGTGGGGGCCAGCCGGCGGCGGCTTCTGCTCCGATTGCTGAAACGATTGAATTGGGGAATTTCTTTATTCTGTCGCCTGAATGACTAACTGACGTCTTAGTTTTAATGTATAGTTTCCTTTTCTGGAACTATTCGTGAAGATGAGGATTAGGTGGAAGATAAGATACATTCGTCCACATGCACGTCATATAAAATTCTTCCTTGAAAAGGCAATCCTTATAAAAAAATCAACAATTAGTCAAGAAAACTTGTAAAAATAAAAAAATGGTAGATCCCACATCAAATTTTAGACGTTTGTAAAAAATAAAAAAAATAAAAAAATTAGACGTTTGTTTCAACCACGAAATCAAATTGACTATAGGGTGGCTATACGGTCCGGTCCGGTCCGGTTAAATTGAACCAAATTGATCTGGTACCAGTCCGATATTTTCGGGAATATAAGGACCAAAGATTGAATTGAATACTGTCTGGTCTTGATCCGGTCCGGTCCCAATTTGATCTTGATTTTAGATTGAGCTTGTGGGGATTTGAGTGTTGGGGTCTCTTATCCGGTCTTTATCCGGATTTTTTACCTCAAATCTAAACCCGAATATGATATTGGATTGTTTGCTATCCGGCCCAGTCCGGTCCCGGTCCGGGTTATACGGTCCGGTTTCGGGTAAAACCAAACAGTGCGGACCAAATAGCCAGCCCTAATTAACTAGCAATGAAGAGGGGTGTTTATTGGCAGTAACCTTATGGTGAGTAATCATGAGTAACCTGTCCTCATCAACATGACATCAGCATCCCTTTCTCTCCTGGAAAACCTTTAATTTTTCCCTCCTTAATCTTTGACAGACGATTTCTCACTCGTTTTAAGTCGAAATTTAATTTTTTTTTTACACAGTTAGATCAGATTAATTGTGTTCTTCAAAATGATAACCACTTTGATATATTTTGCGAACAAAAAAATTTGACCCATTTTTTACCAGTCTATACCATATGGTATTGACTGGTATTGAAATAAGAGCATACCTATGGTTTGAAAAGCGTATCATGGTGGAATGAACAAACCAAGACTGTAGGATAGTTGAAAACATGATAGTAGAAGTATATTAACCGTCATTTACGACTTTTAACAATGTGTATCACAAGATATCACCTCGTACCATGGTGGTATTGTGTGATATTTTTTGGTCCTGTAATTTGTTCACCCAGAATTTTGTAGATCCAATAGATCATGATGAACTCGTTCCTTCTGTGCAAACGTTTTTCAAAAACGAATTAAAAACGAAGAATATATCATATGGTATGCAGTTGGTACCGAGAGGCAAGAATTTTTTTTTTCCTAAAAAAATATTGAAAATGGATCTCATTTTATAGAGCACAATGAACTCGTTTCATTTGTGCAAAAAAAAAAAATCCGAGTTAAAACGAAGAAGATATGAGCCTATTAAAAAAGATAAGGACAATAAAAATGACATTTAATTCTCTATCTTAGATCTGGATTTTCTAAATGAAAGGTCCAGATTTAGGTATTGATGGAGATTATGCACCCTATCTTGAACCGTGTTTACGACCCTCCCAAACCTAAGGCGCAACTAGAGCTAGGCCGAGGTAACTTGTGCAAGTCTAAGAAACGTTCAAGTAAACTTGAGTGGACCAGTTTTAACTTTTACCCTGAGTGACCCGTCTTACTTGGACCACACGTATGTTGGCTTGATATGGCTAGTGGTGGTAGGAGCATGATAAAGTGAAATATAAGGCAGCATAACCTTAAATGATGCAATGAAGGGGGAACAACATAAAATAACCCAAACCTTGAAACAAATGCTACCTCAAACTATCATAAATAGAATGAACATCTCTTCCCACTCCAGCAGCCCAAAAGAACTCCATTGTTTGTGAACCATTCCTTCCCTACCTCCTTTACTCCCTTCTTTACACTCAAAAAAGACTCAGGCCTTCATCTTTACATTATTTGTAAACAGAACTGGGGGATGACTCACTCACTATATACTTTTATGAGAAGTCCCTGCATCTCTCTCTCATTTCTCAAGCTCTGTCTCATATCATAAATTCAACATTCTCTGCTTCAGGAGCTCAAGAATATACACTGTAAAGATTATTTCCAATGGAAAGCCATCCTCGATTCTTATTCTGCCGAGCCCCTGCTAAAACTGACATCTCTCTTATTTACAAATGTCTTCTATGCAGAAGAAAAGTTACCAACATAATGATGCTATATATATGACGACGATGATGATGATATATGCGATATCGAGAAAAATCGATCACTTCCCATGTTAGCTGCTGTACTGTACAGATGTGCTGTGCCTTCCAGTTCTCCGTTCTTATTTAAGCAGTGTTGGTGCTGGGTGGTGAAGAATTATTGTTATTTTTTTTGCCTTCTCTAGATTCCCTCAGCTAGTTGTTATGTGGAGACCGATGCTGACAATCCTATGCGCCTCTCTGCAAATGATGGATCAAAAGTGACGAACAGTAGATGATGGCGAAAGAAGAACATCTACTTCAAAGTTACCAGAGGGAGGAAAGAAAGGGCACTAGTAGGCATTCTGTCTCACCTCCAGTTGTGATGAGCTTCTCAACACGGGAAACAATGTGTTTGCCATATGTGTACCTCTTCAAGGCGTTCAAATGGACCTTGATTCGAGAAAGGATTAACTCAAGGCTCTGATCATCACACGTCTCCAGTACCTTTTGGACCACGTAGTTCCCAAATGGGTCTTTCATCATGGCCTGCATTTTTCATAACAGGCAGAAATGGTTTTCAAAATCCCAACAAGCAAAATTCCTGAACCCATTCAACTGAGAAATAACCACCCAATTGCTTTTCACATGTCTATGGATAGTTAGCACCTAATAATGGCACACTGTAAAATACCAAATATATAGTTTTGTGTAGTTGTTAAAAAGCATTTACTGAGTGTGGGAGGAAATGGACCTGCAAAGGCTCGTTTTCATCGGTTGAACCAAGCATCTCATTCACCAAAATTTGGCGCTCCTCAGGACCACCAAAAGTTAAGCACTTTTCTACTACGTTGGAAGCAAATTTCTGTTGACTCATTTTCACAATTTGTCCTGCAAGCTTGTTGATGATGGCTGATCTTTCGTGTGGTTTACCATGTTCAAGGACGTGCTAATAAGAACCAATTGGCATGAAGGTCAGGGACGGTAATGATAATGTACAACTTGGAATTGCAATAAACACGTTCACCAGTTTGCATGAGTTAAATGCATCAGGATATCTGCTAAGTTAGTAATAATTAGGCTGACAAAACGAAAGAAGGAAATTCATTCAAGACGAATCCATAAAAACACCAGCTAAAATTATGGGCTCCTATGAACCAAGAATGAGCCTTTCAATGTCATCAAAAAAAAAAAAAAAAAAAAGAGCCTTTCCTCGTTGACATAAGAGAGACCATGCATATCAGAGAGGCGACAGAGGTACCTGAATAACATAATTTCCATATTGATCTTGTGCTAAGGTGCATACTGATTGCATGACTTCGTCCATAATAACTTGCTGTGTATTCTCGTCCTTACAGTGCTCTAGTACCCGCTGTTGCACATAAAAGAAAAAGACCAACATAGGAATCAACAATCAATAAATTAACGGAGGACAGGTGAGGGGGGACATGAGCTTAAAAGCTTAATGAACATAAAAGGCGATCTTAACCTGAATCACACGACAGCCGTAAGGATGAGTTGAAAGCGCCACAACTTGTCCATAAAACGAGGAGATGATAAACTGAATTTTGTCTTCAGCGACACATTCTATACACTTCTGGATAACATGATTACCATTCTGATCACGAACACATTTCATGACTGAACCATCAAGCTCGGCCACCATTTCAGTCTGCCGACCCATGTCAACCACTTCCAAAGCCTGTTGTCAATGTTGAAACATTACTACTTGGCAGGTAATAAACAGATGATAGTATCAGTAGTTTGCATCAGAAATTAGACTACAGTAAACTAACTTTCAACTGTACAATTCTGCTAATTCACTCAGAATCACAGAGCATATAGAATGAAGCATCTAGGAAGTGGAAGAAAACCTATGGTCATAGCCACCATATGTTGGTAAATTATCTTATATGCATAATATGAGTTTCACTCAACATATTTCTTAGGTTTAAACCCCCCAAGAATTAATTAAAATGCATTTATCACATGAAACACAAACCACAACAGACAAAAAAATCAAGGTCAACCAACTAGCGGTTCAAGCAACACCAGATTCAGGACAATTCCAACTGGAAATAAATATTGACAGACCAAACTAGATAGAGTTGTAAACCAACACACATAAACAAGGCTCACAGAGCTGATATTCACATAGGACAGATGGAGTTCCAAGGGAATGCATGGTTTTCGAACTAATGAAACTTTTAGAGAGAGTGTAAAATCTTCAAATGGGTGTGATTAGCAGAAGAATGCGCAGACACATGCACAGATATATGTTGTGCAACACATGTTCAAATATTCATGACACAAGTTCGTACCTTCTGGATTACCCTGCATCCATACATCTGGAGGCTGAGAGGTAAGACATGACCAGTGAGCTGGCTAGCCAACTCCATCCTTTGGCCTTCAGTTCCATGCTCAAAGAACTGCACACGAAAATGATTTGGTAACTAATTATGCTAACTGTATGGAAATTCACTGGGTTTTCTTGTGCAAAGGCACATACTTTCTGAATAACATAATTCCCGAAGACATCCGTCATTAAGGTACGAGCATGAGGGATGATCTCAGGAAATATCTTGTCCTTCTCTTCACTTGTAGCAGTTTCTAGTTTCTGCTGAATAAACCGACTGCCATACTGATCCGTACTGCATGGTACAAGGGGAAAGATTACATATGATATTTCAAATGCTGCTGAAGCAAACCAAATTCCGGATAAAGCTTCTAAAGCACATACCTGAATTCAACAACGTGACCCACAATATCTAAGAGTTCAAAGGACCTGGTCTTGTTGCTCTTAAACTCGTCAAGTAAAGATGAGCCATATCTTCTTTCACCATTCCCACCAATATCAGAATGCCATGAGCCAATAGAACCTCCCATTGAGCTTCTCATCATGGAAGCAAAGTGTGCAACTCGCTCATTATGAAGATTTCCTGATGCAACAGAAGGAAGCACAGAATTCCCCATTGAGTTTGCAGGATATGGTACCCCAAGACCGTATGACGGATTCCTATAGTATGCTTGATTCAAAGTGCCAGCCTTACGAGAAAGTGGCAGATCATATTCTTGCTGCTGTTGAGCAAGCATCAGCTCAAGGTATGCTCTCTGAATATCATTAAGGTCTCCATGTGACTTGCCTAAATAATTTCTAAACTGAGGACCACTTGAACCAGCTGATGTATGGTTTGAATAATCCGGTGATCTACGCATGTACTGAGCATAATGAAGATCCGTAGAGGGAGAATGAAGATCAGACCCTGCTTGACTCCCCAGTCTATTCAAACTTTGTGCAATTGTACTACCATCTAGCGCTGAACCTAAAGCAGAGAAAAGAAACAAGAAACTATTTAGGAAGAACCGCCTTTACATGTAATGGTATAGACTTCATATAGAATGATTTTATAAAGCAAGAGGAAAATAAATAATAAATCAAATGAACTGCCAAATTCTTACTTGGAATATTCATATTTTGATATCGAAAATCTGCACCTTCCAAGCTTCCAAGGCCTGAGGAACTTACGGTCGAGTGAAGATTTGCAGAGGAAGAAGTTCTTTTAGGAATGCGAACTTCTCCATTCGAGTTAACAAAAGAACCATCGAAATTCGAGAGGACTCCTATTTTACTAGCCATATTAATATAATCAGAAGATAATGGGAAATTCTCAGAATGCTGTAAACTTCGATTTTGACCATTGGACATATCTCCAGCTTGCCTATCAAGTTGAGTCCGGCCTTGTAAAACACTATCTTGATCTGTATGTCTAGAATGTGAGAGCCCTAAACCAGATAGTGCAGCTGTAATTTCACCTAAATCACTCAAGCCAGTCGAATGGCCATTCGGTAGACTTGAACCAACAGCAGAAATATTCTTCTCAACAGGGCTAACTCTGTTTCCAGCAGGAGGAAGACCGGGAGTAGGGGGTCTCCCACCCAACAACCTCTGTTCAGGGGTTGTGCTTCTTGATAATGATGCACCCACGGCAGATGCAAAAGAAGGAGAAACACTAGTACCAGGGCTTTGAAGCCCGCCAAATCCAGGAGGAGGTGTTCCTGCTTTCCTACGGTCTATTGACTCCATTCCATTTGTCAACCCAGCTGCAATGGGATCAGATAACACAGTTGTATTGACAAGATCACCAAAAGCACTATGACTTGCAGGTCGTGACAAATGGCCTGACATGGAAGGAGACTGATCGAGTCCTTCCTACAAAAACATAACTACATCAGTTTCACTCGTCGAAAAGCAAAAACACCTGTAAAGAAACGCATACAATTTTAAGTGAAAAACACATAAAATTTATCAAAATGCGGCAACAACCTTTAAGTCTGTGCTAGTAGCCACAAGGACATAGCTATAACTTATAAAGAAACTTATATTGACAAAAAAGTATAGCAAGTATGAGAAGATGTATCAAAATACAAAGAACGGCTCCATATGGGGATCATTATTATATATAACTAATGAAACAAGAATTTGGTTTCATTACCTGCAGAATGTCAGCAAAGCTTTTCCTCCTTGTCCCAATCCCAGAGCCCTGCAATCCAGTTAGACCATCTGAGTTGTTGTCTGGCCATACACCAGCAGTTTGTCTGCTGAAATTGGTTCTATTAGCATTTCTTAGTTCCATTAATTCCTTCTCAGCATTCTGTGCAGAAAGTCCTGGCTGCATAGAGAACAAAGATGAACTATCCCCATCACCAACCAGATTGTTCTTCCTCAGGTCTCCAATGCCTCCAAAGGAAGACCCAGCAGCCTGAAACCGTTGTGCAGCACGCCAATCCTCTTTCGATAACAAGGGAGGTGGTAGTCTAGGATTTATGTTATCATTAGAATAATAATATGAAAGATATGCTGGGTGCAACCTGATTTCATCTTCTGTCATCAGCGCATTATTACTAGCGCTGCTACTATTGCCAAAACCATTATTATTAATGCCATTTATATTGGAGTTCTGAAAAAGACTCCCCACAGCACGTAACGATCCCTCAACTGTCGGTGGTGCACTCCCGCTCCTATACATATTAAGATCCCTCTCTCGATCAACCATGCGTTGATTATTCCGCTGAGCCCGAAGCATGAGGTTTAGTTCACTCTGCAATCGTTGCTCCAAACTCACATTGGAGTCTTGTAGACGATCATCCAGGATTGGCAGCATATCTATGTTGCTCCCACTGGCCATCTCCAGCAATCAAAGGTTTTGGGTACCTATAGTTAATGGCTGAGAACAGCAACACCACCCAAAGCTTAGAACAGGACGACAGAAACCAAGATTCTCAATACAAAAACACCTTGGTTTATGAAATTTAATCAATGCAAGGAGATTCATTTACGAGTGGAAAAGAAGAGAAAAAAAAACAAGAACCCAAGAATCATGACAATACATCTCTGAAGTATCAGGAACTTAAAATCACAAATTCAAGCTGGCAGAATTTATTGAAGTTGGAAGTTGAACAACAGTCACTCAGTGACAAGGCAGCAAAAGTCGGACAATGAGCACAGAATTCAGAATCAAATTCACTCTTTGCAGAGGGTAACCAACAAAAATATCAAAAGAGAAGAAAAACTCCCTCATGAGACACCACATTTTCCTGCCCTTTCTCAGCAACCAAACAAAACCCATTTTACCACAGTATCACACGAGCACATCAAAAACGAAACTTGGAAACAAAATAACAAATACCTTCTTTGCTTACGCCCAGAATCGCCGCACCAAACTGAACCCAGAAAGGAAAGAAAAAGAACTGTCAATCAATCCATCACTAATCCCTTCCTCTTCAACCGGAACCCCTCAATGGCGACAAAAAGAATCAAATTCAATAACAATAAATATTCCTGAAACAGAATAATTTTTATACCGACAGTTAACTAATCCACAAGATTTAGGTGTGAGAAAACCACACGACACCAAATCACGTAGAGAGGGATTGAGCGAGACTTACAAAGGGGGAAAGGGAGAGAAAGAGACGGGTGGAAGACGACGCAGTGTGTAGGGGAACAATGCAGGGAACTGTGTGATCGATAAGTATTAAGGGAAAATTTTGTTTTGTAATTAAGAAAGGAACTAATTAGGAGGAAGGAGGAAGAAGAAGGAGATTACTCATGAGACAACCAAAAAAACAGAGCAGAGGTAGGAGGAGATTCTTGGACACGGTCGCCTATTTTTTTTTTTTCCTTAGTTAATTACTCAACTAACATTATTATTATTATATTTTTAAATAAACAGATTAAAATTCCATTTTAGTGAAAACCCCGTTTAAAGAAATTGATAATAATAGAGAGAATAAAAGGAAGGAGACCTCTGCGCCGTTGGATGGGAATTGGGAGGAAACACACTTTGCTACGATGATTTAGTAAGTCATGGTGATTTTGAGAAAACTGTCGAGCTCTTTTGTTAAATGATCGATCATATGATACACTTGTTAGTTTGCAACATGATTGTATCATTACAAAGAAAAATAACCGTCAATAAAAAGGTCACCGATTGGTCATTATCTTATTAGTGCTGGAACAATATTATTACTATTAGGTGTGTTTTTGGTTGTGAAGTGTGAAGTGAGCATTGAAGACTATTTGTTTTTGTATTGCAATGTGCTTTGTGACATTTTAAGTTTTTAACTATGGAAATTTGGTTTCTCCAATCCTGTCTACCTACACAATATGAAGGTTGACCGAAACAAGCACCAGGTATGTTGATTAATGTCTTCACTTGAAAGTAGTCGACCGCTATAGTAAATCCATGTTGATGTGTGCATCCAGTCTTCAATTCGATTGACATGCATATCAAGAGGTTGATCTATTCCACGAAATGTCGACAAGTTGGTTCTCCAACCGAACATAATATTTCATAATACAAAGCCAAGCAATCTTGTTAAGGTAGATACTTCCCCCTGAATTCGATCGACCTGTGAAAGCAACCGACGGATTGTTGTTTTCCTTAGTAATGGTGGAGTTCAGCTGTAGGTGTGTCAGTGAATCACTCTCCCTTGACGGATACCGGGTATATCTGGTTCAACCGGCCGGCACTCCACCCACAGACAACTATAGTAATTACGATAAACGTTTACATTTTGTACCAAACTTGCAATTGCAACGCAAAATTCAATGGGAATAATGCTATTTGGGTTTTACACACTCAAAATTGGCCAAATTTAAAAATACAAAACAACTCTTCTCCTCCCTCACATAACCTAAACCTCCTCTAACAAAAAGTAGAAACTGGAAGAAAAAAAAACCTCTAGCCGCTCAAATTGGCAACGATACTGGACAAGGCAGAGTACGTCCCAAAAGCTGATGCCACTAACCCAACTGTAATTATCAATCCACACAGCGCAACCTACAAAAGGAACCACACAGCATTTCTTGCATTGAGTTCAAAAGTAAGCAACATCAATGGGATTTCTATTCCATGCATTTTTCTAGAGTTTCAAGAACAGGAACATTCAATTTGCAGCAGCAGAAGAAAGGGAATCCGAACCTGGAACGGAGTAACCTTGTTCCTCACGATGCTCAGGAAGCAAGCACAAGGAAGTATCAAAGTCTGCACATCATTCAGACAAGAGTGTGTATTAAGATTGTCTAAAGCCTAGAGATGTGGAAGAAAGAATGGTACTCTTAACAGAAGTAACATGGCAGCAAGAAACTAACCACAAACATTGTGAGCAATGATCCGATCAACGACATCACCAGTCCTGAACCAGAAAGGAAAAAGAGACTCAATCGTTCAGCTTACATGTTCATAAATCCGTAAGAACGTGAGTCAGAAAGATTGACAGAGAGAGAGAGAGAGGGGGCTGACCAAAGAAGGGGACAGAGAGACCGACGAGCAAAGTTGAGAGGACCAACAATGTCCTAATCCCCATCCCATACACATACGACTTGTTCAGGTTTGATGGCAGCAACTCCTCCAGACACAACGCCACCGGCATCATCGTCAGTGCATACTTGGTGAAAGGGTTGACGACGGTTGTCCACACCGCGATCTTAGAGGCAACGAGGTCCTTCGGCAAGTTGAGAGTGAACTGAGATGCTGTGGCCTGTCCAAACATCGTGTACCCCATCACTGCAACTCCCATGTACAGCATTGTACAGATTACAAAGCTGCTCATTTTTCACATGAACAAACACACAAGAAATTCAAAACCCATCATAAGAAACAAGAAGGGAACTTTTAGCAAGCAAGCAAAAGGGAAGTTAGTTCATGTGATGGAGTCTGCATTTACCAGACCAAGAGAACTATAGGGTATTGGTGTGGCCTTGCCATGGAAGTGTAGATGTTTGGGAAGACGGCATGCCCTGAGTAACAATAGCCATAGAGACCAAGAGCCACAGGAATCGTCCCCATGTTGATAACTGAGCCTTTGCTGTGGACGCTGACTTGATCAACTAAGCCAACCCAGAACAGGCACAGAACCACTAGAACTGATGCAATAACTCCACCAGCTACCACAACAAAATAGCTACCAGTTGAAAGCTTGGAACTTTGAAGCATAAATGTATATGTAGAGTACTATTTGTGCCCTCTCGTCCTTGTTAGTTAGTTAGTTACCAGAGATGTAGCTGAGAACCCGGAGGTCTCTGAGCCAGACGGTGGGGAGGACAGCAAGGGTTGTCAATAAAGCAAACAGGTGGTGTGCATCCAAGTCCATCCCAAGCAAGCTCAAGTGTGCATTTGGGAATAGCGAGGACAAGTTGTCGCTCTCCAATATGATGTACTCCACGCAGCAAGCCTGTCAAAGACACATTGAACAACACCATTTGCTTAGAGCAACGACATTATGCCCCAGGAAATATCAGATTCAGAACCCACCAGGGGATATGCAACTTACATACAGCTCCACGTACAGTATGATCTGTGCAGCAGTAAACCCACATAGAAGACAAAAAAAAAACAGCAAGAGAATGGCAATATAAGAGTCAGCCCAATTCAGAGATAAGCATCGTCAATCAGCTATAACTCGGAGAAGAAATGGGTACTCACGGAGATGGCGATACGGCCAGGGGTTCCAAAAGCGGCATGGCCGATGTCAGGGTAAGTCTCGAGACCAGGCTCACTGTCGAGGCAGTAGCGCAAGAGCATCCCAGTGTAGAAAGAGAGGAGGCCGAATACGATGAGGATGGAGAGCCCCGCCCACCCTCCTTCCTTGGCTGCATATGGCGTTGACAGTATCCCAACCCCACACAGCACGTTCAGCCCTGCAATTGTTCATAACTTGTCAGGTTGTTTGTTTTTTGGTGGCGCTCTAAATCTGTCGAGTCAAATTGAGTTTTGTCATAATTTGAGCTTGGTTGGTTAATAAACGAGTCGAGTTCGCACTTAATTTGTTTATTAACTAGTGGAGTCAATATGAACTCAAACATGACTTGTTTACTAAAAACATTGAATTGTCTTTATATCGAGCTTAAATTATCAATAAGATTACGATTTCAGCTCGAGCTCAACTCAAAAAATAATTTATAATCACTTAATCTTTTCTCATTAACTGTTCTCGTGTCTATATAAGTCAGCAGTCAAAATCTAAACATCATATTAGGTGAGATAGGTAATTTAACAAATTTATGAAATACAAACAAACCAACTCATAAGATATCGACGGATTCGCTCATAAGCGAGTGGTCAAGATGACTCGCTAATCACAAATTCACAATGTCAAGACATCTCATAAGCTCTAAACGACCCCATATCATGAGTTGAGCTCAACAAGCCACCGAGACGAGTTGACTTGCGAGACTTTCAAACTCAATATAGCGCACTTAGTTTAAGTTCGACTTATTAATTTACAAGTCGAGTTTCTAACGAACTTTTCTAGAGCCAAATGCGTTGAGCTATAGGTCTGTCTGATTTCGCTCTCCAATCATGTGCACCATGTGCTTTGCAGCAGCAGCAACATGCAGCTGAGACAAGATAATGCTGCCCCTGCCTCCCATCTGACAAATTAACTATCCGATTCATATTCTATTCCTTGGTGAGATGGGCAGTAGAGTCGAGTGAGTTCGACAGCATTAGAACAGAGATCTTTCTCATGAAACGAGATTCTCGTTTAAGACAAGGTTCTTAATGATTTAGGTTGCTATTAAAATTGTCATATGAATGAGCAATTAAAGCTTTAATTAATTGGAAAGGGGCATGTTAGCTAGGTTGCTTACCATTGAGCACGGCTTGACCAAAGGAGCTCTGGCGAGAGATGGGGAGTTCGTCGTGGCCATGGGCAATCATAGAGGAAGGCTTGCCATTGTCTTTTCTGATGGAAGATCTCCGCCGCGGGATCGGCGGCGGGAGCAGCGCCAGAGAACTCTTCCTCTTCGGCTCATCTTCTTTCTCCAACAGAGGCGCTGTCACCGCCGTCGCCGCAGGGGTAGAAAATGATTCCGGGGTGTGCCTTCTTATCAGTGAAGATGACAGGAACGAACTTCCCAGTCTCGTCAGAGATGGCGTGTTGAGGAAATTGATCGCCGGAGATGGCACGCTGCTGTATAGATCGATTGACTGCCTGCCAAAACCAAGGATTCAAACAGAAGAAAAAAAGAAAAAAAACAGAGTGCCCTGTTTTCCCCTCTCTGGAATTTAACCTAACAGAAGAGCAAAAGAACAGGGGAGAAACAGAGGATGATATTAAATGTGCAAACCTGTAACTCTGAGGCCATTGAGAAATGTAAGAGCCGGTTTTGCTCTGTTGCCGATTGTTATCGGCCGTGGACTCGTCGGAATCCGATAGGTTTCCGACGTCTTCTTCTTCTTCTTCCCCTTCGACATCTCTGCTGTAGTCTTTGTCGTCCTCTTCATCGCTGTCTATGTAAAAACTCTGTTCCGACACAGAATTCTTCATCTTTTTTCTTTCTTCTCCCCTACTCCCCGTCCCAGTTTCTGCTTTTATATATGAACGAATCCCTGAAAAGCGAAAAGGGGAGGAAGTGAAGGAAAGGAAAAGGAAAACCCAGTTGATGATTCGCGAATATTTCAATGACCCACAACGTAAAGATTCGATCTTTCCCGACGAGGAATCAAATTGTCGAGGTTCGGGGAAACAATTCTTGGATAAGGGAAGTGAACAGAGGGGGGAAACAGAGGAAGGAAATCTACCAGAAGTGCTTCAAAAAGTGCGGGTTTCGAGGGGCTGGGAATGGCTTAAAAATGGAAATTCAACTCGGCTTCTAAAAATCTTGGAAGAGAATCGAGAGTGAGATGGTAGGTCTGCAATTAATGACAAGAGTAATAATAAGAATGTAGTGAATTTTGTGGAAAGTACCGATAAGACAGAAATTGGAAGGCTAAAAACAGAGACGGCAATGGAGGAGCTCTGGTAGGCTCAGAGTTTTAAGGGGATTCTCTCTGTTGAATTGTTCAAGAAAGCTGCAAGTCACTGAAACTAGCTTCCACACTGACACACTTGCTCTGTTTCGTCTCTGCCTCTGGGGCACCAAAACAAAAACAAACACAGAAAGTTGCAGCCTTTTTTCCTGCAAATTTTCCCAGCGACCAAACAGGAAAAGGCTCAAGATTCTCGCAGCGTTACACTTACGAGTAGGAGCTTCGACGCTGAAAAAAAATTTCTTCAGGAAATCGAGAGTTCTTGAATCTGGAGGAGACTGCTGCAGAAACTCGTGAAACAGGGGATGAAGAGCAGCCCCTGTTTCGGAATTCTCAGGACGCGGCGCGAACAGCTCCTCTTTTTCTAATCAACAAATTAATGTGTTACTGGATGGATTTAGTTTTAAGTTCTCCACTCCCATTACAATTAAAACTTCTACACGATACAAGTTTTTGCATTCGAATTTCAATATTTGGCATTTTTCTCTCCGTTTTTTTTCCATATATAGCTTAGAAAACATATAGAAAACACAGTTAAAACGTACGGACGTGAAGAAAAATAAGGACGTGGCTTTTCGTGTAACTAGGTGGACAACTCTGTTTATCGAAACATAAATCGAATCCAAAATCGATTATTTGACAAAAAATACTTTTAAGCAACTTAAAAAGCTTGCAAAAAATCATTCATAGATGTACTTTGGTCTAATCGTTGGTATTTGTCCGTCGATCACGTAGCATGATCCCAACGATGATGATTATTTATCTGCATCAATTAATATAATTGATTGTATAGTATGATACTCATGATTAATTATGATCAATAGGATATGCTAATTATCGAGCTTGAAATTATTGTTGAAGATTGAATTGATTAATAACAACAACTCATGTTACATTTGAGTTGTCAAGTTACATCCTAATTGAGTGAAAGTGAAACACCATGAATAAACAAGAAGTCTGGACGGATAAAACTTATAGAATGGGTAATGGGCCATAAGATTATTAAATATCCTAAAATGAGCGAGATTCATTTAGATGTCTTGGAACTAAACGTGAGATTACTTGTGATGTATATGGTACAACAAAACTTTGGGTTATGAGTGCACTAAGTGTACCGTGAATATCTTGATACGTGTTACAGACATGTCTACAAAGTATCTCAAATCACGTGTATAATATATATCATATCCGTCTTATTTTTTTTTTTTTAAATCTCAATTTAAGAGATTTTTCTCGGAGTAGAAAAGACGAAAGAAAAAAGTTGCTTACAAAATTCTACAAAAAGACTCTAGCCAAATTGAACAATGGAATGAAAATTGTTGAAAAATTATGTAACTTGTAAGAATGATGTTATATATATATATTTTTTTTTAACATAAGAAATAATATTTATTATGGATGGTTGTGGAAAATTCCAAATTAACGTGTGATGTGGAGATAAGATCAAGTGAATGGAGTCCCCCCCTATAAATAACATTTTAGTTATGATCTGTCATATACAGACAACTCCATGCTTAGTTTAAAATAGCATGTGCAATAATTATTTGCATGTTAGGATATGGAAAGAAGAGAGAAATATTTTATGCATGCACTTAAATCCAATACTCATGTACGAATTGACATCACATCATCACATACTATGTTGCCATCGGTTTGATGATAAAAAGGTTGATTTGCATAGGAGTGACGCTTTGCGGCGAACGCTTCCGAAGGCGACCCTTTCGACTCTCCGGCTCCACCAGCAGCCTCTCCTGAAGTACCAAAGGTGCACTCCGCTCGGTGACTAAGAAAGAAATTGGTTTGCGCTTGAATTGACGTGATGAGGCCAATCTCAGTAATGAAAAACGATACTTTCGAACCTCGGATGTCATCAATAGCAGCATCTCTTTTATTCTTTCTTGCGAGGATGTGATTGGAATTCGTTTTTTCTTTGTTTGTATCACCGAGACACCCGAAGGGCCGGCCATATGTACCGGGTGCTTCCGCCATGTGAGCTTCTAGTGACATTCTTGTGACCGGGGATAAAGTCTCGTTCGAGGCAGAAAAGCCTGAGTTGGTCAGTTGGGGAGTATATCTTCCACTCCACTTCCTCCTTCCCTCTCCTCTTTCTGTATCTCTTCTCCTGACTGGGTCAGATATGTGATAACCTTATCACATAGGAAGGACGCGGTGGGAAGGAAGCAGCCCTAGCCTCTGTCCGGCCGATCATTCCGCTGGCATCTTGCATTCACGCCTCCGTTTGACTGCCGCTCAGGGATGTAGTTGTAGATACGTTAGTCTTAGTGGATCGTTGGCTCCGGGGGCCGGCGCTCCGCGTTCTATGACGGTTCCGTTCTTACGTACGCCCCCCTCACATAGAAGAGGGGGAAGCCCTGATTTCGCGCCTGGACAAAGGGTCGCCAGGTCTCCAAAAACCCCTCGTATTCAGCTCCTTCCTGAGCCCACATCTCCATGTCCTATCGATGCTTATCTCTTCCCCTAGCTCCGAGGACACTTCTTCCTGATGTAGGGGCAAGAAAGAATGATAGGGGATGGGATCTCTATTGGGACAGCCATATTTTTTGATTTGTTTCAATTAATCCAAGAGCCACCAGCTGCACTTTTCGAAGGAACATAGCAGCTGCCAGCATCTTTTTATAAATTTTTACAGAGCAAGAAAACGGATGCAGCAATCAAAGGGCCTCCGAGGAAGGGGCGAAACATAATCAACTTGAATTCGGGACAGCTATTAGAAATCTTAGTGAAAGACTGGATTTCTTATCTCATGTTTGCTTTTCGTGAAAAAATACCAATTGAAGTGGAGGGTTTCTTCAACCAAGAAGGAGCTGAGGCATCCATCGGGAAATCAAATGTGTAGTTGGCTCAGCCAATCCCTAGATAGACCCCCGTTTAGCTAACAAATTGAGTAGGCCCTGTAGAGGCATATGAGTTAACCAGGCTTTTTTTTCTTTTTAGGTGGTGGGTTCTCTTTAGGTGGATCATTTCTTACATTATTCGTCAAAAATAAAGTGGGTCGACCGCACTATGAAGAGGTTGACAAATTTCTAGTAGTGAAATCCTGTTCCAGCAGTAACAAAGTAATGTCCAACAAGTCGATCATTTCGTTCTTCCGATCGACCAGCAGTAACAAATTATCCTGACTTGTATGTCAAAAGTACAAGCATAACTCACAGGTCGAAAATATAAACAAAAGCACAACCAAAACCAAGGAGCCAGAGAAGCCAGATCTGCTTTGATCAAAAGCATGAACACAAAATGGTACAGGAAAACGGAATGCAGGTGACTCAAGTCGAAGAAAATCACAAATGGCTGGGCAAGTCAACTCTTCAGAATTCAGATATCGACGAACTCAGACTTAATATAACCTCGACCAAGCTGGTTGCTGGCATGTTCATAACATTTTTCTGAAGAACCTAGCTAAAGTCAAGCAAGCAGATCTTGGTGGTTTACGCACAACATGATTCTCTTCAATTGTAAGAACTATAACCTCTATACAACTTCTACATCTTTCGATCAATTTCAAAAAAGTGCAGTACAGTATTAAAAATTGCACATAAAAAATAATCAATACCTCACTGCAAAGTATGCTGCAAAACTCGATCTCCCATATTTACATAGAGCAAGATTATTCCAGCGCCGGTCAGTTTCTCGTCTCATCTTCACCAACCATGGCCAGTAAAGAATAGAAAATAAAACATTCAGATTCTGCCTGGGAGGAATCCAGTCCACTGAATTAACTCTGATGTGAGGTAGGAAAACTCGTTCCATCTTTCAGGAAGCTGACTGCCGTGAGACAAAACCATTTTAGAATATTTGGACCCAAAACCTGCACAAAAGCAAGGAATATTGGAGCTTAGTCAATATACATGCTTTATATGGAGGCATACAACCAAAATATGTCACGGCGCAATGGAGCAGGTGGAAGAATGCTGCATTCACTCAGAAGTATCAAATTTACACAGTCGGTGCAATATGAAGCTTGTAGCATGCGAGAGATAAAGAGACAGAGGTACCGAGGAGATGTTTGCATGGACACTAATGTTAAAAGGGTGTCGATAAATCTGGCCGGATTTCTTAGCCAACCAAGCTGCTCTTGTTCCTTCATGATACTGTAAAGTTCACACTAAACATGATTAATAAAAGAATGTGCAAAAGAAGAAGAGTAAAGGAACCCTTGATGCTCACTGGTCTACTTTTGGATGTCCAAAACTGACCTCTATTGTTGTCATATTACGTGTAATGAGGTAGATATGCCAGCCCAGCAGAGTACTTACCGTGATGCTCAAACCAGTCATCATTGTCCCCGAAATAATCTAAGTGCAGTACACCATTGTCAAACATTTGCACGATCAAATATACTAAAACTAAATTTCAGCAATGCCACAACGAGGCACTTGAAACAAAAGAAATGTCAGAAATGATGAGAAAGAACTGCCTGGCAGAAATGATCAACAGTTCAAAATGGTGATGCTAACAATAGCAAAGCAATCAAGCAAAATCAAGTACAAGAACTCACATAAAAAATCTTGAATGGAAGCACTCCGGCGAAGTCCCAATCTTTATGTGAAGAACTGTTCATAATCACAACCTAAGCATGCATTCCAAGAGCCTTTCTTATAAACACCTTAGAGATTTGATCAGCTTTGAACACATTCAAATGTCAAAAAAAAAATGCAAATTAGATCTACCGTAGAATAGATGCTTGCTGCAGTTGCATAGAAGACTAAAACGATAAAGGCCTTATAGTTCCAATAACCAACACAATTATTTATCCAAAGACAATGATGATCCTGCATCCAGTTTAGGAAAAATAAATCACTGTCCATCCTTCCACGGTGATCAGCAAGCTCAAAATTAATGAATTCAATCAACCTATTAGAAATGAGATGCCCAATTGCTACACTGACATACCATCCTCAAAACACAAACTCTGCAGACCCGGCAGTGATGAGCCCTGGGAGGTTTATATCTAGAACACTTTTCACATTGCCTAAGTTGTGAGCTCTGTGAATGGAAATCAAGCATCCATCAGGGTAAACTCAAGATCACGAATTTAGCTTTAAAGTAAAATTCACCTCGTCCTCCTTAAAATTTCCGCACGAATGTATGCAAATCAATCAGAAAGCTTACATCTTTGTGGGTTTTCGGATCCAAAACTGCAGCCGCTTCGACATCAGGCGCAGCAGAGGGCGGGACGTAACCAGGGTCGGTCAGCACAGAGGCGACGAAAGAGAAAAGGGAGAGAGAGGCCATGAAAGTGAATATGAGCGCATTCAGAGTCCCCGCTGAGGTGGCCAAGCCAACCCAATCTTCGATGAAGATGAAGATCGTGATGTAGTAAACGAAACCCATTAACATGAGCACGCCGCATACTGGGATCGATGCAAATCTATTCCACTTCATGGCGAATTGTTGGAGAAAATCTCCCTTCCTCGCGATGTAGCAAGAAGCTTGAAGGCGAAACGCAGAATGGTTCAGAGTTCGTCGGATTTTTTCCCCCCGTTTTCCCTTTGCTGCTCCGGCTCTCGACTGACCGCTGCTCCACTTCGCGGCTCACGCCGGTCTAGAGGTGGCGGAGAGAAGAGAAAACGCCTTTGGAACTAGGAAGAGATTCAAGTAATGTGGTGGGCCGATTGATAAGTCAGTATTGGGCTTAAGTGAGCCGGTCTGGCCCAATTCATTGGCCTCGTATACTGTAAATCAAATTAGGGGTTCATGGAACCGGTGGTTCGGATTTTATCGTTTTTATTAGGGGTGGCCAACGGTCAGATCCGAACCAGACCGGAATGAAGTCAGGAAAACGGAGGTTCCATAGTAAGAGATATTTATGGACTAAAGGAAGGGACCAACAGTGCATTCGGTCCGTTATGGTCCGGTTTGGTATGATGCGGAAAATTATAAACTCGGTTCGTAATGGTGCAGACTGAAGTCTGAGCGTCAGTTTGGTCTGGTGCGATCTGGTATAGACCGACCCGTTGTACACCTCTGTTTTTATCATCCTATTCATATATTCCGATCTTGAAGATAGCAATTCAAACCCGTCCAAAAAATTAGAACTCTACTGTTTGTTTATTATTGGTTTGAGTCGGGTGAAGTATACATTTATTATTTAAGTAATTACTCAACCCAACAAAAAAAATACAAATATATATATATATATATATATATATATATAAAAGATTCTAGGTATAATATGATCCTCTACTATGGAGTTTTATTAAACATGTCTTTTAACTATTATTTACATTAAACATGTCTCTATTCTTTGTAAAAATATCAAACATGTCCTTCTGTTAACATTTTCATCCAAAAATCGTCAACCATAATCGAACCTTAATTTGGACGACACAAGTGTCTAAAATATCCCTTATAATTTCACTTTTTTTTTAATTTCACTGAACAAGGTCTAGCTCAATTTAGACTCTTCTAACAACAATCAACATCATTGGATCATGACTGTGGTTTGGTAGCTCAACAAATCAGAAGAGCTCTTAGGTAGAAGATGGGAAGTGGATATTAGTCATATCTATAGGTAGGGATGGAAATCGATACAGTATCGGTATCCCAATACCAAATACCGAAATCCCGAATACCGAATTACACCCCAAAGTCAATCACAATCCCAATCCCTAAAAAATTTTGGTATCCCAATCACAATCCCTAAATATTTCGGTATTCCATTCGGTACTTCGGTATCCTAATCGGTATTATCGAATACGAAATTAATTACATTTGCAATTAATAATTAAATATATAAATTATATTTTATAGTTTAATTTAGGGGAAATGGATTAAGCGAAGAGCCTTGAATTATAAAATTATTTAGGAGAATGGAGGAGGGGAGACATCTCAAGTTCTTGTCATTGGTAATCTTTAATTTGACGAATTGGAGGTTGAGAGTGACTATTAATAGTGATGGAATGATCTGTGTATAATTAAATGACACTCTTGGTGGTTGAGGGTCATGTAGTAGTGAATGAGAGAGTCTAGTTGAGAAGATAAAACACACACTAGCTTATATTTCGGTATTGATCGGTATTCGGTATATACCGATCCCAATCCTGTAATCCCTAATACCGAATAACAATTGAAATTCAATCCCAATCCCAAGAAATAATAAGTGTATTCGGTAATACCAAATATAGACAAATTCGGTACGGTATTCGGTATATCCCAAATACCGGTACCAAACTTCCAGCCCTATCTATAGGTAAGCAAATTGTGTTGTTGATTTCTTGGCGTTCAAGGGTGATTGTGTTAATTTTGGCACACATCCATTCGATGTGCCCTGATCTCAATCATTGATTTTTGTATGATGTAAGGGAAATCGCTCAAGAGTGTCGTATTTTAATCTAAAGTACGGATGCTTTCTACATTCGTCTTTTTATAAAAAATACCTCCATTAATTTCACTTTAACGAGACCTAGAAAAATAAATGAGTGGGATTTTGTCAATGTCGAGTCCTCTGAATCTCTGTTCAACTATGGTTGACAATTTTTTTTAATGAAAATTTTAACATAATGACATGTTTGATAATTTTTTAAAGTATATGGGCATGCTTGATTTAAAAAAACATTAGAGGAAATATCTTATAACCCAAATATATATTATATACCTAATTCAATTTCAAACAAATAAATCAAAGAGAAAATCATCAAAATGCATGAAAGTTGTTTGGATCTCAATGAAGTGCAATTTGCTTCAACATATATTAGTATTTTCATAAATATCTACAGAAAAAGCTAAAGGAGTTATTCATTTTAAACTAACACATGAACAATATGCTATACTTCTATAATTCTAAACAAGAAAAAAAAAGATAATGTGGACCATATAGATTGTATTAAATTTACATCTAAATTTTCAACAGAAGAATGCATTAGCTAGGTCAGTGAGATCACAAGTAAAAAAAAAATGACAAAATATCCAAACTTCCTCATGACAAATCTGCTTGCACACAAAATGAATATGTTTTGAATACGAATACTTAGGACAATAGTTGTAACATACTGACATGAGTTAGGCCGGTTATTTACGGGTTTCGTAACCCAAAGTCGTCCAACCAACCAACCTAAAGATACGAGTTCCATAAAAGAAAACGCTTAACCCAACTTTAAACCTTGATTTTAATTAGCAGTAAATAAAGGTGGGGTGCGGCTAGAACGGGTGAGTCGGGTTACGGTTCATTTTGTTCACCCCTAAACAATTAAAAAAAGTGTTATAAACGGATGAGAAATTGAGGTACACGTAATCATTTTAAATATGATATTTGTGGACAAAACCCTAGCATTTGACATGTGGTATTTCATCAAACGATATATATGTAGCTAGAACCTGGCTATGAATTACACATGATCATGAACCAGCAATTTGCAAACAAATCAAATCATTAGCCCACAAACCTATATGGATTTGGTGATAAATTTGGATACATCATGGACTTTGTCCAAATTCCATTGTTTGTTTGATGCATTTAGGGGCAACAAATCCGTGGGCCCCACGAACTTTAAGTGGGAATTGATCATGGACTTCCAAGTCTATCATTTATGACCAATTTGCTCTTCCTAATTCCTTTCTCTTCTCGTACAAATGAGGTCATTTTCACTTCATGCATACAAATCTAAATGACCAAATCCATCATCAAATCAATGAAACAAACAAGGGTATTCTACAAGTCCACAATGAACCCAAAACCTTATTTTTCAAATCCATGAAGCAAACGATCCGTAATAGTTACCTGCAGGTGGCCGGAGGAAAAGTGTACACAATATTGTTATCATGGTGGGAAGAGTACGTAGTAGCTGTAGTGCACTTAATGTTCGGCCGCCGGCCGGCCGGTAAGTCATCATCATTATATCACTGATGCAGCATCATCAGGATTCTCACGACATATTCCAAAAACAAAAACCCATAAACTGCCGGCCACCGTACGTATATATGAATATACCTACGCTGGCTGTATTCTACTGCAGTTTTTTTTTGTTAAGAATATATGGAAATGCATGTGAATCCTGAAGATGCTGCACCTGCGATCAATGACCGTAAAAAAGATGGAGGAAACAAACCAGAGAGTTGACAGTGTTGAGTGGGAGGGAGAGAAGAAGAGGGCGGTTGATCAGTTGAGTTTGAGAGTAGGTAAGAGGGAAGGAGAAGAAGGCTCTTCTTTATATACACAACAACGATGGCTAGCTGGCTGGGTTTCTTGCTATTTCTCTCAAGGAAAGAGGAGGGGGAAAAAAATCGTAGTATCAGAGCTTTCAGTGACTCGTAGATTATATGTTTGAATATCAACGACTCCATCTCTTAACAACTCAAGTTATTGAAATCAATTGGTTCTTAACACTCGTTGTCCAAATTCCACTTGTTTATATATGTTTAGAAAGAAAAAAAAAAACCTCATGACGAAAATACCATCTTGATTCAAATGTGTGTTACTTAATAAAGCGGAAGATTTAAGTCGCACCACACTCTTTACTATGGGTGTGCGCAACGATCCGGTCCAAACCAAACTAGTGAGAGCCGCGCGCGGTCCAATAGTGAATCATCATTACAGTTACAGACGGTCCAACCAGCAGCGGAACCGGGAAAGGATAGAGCACTTGCACTGGGCCACATTTGAAAAGAGGCGGAAAGAGCTAATTGGCCACATTTGGAAAGAGGCAGAAAGGGTTGGGTCGTAACCCGACAAATACATAAACGTATACCTGAAATCGAAAATTTACAAGTACTATAATAGCTTTGGATCCAGCAGAGGGCTGGGCTGTGGCCCGGGGGCGGCCCCGTGCATCCGCCACTGGGTCCAACTTGGTACGTTCAGAATATCAAATCGGGCAATTTTTATTCAGTTTATAGAATTCATTCATGAGATCAATTATCTAACTGCATTATATTCGCTTTGATATCGTCCGATCCAAACCGCTGCACACCCTACTCTTTACACATGCATATTGATCTATAGGGGTATATACCTCAATCTAATCAAAGTATATAGCTACTAAGCAAGAAAACAACAAGGATAATAATAACATATACGAGCGGTATAAAAGGTTTATTGTGATATTCTTTTCTGTTGCTGCAGCAACTTAGATAATTTAAAGTCACGGCAAAAAAGTAACTAAAACTATGATTAAACCCCGACAACCAAGGAATCTAACTAGGGGATCCAGTTGTTCTAATTATGCTTAATTAGTGTAGTTGTCGTGCTTATGGCCAGCAACCTAGTACCACTTTACCTCCTCTTTTCTCATCTCCTAGCCTTTTGTTTTTAAAAATGTTCCCTTTTTTTATAAACAAAACATTAACATTGAAATCATCCACAAAAGGATTTTTTTTTTATATAATTAGAACAGGAAAGGAATATTAAGCTTACAGTCCCTATCAGTCAACATCTTCATTGATCATAATCCTTCTGTCCATTGTTACAGTACAGCGGATTTCTGAGTGGGATAGTTTTGCCTAGGGACGAACTAACTGCCATTTGGCAAATGGCTTCATAATCATTCTGTCCATTTTCTTACAGCAGATTTAAGCTGGAGATTAGGTTTTAATGATTCATTTGATATGCAAAATTGGCTTTAATATCCCTTCAAACGTGATCCAAACAAGTGGAGGGTTCTTCCTTTCATAATTGATCCAAAGAAAAGACTCAAATCTAAGAGATCTATTGCTTCAAGTACGGTACAATCAAGTAAGTTGGTTGTAAACAAAACCAAGAATGACAACTCATTCATACGGGAGAGAGAATTGAGATCGGAAACGACCAACCCAATTAACTCTAACGTTGGGACTATGGGTGTTGGGCCAAGTATTGGTATACGTAGGCCCTAAGCCCCATATGGTTACAAAGCCCACAAGACGAACGGGCTGAACCCAGTAGCCGACAAACACAGACCCCGAGGTGGTCTCTGGTCCTCACCATCATGGGACACCCTTCCCCCCAGTAGAGACCCTAAGGCGGTCTTTGGCCCTCGCCATTGGAGGACCTCCCGACATTGGAACGCGGTCAGTCTGACAAGACCGCCAGACATAAAGGACCTAGAAGCATCCCATGACGCCTGGCAAGCCATAAATTGCTTAAGCCTCAATCAAAGTTAATATAAATACCCCTTGAAGGGCAGCATTAATGGTAACTTCTAACCACTAGACTCTCTCTCTTATTCACAATTCACTCATTTCTCTCACTAACTTTGGCATCGGAGGAGATCCCAGGATCCCCCTAAGGACCTTTCCTGCAGGGTTTCATAGACCGCCCCCGACAATCGAAAGTCGTTCGAAGTCAGTGAAGTCTCACAAATCGTCTGGTACAGACCAGACACAAACATTTTGGCGCCCACCGTGGGGCCTCACGACTTCGTTATGGAAAAGATGGGAGACGAGTTCGAGACCCCGCTCAAAGGGATGACCAAGAACAACACCCTTCGAGGTCTGTCGCAAAGAATTGAAGACGAAAAAGGGCTAGAGGAGGTGGCCAAAAATCAGGGCCAACAAATCGCGAGCATGCAAGACAGCCTCGTCCTCCTCCAGCTCCTAAAGACAAAAGAAGACCCCGCCGAGGGTTCAAGAAGGAGAACACGTGAGGAAAAGAAGAAGGCCATCCACGTCTTCGACAGCCCTGCTCAGATAGAAGGCAGAGGACCGGAGGGGGAAGATGCGGACCTTAGTTTCCTCGAAGAGCACCTGCAGTCGACATACGGAAAGCATAAGAGTCCGAACGTTCTTCAAAACCTCCTGTTGAAAGAACTATTCACAATTCCGGTTCTCCCTAATTTCTCATCCTTGGGATTACCCACATACAGCAGGACGTCAGATCCCGCGGATCATCTTTGTGCATTCATACTAAAGATGCAACTCATCAACGCGTCGAACTCAGATTTGTGTTGCGCGTTCCCGGTCACGTTCAGCGGCTAGTGACGAACGTGGTACACCTCCCTCCCGGAAGGGATAATCGAGAATTTCGAACAATTCGCGATGTTGTTCTCAACAAAGTTCGGGTCCCAACGACGCCGCAAGCTCACTGTCTCGGCTCTCAAAAATTGCAGACAAAGAAAGGAGGAACCGCTTACGGAATTCTACGACCGGTGGAATGTGATCGCATGTGATATACAAGGCATCTCACCGGTAGTAGTTGCAGGCAACCTCAGGATGTTCACAAGAAGCATCAAGCAAGGACCCTGATAAAAAAGGAATCCACATTATCGTCGTGGTCAGATCTGGACCAGTTGGTACGGAGAGCGATACTGCTCAAGGAAGCATTGGCCGCCGACGACCTGAGCCGACAAGGCCGCCCTCGGGTCGATACCCAAGAACGTGGGGACGCTCGACGTGGAAGACGCTACCCGGAGCGAAAAGCGTATAGAAACAGTGACACAGAGCGTGAAAGTAGAAGGGAAGTATTTTCCACCGACCAATAGCAGGGAAGAGAAAGAAGAAGAGGCGGCAAGAAATATGAGGCGCCCTCCGGATAGGAGCCACAGGATGAAAATAAGTGGTGCAACTGGCACCAAATCACTACCCATGACCCCGTCGAGTGTAGGGAGTTCAAGGCCAGCCTCAGATACCTCACACTGGGGGATCTTCGAAACCGCTTAGAGACACGACGACCGCATAGGGACCACTCCCAAGAAACGCGAGCAGGATCCTGAAGTCCAGAAGCGGACAAGAAAAAAAGGTCAAGATCCCCGACCAGGAACAAAGCCATCTCTCCCCAGAGGCAGTCCCCCGCCTACAGACAACCACACAATGATAACGACAGAATGAAAATTATAACAATCGGGGATATTATAAAATGCAGGAGCTACCTACCAAATGGATATTACCGGGTATGCTTCCACTTTGATAATATTTGTCGTGTGAAGGATTTGATGCATAATATCAAACCTTGTCGAACATCTCCAAGGCCACATTGAAAACAATGAAAAGTTTCGACGGACACCATTGGATTACTCAAGTAAAAAAAGGAAGAAGTCGATTTGATTACTGAAATTGCAGAATGAACCGTATTCTTCTCCGGTCTACATCTATGGTATTTATACATAAGAGATTAAGAGAGGAAAGAGAAAGGGCGGAAAATAACTAACCACTAATTGACTCTAAACTTATTACTATTTAGTATCTATACTAGCTAGCTTAACCTATCATCCTAATCTTATACAAGTGTACACTATACTACCTAAACTATCCTAATGAGTTAAAAAAGGTCTAATATAGTCTTATGAACACCTAAAAGCAAGGTTGTCAACCCGCGGGTTGACCCGAACCCGGTCGAGCTAGTTGGTCAAGGGTTAATGGGTCAACCGTTTTAGCCCGGTTTGGCCCGGAAATATAGAAAAAGTCATTATGTTGTACTTATCCTCATAAATTATATCAAATCTTATCTAACATATGACTTATAACATAGAATATTACACCAAAATAACATATCGTACTTAGATCCAACATATAGTGAAAATTCACACACACACTTATATAACATAAATATTCAAATGTTCAACTTAGGATTCCAAAGATTGAGTTAGGCGAAAAGAAAAATCGGAAAATAAGCACATTTCGCATACCAAAGAAAAAAATGACACGATTTGACCTCCAACCCGGTACCTTGTAGCGGTCGACCCGGCGGGTGCGTACGGCCCATTTTTCTCACCGGGTCAGGGTCAAAATGGGTTGACCCGCGGGTTGACAACCTTGCCTAAAAGTCAGCGCAAACCACATACGAACATTGTATTCTTGAGCTAATTAATTATAAGGTGGCTACTTCGGTGCACTCACTTTTCATCTTTAAAAGTGTCCATAATACATCAAAATTTTGAACTTTAATTAGTACTCTCAATCTAATATGATGATATGACATAGAATCATAACAAATCAATCTATTACCCTAACTCCTTAACCTTCAATTTGGAATCCCAATGCAAAATCCCAAACTGTAAACCTAAACCCTAACCCTAAACTTCTAAATCCTAAATACTTAAAATTAAAGTAAATCTTAAATGATTTTTTTTTTCAAATTCATGTGCTTCTTATTCATAATATCATAAACAACAATTGATAGCTTTTGACATGAATCGCATGCTGAGAATGATGATTATGAGGCGGGTGCACTGAGTGCATCCAAAAAAGTAGGTGCGTCGAATACGCCACCTTAATTATATTATGGGACCTTCCAACAACTTCAATATATAAAAAATGATAAAAAAAACTGAAACACTCCGTTCATGTCAAATCTGATTGATCCAATCACATCGACGTGAAAAAGCGTAAACATCTTTGTGATTAATAATGCACCTTTGCATGTCAAACAAAATATTTACACTTTGTTCCTGTAAAGGGAAGGAAAATGAGGAGAAGAAGAAAATTTTAGAGAGAAGAGAAATTTTGAGCAAGAGAAAAATTGTAGGGAATGGGTTAGGGTGATTACTTATTTTTTAGTAATCATGGTGGCAACCTCTTTATATACCATTAGATTTCATATTTTCCCTTCTTTTTTAATCTTACGGTCAAGATTCTTTTAGGGTAATTTTGGAAATGAAATAGTGATCACACCCGATTATTCTATATAATCTACCCAAACCCTAGTTCTACCCTCCCTACAGCCAAACCCGCTGCAGCCGCTTCCACCACTCCGTCGCACTAATCTCGTCGGCCGCCTACACCAATCCCTCCCCTCGGCCACCCCCGACGACAACGACGCCTACAGCCGGCCACCCTTCCCTCGGCCACCCCTGATTTCCCGGCGATATCCCGGCGGAGTCATTGCTACTGCCGGTGAACACGTCGCGGCCCAAAGGAAGAATCGGCTCGCAGGAGCATCAGTTGCGGCGGCGTTGAGATGGTGATGATCTGGGGAGATTCCAATCACGTAAACACAATCTAAAACTTGTTGGAGTTGCCTATGGTGGAATTCCAGAGACGCCTATGGTGGGGGTGAGATGGTGATGATCTGGTTTTTATTTTATATTGGTTGATTGTTTTTTTTTAATGAAATAGTATAATTTGTTTTCCACAATGGTATTGATTTGATTTCATAATAGTAGTGACATTGATTGATTTTGGTATTGGTTGACTCTTGTAATGGTATAAATTGTTTGTATTAGTAGTTTTAGTTTATTGGTATTGATTTATTTATGCAATGGTATTGTTTTGATTTCACAGTGGTAGTGATATTGGTTGTTTTGGTATTTATTTGACTTTTGTAATGGTATAGATTGTTTATATTGGTAGTTTTCGTGTAATGGTATAGATTTATTTCTGCAATGGTATTGATTTTTTTCAAAATGGTAGTAGTTGTCTAATGGATTGGTAGTGATTTCGTGTTTTTTCTTTTGTAGAAAGATTGAGAAAAATATGGAAAGGAAATCTGGGTGGAGATTACGGAAGTGAGAGAAAGAAAAAGAATTGTAATTAATAAATTTCTGTAACTACCTAAAATGTAATTTATTAAAATTAATTAATTAATATAATTTATTTTTCATACCCAATTTACCCTTAGTAACCACGGTGACCGCTCCCAAATTGTAGGAGAATATGTTGTTTTATGAGAGAAAATAAGAGAAGAAAAGCATATTGAAAAGTGATAATATAATGTAAGAGTAAATATATTGCATGTTGATACTATTTTCATTCTTAAGGTGGGGTGTGTCAAGCCAATGTAATAATGTAACACAAGACCACCAACACGCGAGAAGGCCCCTAAAGCAAGCTCCAATAGTGGATCTCTTTACAAAAATCATTAATATTGTGTGGGCCATCAGTCCACGTATCATATATTAAACTAACACTATTTCCATTAAATATGAATTGTGGGTAAAATTTGTTTTTTCTTGCTAATTTTGTTTATTATTATTTATTAAAAATTAAAAGTAGATTGTTTTAAAAAAATTACCCTATTAATATATTTTTTACTATTTTATTGGTTCATCAACATTGCAACTAAACTTAAGCATACATAAACATAATACTAATCACACATACACGTACACAAGCAGTGGCGGAGCCAGGAAATTGGCCAAGGGGGTGTCTTTATCATATCATAAAAAATCACCTATACAATAGAAAAGTCAACTTTAAATTAAACAAAAAGTCAACAACGCAATACTCTAAATTCACACAATTACATTAAAATAGTTTCACGTACACCGGTTACAACGTCAAACAAATAAGTTCAGTACATACAAATCAAGACTTCCATTCATCAAATATTACAAATTAGAACTCAGAAGTATCTTGAAATTGATTTTGTGAAACAAACAAGTGAACTTCAATTGGTACTTTTTCACTTTCAACTTTGTTAAAACAAAAGACAAGAAATTTCTCTGTTGTAGAGCTACCAAAAAAAAAAAGAGCGAGTTTAAACAAAAGACAACAATTTATTACTATAAATAAAGACGAAAGTGCATTACATAACAAAACTCATTCGATCGAAATGATAAGAAATTCTTCCTGCAACTGAATGGTCATTGATTCGAATTTGTATATACCTCTACTCGAAAAAAATTTCTCCAAACCCAAGGGGGTGCAAAGCACCTCCTCCTCTTCAAGTGGCTCCGCCACTGTACACAAGTCTAGCTTGATAAAGCTTACTGATAATGCTCATACATAATCTCATTTCCTTTCTCTACTGCTTTGGCGAAACGTTCATCAGTCACATTCCTCCTCTCTGTACATGCTGTGAATGTGATTCTGCTCATTGACCCATTTTCTCAAGTTAATTGATGGATACATCTTTCCTATGTGCTTTTCTTTTGATTTCATTTGAAGAGGCAGATAGGCAGATTGAAAAAGAAAAGGATGCAATGATGAATACACAGGAGGATCAGACGAAGAATCGCGATCTATGGCAATTTTAGTTTCAACAGAAGGTCAGTTCAAGTCATCTCATTGATGCTCATCACCTGTCACAACTCTCGATAAATGGCTTTCTTTGAATGTCTTTGACTAAAATATCTACTTTCATTCAACTTTAGAGAAGTCTAGTCCTTATGCGCTAGGGCGCTCATCCGTTACTTCAAGTGCTTTCCCTTGAGCTAATCCTCTTGCAGGAGCTCGGACAGTTCGAGCGTTAGAAGTAGCAGAGTCAAGGTAGCATTCGACTGATGATGAACGATTGAGAGTGAAAACAAACCTACCATCGGAGCTATATGCATTTGTACCTTCACGATATGTAGGGGTATATGCATTCATACATTCATCATCCCCCGACATGTATGCCATCCAAATTAATTAATGTCGAATGTCGGAGTCCCTATATTTCCACGTTCAATCCTCTTAAACCCACTCGTAGCTCCAAATTAATTTCTAGTTTCTCTATACTCACCATACGATTCAAACAACTTGTCATAGTTGTAGATGGGTGTAAGGATATAGACATTCATGCATTGGAACCCCAACTCTTTCCCTCCCCCTTTAAATTCCATAAAAAAAACAGAGAATTACGGTAGGAATTACTTAGTTTATAAACTTAGTACACTCTAATCTTAATCGTTGATTGAGCTTTATTTATTCTCTTTTATTTACGGAAAAGCTGGAATTGAACGATTGACATTATTCGTTTGAGAAGGTCTTTGAAATGAGCGAGAGAGTCAAGGTCAGCATTCCAATCTTTCTTAACACCAACCACAAAACCAGTCAGCGGTTCTACATCACCAGCATACCACTTCCCAGTAGGACGAGCAAAGAAGTATTCTTTAAACCAAGGAGAGTCCAGCTTGGGCGTGTCGTACACAAAACCCATGCGATACTCCCGCCTGAAGCACGACCAGCAGTTGTCCGAACCGCGCATTGTATATAGCAGACAGAAAGCATCGAACGAAGACTCCACACCCAACCTATCACAAGCTGCCCGGAAGAAATGAATGATAATACCGTGAGAACGAATATGGTCGTGAGATCATGTCATAGAGAGATCTTAGGTCACAAATGCTTTATTTATAGACACACAAGATATGTTCGTGGTGATCATGTCATTCAAAGAACCCCAAATTTCTGTCACCGTATACATGTATGATGAGTTTATCAGTGCTTCCCCGTGTCGCACATTATTGTACTACTACTTGTTCCTAGAGGCTCCAAGTTGATGTAGCGGCTGGGAGCCGAATTGCGATGAAACCCTTTAGGCAGACAGCCGTTGACCTCCCTGCCACCGTGAAACATCGTCGTCGGCCCGACGTCGGCCGGCGGCTTGAACACGGCGTAAGTCACGGAGGACTTGTTGCCCGGAGATTCCGCCAGCGGCCTGCCCGCGGCCCCGACGAGGACGTTGGTCCTCAGCACGAGGACGAAAAAGAAGAGAAGCATGGCGTTGTTGGTGGCGACGAGGAAGAGATTGTTAGACGGCGCCATATAATTTATGGGTTTCGATCTGAATGGAAAGGATGATGATATGATGATGAAGTTTGGGTGTTAGCTAGCGGTATATATATATATAGAGGAGTCTCGCTGATCGGTTAGGATGAAACGTTTTTACTTGGGGGGTAATTAAGCTGGATTACCGTCCGGCGATATAGTAAAATTGGTCTCTCGTGTGCCTAAAATATATCGTATTAATGAACCACGTAAACTCATCACCAACGCCACCACCAACTATTATGATTAAATGCTTGCGGGCAACTTGGTGTGTCCGTGTGTGCATTGGGAGAAGCTGCAGGAAGGAAGAAAAGGAAGTTCCGTTGACAAAGATTAGTAAGCTAAGGATGCCCAGCCCGTGCACTTCATTATTACTATGTGCAAATGGATATACGGCCTTCGCTTCTTGCCAGCAGGGGCGAACAAATGACCACGGAGAAGCTGCTGGTTCAAGAAAGAAAGCAAGAAAGCCTGTGATTCATTGACCAGAGAAAGAAGTGGGTAGCTACTAACTACTACGAGCAAAGAAAAGTCAAAAACAATTTTAAGTCTTTGCTGGAACAGGCGCTGGTGGCCACGTCGGACGCCCTTTTCAGTCAATGCCACGTATGACGCCTGCAAGAAACCAAATCTATGAGACGACGAGATCCCACCTGCAAATTGGATTTGCAAGTCTGTGACTGACTGACTAGCAAGATCTGCCAGCAACTTTTCGTTTCCTTTGGTGAGCAGGATTTGCTCACAAGCAGGTCAGCCAGACACTGCAAAAAAAAAAAAAAAAAAAAATGAATTCTTCTCAGAATCTGAGATTCTACTGGAAACTGAATCCCGGGTTTGGTTCATTGCAGTGTCTGTGATAGAGCTCCGGATTAAGCTCTATCGAGAGATTGGGGATTAGTGATCAACTAGGGATTGATCCGGGAATTATGGGGATTGGGGAAAGGTGATTTGAGAGGAATTGAAGCAAGGAGAAGGGAGGGGGAAGAGGCTGCCGATCGGCAGCTTGGTAGGGAGAGGGGAGAGGCTCGGCGGCCAAGAGAGAGATATATTAGTTTTTAGGTTTAGTCTTTGCTTGTCTTTCCCTACGTAAAACAATACTCTAAATAACCAAATTACCTACTAACTACCCCAACTTATTAATCCCCCCAAAGTATTCCCAATAACCAAAATAAACTCGAACTGAATAATTCAAACCGACATAAACCCCAAATAATTAAAACGTCTATCAGTCTGCTACTTCTGCCATTTCCATATTATGATTCGATACACACGCATCTAACTGATGTCAATGACTATGAAGTACGAAATATATGATTTGTGCCTGTAGAACGATCGTTTATGTCGTAGCTCCTCTTAACTGAAATAGCACCAACTCAGGTTCGGGTAACATCTCAATCCGAAACCGAACCAGTATCCAGTCCTACCTGAAGCATTAGAACACAAAACTGAACTCTGACAAAATTCACATAACTATGCTTGTGTCAAACCAACAGCCTAGGCGATTGGGTCGCAGTTGGGAAGAACTGTATGGATATTCCTTTTTTTTTTTTGGTAAAAATGGTATGGATATTTCAAACCAACTGGCAAGTCCTTCAATAAAACAGGCAGGTATTCCAATCATGTTCACAACAGCATCGCAGACAGACAATAGATCAGGGAGTTTGGAGCCAGCAGAGTCGCGATGACTATGTACAAACTTGATACAAGAAGTGTTCTGTTCCATACCAAATGTCAGTTGCATAATACATTTTCTTTTTGTTTCAAGAACCTGGAAGATCATGACGAGGGCTGTTCTGGCTGCTGGCGAGGGAGCCGTTTGCCGATTTCCTGCAGGATGAAGAAACTCACTCTGTCAGTATATAGCTCAAAAAATGCATCCAAAGCTTCAATAGCGTCAGCATTTGATTTGCATCAACTCACTGCAGCTACGTCACAGTATGTGCCAGAAAGGATTTGGCTTCAATGACATCGAAAAAAGATTGCCAGCAACACTTATCTGTTACTATACAATGGATAGATGGACATTTGAGCAAAGTTTTTTTCCAGGGCTGTTATGGAGAAGATACAGGAAGAACTCTAGTTCAGACAAGACAAATCCTTCAATGAAGTGCTGATGGAAGATCCCAGTAAACTTAAAATACAACAACAGATACATGCCTAGTGTTCACTATCACCACGGCATGCTCGTCGCAGAGGGGGAAACTTAGAGAAACTTCAACCGGGTATATTTGCTTCCTATACTCGCGAACAGGACTTGCGAATGAGCCAGTGTTCTTAAATCAACAAGGTCAAGGGTGTAATTGTCGCATTCTTTCAAGTATCCCAGCAATCAGTAATGAGCTCAATAGTGAGACGTAAAAGCTTTCAAATGGCAATTAGCAATCTAGTCAGGTTTATTTCTCCACCAGAGTCCAGAAGTGGCAACTAAACTATTTCTCTGCTACTGGTCTCCTTTTGGTCACAATTGCTTGAGTGTTTTTCTAGTTTTTAAAACAAGGAATAAGGGCTAAATGTGAAGAAATGTAACGGGTAAGAAGTATCAGTCAGGATCACCTGAAAAAGATGACTGATATTGTCAGCTGTCTTTGCAGAAGTCTCGATGAAAAACATTCCATTCTTCTCAGCATATTCCACGCCATCCTTCCAAATGCAAATATGTTAGAACAGAAAGACGTGGGTCTAAAAAATGGCTGATAACTCAAGAATTGCTTGCTGGGCTTACTTGAGTAGGCACTTCTCTGCTCTCATGAAGATCGGCCTTGTTACCAACTAAAGCCAACACTATATCAGGACTCCCATGTTTCTGAAGTTCCTGAGACAGAATCAAAGACAGCCAGCACATAAGTTGGCATATAAATGCTACAATGAATAAAATCACGAACAGATTATGACCTTTTCTCAAAGGCAAGCATAAAACATAATTCTCCTTTTGATGTTCGTTATCATATCAAGTGCTTCTCAAAACCCAACCCCCCCCCCCCCCCCCCCCCCCCCCCCCAAACAAAAAAAAAAAAAAAAAAAAACTGTCCCCTCTTTTCGATTGCAGCACCTAACCATGATTCTATCTCCCTGCATGAAAGAGTAGTTTTACCAATACCAACTGCACGAAAGCCTTTCAACTAATGATCATACAGAACAGTATAATGAACAGACTGAACCCATGAACCATCAGAAATTATGGAGAGAACTTTCTATCATGGTCATACTTCCCAATCCTAACCTTGATAAAACTTGCATGAAATTATCAGTTAAAAGTTCACACAAATATAATATTATCTTTCACTAAAAGATAACTTTACACCAATCTGGTACCCAGGTGTTCTCCCATGATTCACTTAAAGAATCTTGGCAGTTCTACCATGATCCCACAGCATCATATTTGTTATCCTAAACTAGCTGAGTGAGAGGCCTTAGGTATAAATTATCTTTTTCTGAAGCATACGTATGAATTATCCCTAAAAAGTTGCAGGAAGTAAGAGCATGGTTGATAGGGAAAGAGAACCAAAGCCCAACAAAGATACCTTGACCCAATACTGTGCTTTATTGAAGGACTCTGGGCTGGTTATATCGTAGACAATAACAGCAACTGCAGCACCCCGGTAGTAGAGCGGGGCCAATGCAGCATACCTGATATCATCACAAAATAAATTTATAACACATTACCTCTCCAATTAAACAGGATGTTGAAAAGGGAGGGGGAGCAAATGGAGTTACCTCTCTTGTCCTGCAGTATCCCATATTTCAAACTTCACTGACGTGGAATCCTGTAGCGCTATTGTTTGTGAGAGAAATGAGGCTCCAATAGTTACCTGGGGGATAAGAATCAAACATGCAATAAACACAATTAACTTGACTCAATGGCTCTCAAACACTATACCTTCACATTCATGCTTCTAATCAGTATGGATATGACAAAACAATATGCAAAATCATTGCACAGGATGGGATCTGGATCATAAGAAAGCACTGAACATCACCAGGTCACTTACTTTAGATGTTGGATCAAATTGACCCCTGACAAAGCGAAGGACAATGCAACTTTTACCAACACCAGAATCACCTAACAAAACGAGCTGTTCATGGGAATGGAAATGAAAAGTCAGAATTATGGCTGAACAAGACAACATGATTTCAATTCGCTTGATCTTATTCTTTGAGCATTAGATGACCACAAATACTGCACTAGAAAGATAACAATGAAAACCACTAGGGAAAATTCTGAGACTTGCTTATGATTCAGCTTCTCGTCATTTGCATTAAGTGAGGGTATGTAGCTCACAAATTTAACATTCAGCTCGCAGCCATAGCTGCTTAAAGCCAAATCAGTTTGCATAATAATTAAGAACCAAGAAAAACCTAGACCACTTCAATATTACAATTAATGCAATCGCGAATATCATTTTACTCTGTCACCCATTGGCAATCTAGTACCTTTACACGAAGGCTCTTTGAATCGGTTGACCCGTTGCTGTCCGGATTAAGTACACCCAACTGCCCAGAACTCCGGTCTGGAAATGTTACCCCCAAGCATCCAAGAAGCACAAACCAAAAAGAAAACGAATTAGATAAGTCAGCAGCGCCTCACAGTATGCTCTGGAACTGTGCAAATCAAAATCTGACGCTTAAAAGTGTAGATATCCACACTGACGCAGACACTTAGCAGGCGCTAACAAATTGACTGTACCAGAGTAATCGATCAGCTCAGCTAAATCACTCCGACTCCGCACACAATCACAAACCCTAAAATACCCGTTATTCTTTTCCTACCCCAATCCCTGAGTCGAACTAACCACCAGTGTGTGAATTACGAACCTAACCAATCCGCAATCGCAGACCCATTCCCCAATCCCCCCAAAGACAAAAACGCATTCGGGTTTTCCTCAACGTTTGATGGGAATTTCCTCCTAAAGTTTCCAATTTTACCTGGTAGAGAAGATGCACAACCCATGGGCGATGTGCAGAGGAAATCCACGCGTGTACTGCAAGCAATCTGAAACCAAACCCAATGAGCGAGAAGCGATAGGGTTTTGGACTCGGGAGTCGGATGAAGAATCTGATGAAGAGAATAGAAGACCAGGCGGAGGTGCTGTCTCTTCTCTTTGCACTCCTTTCACCCGTGGATTTGTGAGAGTAATATATAAACAAAGGGTTACTGGGTTTTTTTAGGCCTATTTGCTGCTGATCGGAGCAGACGTTAATGGTCGGCGACACTTCCAATTTGTTCACCTTTTTCCTTTATTAAAGTTTAATCTCCTTCTTCTTCTTCTTCTTCTTCCAATCTCTACCTCTCTTGCCACGTGCCATCCACATAGAACATGGTTGATCGGTTTAACCACTAACCAAATTGTTTATGTTGGTTAGCTATTGGTTAGCTATTGCACCTATATTTTTATTTTATTACCCAGGAACCTTAGCCCCACGTGCCACTTTGTGTCAGCGGGTCCTATTAAATCTGGCGGCCACCTACAATCAATTTCGACGCCAACGGGCCTCGGTTGGATTTGAACCTGGGATCTGCAACTCCCAAACCTTCACTGTCGCGTCAGCTGTACCTAGGGGTGGTAATTGGTAAACCGGTATTCGGTATTATCGGATACCGTACCGGATACCGACGGTATCCGGTATACCAAATTCCAGGGTATCGGTATTCGATGGTGTTATTTGGCATAACGGTATACCGGATAATACCCGGTAATATACCGACGGCAATCCGGTATACCGGAATACCGAATAGCATATATAAAAGTGTTGATTTTGGGATTTGATCTAGGCATTTGATATTGTTTGTTTAAATGGTTGGATATATAATTGGATGGTAATTGGGCAATTGGTTTTGAAATGAAATTGGAGGGAGCAGGGAGAGCTTGTCGGCAGGTAGAGAGAAGAACAAGGGAAAGAAAGTTTCTTTCTTACCTTACAACAATATATCCACGTCAGTCTTTACATAAGTCTTTAATCAACAAAATATCTAGACCAATTATGCACCGCCCTTGAATTGTGCATATTATAAAATCACAAACTTTAAATTCAGATCTCCTCTTGTCTTCTCTATATCTTATTATAACATCTTCATATCAGCACTATAAGCAAGCAACGTGTTACGAAGTTGTCATCTCACGTGTTCGGTATACCGAACACGTACAAATCAAACCATGTACAAATAAAAAGAATAAAAAATGACCAGACTTCGCATGCAATGAGAATGCATCATCACCATCTAAACTTCACAAGGTGTAGAGAGAGCATACAAGCTCTACATATTCCATCTTTGGATATTTCTCTACATATTAAAAAGTATTGCAATTCGAAAGGTTTATTTTCAGCGAATTTAGAACTCACAATTCAATGACAGCAGTTTTGAAAGAAAACGATCTATCCGGTATCCGGTATACCGGTTAAAATACCGGTAATCGACTATCCGGTATCTGGTATACCGGATAACTTTCGGTATCGATATTCGGTGGCAGAATTTCGATTGCCGGTATACCGGATACCGACCGATTACCACCCCTAGCTGTACCGTTAGACTATCTTACCTTTGATACTATTGCACCTATATTCATTTGACCTTTGTTGCTACATTTATTGGCGAAAAATTATTGCTTGTCGATCTAAATAGATTTATCAATATATAATAATCGATTAGTCGATAAATTTTGATCACGATGTCTCTTTTATTCTTTATTTACAATGTGATGAATGAAATTGTTTCAAATTTTTATAAGCTCAACCTTTTTTTAATGAGCTTATATATTTACAGATTCATTGTATTCTGTCCTTGTAATAGGGATTCGGTTTGATCGAATTGACCAAAATTGGAGAGTCGAATTTGTATTTATCTCCCTGGCTATTCATATTATTTTCGGAGAGGACATCATTAATTTTATTTAGTTTTTTCTTTTAAGTAAAGAAATCCCTATAATTGTTTCGGTCACACATGACCTCATTCTAATCGTCCCTTTTCCTGCCATTTTCCCACTATCCAAACAGGGGAAATAATTAATTGATATAAACACTATGCTGAAAATAGATAATGAAAAGAAAGGAAGACAAGAAAAAAAAAAAAAAAAAGACCCATCATTTCCTTTGTCATAATTTCGTTCCTTTCCATTTTAATGAATTCCCAACTAGTATATTTCCGCGGTTAGATTATTCTTCGTTTCTTCCCATTAAGAATGCTCACCGAACTCTCTTTCCCTTCATTTGTCAGCACAAACGACATTCATTTCTTCTTCTTCTTCTTCCTTCCTTCCATTTCAAAGTTCTTATAGAGCACAATTTGGCGACGAGCTAGCCCAGTGAAATTCCACCGATTTCGTCATCTGGGTCTCCATCGTTTTGCTCAAAGTCGCCGCCTTTTTGGGTTTAATTTACAGACCCGGGCTCCTGGTTCCTAATTAACCACATGGACGGCAGCTTGGGGTTGGTGAGCCGACTCTCAGAGTTAGTGAATGAGATTTCTGGGCTGTCCGAGTGTGGGAATGTGTGCAACAAGGTGCAGGTCAACTTGGTGAGACGAATTGACCTCTTGGGACCCATGTTTGAGGAATTGAAAGATGTCAATGAAGAGCTGAGCGAGGAAGCCGCTGGAGGGTTTGAGCTGTTGAGAATTGCTCTGGAATCTGCTCTGAAGCATTTGAGGACGGTCAACGCAAGCAGCAAGGTTCATCAGGTATTGTGTTCCTTTGTGGTTTCAGAACTGAATGTGAGGGTCTTTAGCTGTTTCAACAGTCAAATTTTTTGTTTTGTTTTTGGGCGTGTTGACGATGAATTGCCATTTGACTGGGTTTTGCAAATAACAGAAAGGTCCACCAATCCTGTTTCAGAGAGATGGTCCGTAAATTATGATGGATGATTATGTGTTTCTTATTTATTTTTATTTTTTTGGGTGAATGGGATTCTTAGTTTACATTCTAGGCTATGCCTACTGCATTTGGCAACCAATTTGAGGAAGCCTGAATGTTGGAGGTTTTGGCTTTGAATCACTCCTGGATTATGCACGATCTCATAGAGATTGGTAATTTCTAGCTTAGTCAATGTGCTTGATTAGCTGTGGTTTCTGTCTTGGTGGAGAGAGCATTTGGATAACATGTCCCTAGCAGTCTATTTCTCATGATAATTAAGCAAAGCAATGTTCTCTGTGTCGCAGTCCTTACATCGAGACAACATAGAAGCTGAATTCCTCCAAATAACAGAACAAATGGAAGAAGCATTGAGCAAGATTCCTTACAAAAAGCTTGATTTGTCAGAAGAAGTTAAGGAACAGGGATTGCTGAACTCAATTTATCAGAGATGTCATTGTTCGGTGTATGACAACTTGGGGTTGGTGAGTCAACTATTGGAGCTTGTGAAGAGCATCTCTGGGTTGCCCGAGTGTAGAAATGTCTGCAAAAAAATGCATGGAAATTTGGTGAGGAGGATCAAGCTCTTGAGTCCCATGTTTGAGGAATTGAAAGATGGTAACGAAGAGCTGAATGATGAAGCGGTTATAGGGTTTGATCTGTTGAGAACTGCTCTGGATTCAGCTCTGGAGCATCTGAGGACAGTCAATGAAGGGAGCAAGGTTTATCAGGTAATTTTCTTTCTTTTGTGCTTTCTTGCACTGAACGTTAAGGACTTCAACTGTTTTGGCTGTCAATTTCTTTTCCTTTCTGTTCATAACCAAATGGAATGGGAGGGAATGGCAAACTAATCCTCTTTCTGAAGGAAATGCGAGTGAGTTATGGTGAATGATTATGGTGATCTTCTTGTTTTACATTTATGTAATGGGAAGAAGAGAGGGAGAATGGGGATTAGGAGGTACCTTCTTTGAGTGGTGGATGAGTCTTTGATTATGCATAATATCATGGATTGATAATCTATGTCGTGGACAATGATCTCTAGCTCCTGTTTGTTAATTCATGATGATCAATGGTCCTGTAGTTTCCTTCTAGTAAGTGCCACCGCTAAGATATTGTCCTTTCAAGATGCTTGTTGATCCCAACTAGGGTGTGGTGGACATTTATCATCCCCACATTACCACTAGATCATCCCTTTAAGGTTCAGAGCTACGATTTTGTTTGAGGGGTTGGAAACATTTATTGCTGAAATGCATGTTCAAGGGCAGCAGCAAAGGATGATGCTAGGCATTTACCGAGGTTTCCACTCACAAAGTGGTTACATATACATAGCAGTATAATACTATTCTTCGAACAATCATGATACACAGCTCCATCTCTCCCTGTAGAGTTATGTCATGGTATTATTTTAGACAAACATTTGTCTTTCTATGTCACAGGCCTTGTATCAGGAGGACATAGCAGCTGAGTTCCACCAGATTACTGAACAGATTGAAATAGCATTGGGAAAGATTCCTTACAACAAGCTTGATTTGTCTGAGGAAGTCTGGGAACAGGTATTCTTGAATTCAAACTATGAGAAATATATCATTCACTAATTACTCCATTTATAATAGCACCCATCTTTGATTCCGGAGCTTCCTCCTGTAACGTGATTTGATTGATCTTTTGTTTGTAATGATACCAGATTCAGCTTGTGCATGCTCAATTCCAAAGAGCAACCGCAAAACCTGACTCTCCCGATGTGCAACTGGATCATGATTTAGCTGTTGCACAAAGAGAAAGAGATCCAGACCCTGCAATACTGAAGCGGCTTTCTGAAAAGCTTCAACTCAAGACAATCGAGGATCTTAAAAAGGAGTCCATTGCGTTCCATGAGTTAATAATTTCAAGCGAGGGAGATCCTGAAGACTTGTTTGGGAAGATTTCTTCTATTTTCAGAAAGTTGAAGGACTTTGTTCAAGTTGAAAACCCAGAAGATGCTGATGCTCCTAAGGCTGACAAGGAATTCCTTAAGCACAGGTCTCCTGTCATCCCAGACGATTTCCGTTGCCCTATATCTCTTGAACTAATGAAAGACCCCGTTATTGTCTCTACCGGACAGGTTTGTCCAATCTACACTTTCAAAGTCTTAATTTCTAATTCATTTGGTTCCATCAATTGGTATGGTGTGTCTATTGGAGAAGTAGTCAACTGAAGCAAATGGTAAAAGTGGATTGTGTTTGATAAAAATTATTCTAATAAGTCAGTAGCCGTTATTCATTCCTGGTCTCGATTCCTTTTTTCAGACATATGAAAGATCTTGCATTCAGAAATGGCTAGATGCTGGCCACAAGACATGTCCAAAGACCCAGCAAACCCTCTTGCACACTGCACTAACACCCAACTACGTGTTAAAGAGTTTGATATCCTTGTGGTGCGAAAGCAATGGCGTTGAGCTACCTCCTAAGCATCAAGCTGCTTTTAAGAACAGGAAACTTGGGAGCAGCACCGTTTCGGACTGTGATCAGACCACCATTGCTGCATTGCTTGATAAGCTGGCGAATGGTAACCCAGAACAGCAGAGAGCAGCTGCTGGAGAGCTTCGGTTGCTTGCGAAAAGGAATGCTGACAACAGAGTGTGCATCGCCCAAGCAGGAACCATTCCTCTTCTCGTGGAATTACTTTCCTCTCCTGATGCTCGCACTCAAGAACATGCTGTCACAGCGCTTCTTAACCTCTCGATAAACGACGGGAACAAGGGCACAATCGTCAACGCGGGAGCCATACCCGACATCGTGGATGTTCTGAAGAATGGAAGCATGGAGGCGAGGGAAAATGCGGCAGCTACCCTTTTCAGTCTGTCGGTCGTGGATGAGAACAAGGTGGCGATAGGAGCAGCTGGCGCAATCCCAGCGCTGATCAACTTGTTATGTGAGGGATCGCCACGTGGCAAGAAGGATGCAGCCACTGCTATTTTTAATCTCTCGATATACCAGGGGAATAAAGCAAGAGCAGTTCGGGCTGGGATCGTGCCACCATTAATGAGACTGTTAAAGGATGCTGGCTGCGGGATGGTGGATGAAGCTCTGGCAATCCTCGCAATCCTTGCTAGCCATCAGGAAGGAAAGGTGGCAATCGGGTTGGCGGATCCAATTCCGGCACTGATGGAAGTGATCAGAACAGGATCTCCTCGCAACAGGGAGAATGCAGTGGCCGTGATGTGGTCCTTATGCACATGTGGCGACATGCAGCAGTTGAGGGCAGCCAAGGAGTTGGCCGCAGAGGAGGCATTGAAAGAATTAGCAGAGAGTGGCACTGATAGGGCGAAACGGAAGGCTGGGAGCATACTGGAGCTACTCCAGAGGGTTGAGCCAGCAGCCTAGTCAAAAGCCCGATTCTTTAATCATCCAGGTACAAATTCTGAACACAGTTGCAGTTTATGTGAAAAGCTGTGTCTTGGCGCGTACCTCCGAGGCTACCCCAACCCGAATGGGAGTGGGCAAGTCGGGTGGTAGTCACCATGGAGGTTTCCTGAGAATGTAGTGTGTGTGCAATCAAGTTGTTGGGTACTAGAGGTGGGGGTGCATAGGCGGATTGTAAGAAGCAGCGCGTTGGTGAAGCAGCGCGTTGGTTGGATGTCAAACTGGTTTTTTGATACACTGTATAATAGTTGGAGGGCTAAGTTTGGTGGCTAATTGTTTATTCCATTTGGAAGAGATCAAGCCGGCATCATTTGAGACTTGGTCTGGTCCTCAAATAAAGCTTTGCAGCAAGACAGCGAGGATTATGATCAGCTGCTGCAAATATTAGAATGTAAAAAAGGAGAGGAAAATGTGTGGTGGGATTGTGATTGATACATACAGGTATACAGAAGAAAGAGTCAAAGTAAACTTACACTTTTGTTTAGTTGTATAATATGTGATGTCGCCATAGTGGATGCAGTTGTATTCGACAGATGGAAAAGAAAAGCAAATTATGTATAGGGTTTCCATGTAGCTGTCAATGTGAGTCCTTTCTTGCGGCTTTTTGTTTGATGGTATTGTTTAAGGGGATGCGGTTTGTATGGAACAGGTCATGTAATACAAGTTATGGAGGGAATTTTGTTGTTGCTGTACGCATGGAGGATTACTGTTTTATAATGAAATTTTGTTACTGCTTCCTGTTCATGACTTTCTACTCCAGCCTTTCAATACCAATTCGGTTAAACTTAACGTTTCGTTATGATTCGAACAAAGCCTTGTGCTTCCTTAATTGTTGTTAGCATCTATCTATTTCATCGCCTGTGTTAGCATCTACCGAAATGGAGAAAGAGTACCTTTAAGGGCGACGACTACAATTGATGATAGCAAAGCCTAGCCGTATAAGGGCGAGCAGCTCGTATAGCAAGTCGCGGAAATAGCAAATGGCAGTCACATCTAGCTTTCATCCCTTAGTTTGGTACCACCCTCTCGCAAGATAGCCTAGTACCAGTACTTGGATTCACGAGAAGTGGTGCTGGCAGGACCCGTCGGGACTGGGGGAGCAGTGATTAGATCTCGGTGGTGGCTTGGGCCATAAATCATAAGCAGAAGCAGAGGAGAGTCTGAATTGTTCATGTATTTTCAGAAACTATCGAGATTCTCAGTTAAGAGGTAGAAAAGCTCTACCATACAACTTGACAAGTGAACTCCAAACATATCCCGCGTCAGTCTTCTCTAATCAAACAACTCCTCTCAGGTACTTGCATTCTCAAGCTCACTTCTATAAGAGACACGCAAGGCCGAAGACTCAAAGAATCAAGTAGATTTCTGGTTTACACAAGACCATATCTGATCAGGCGAGAAGACGTAGTAAAACTACCCAGGCGAGTGCTCGTTTGCTGTCAGCTGTTTCTTTGTGCAGCAAGTAAAACTAGCCCAGCTTCTCAACATATGATTCAGTCAAACTATTGCCACTGATCATCTTTGTGGTAGCAACCATCACGTCATAAGCCATTCCTTCCTGCATTCCATGGTATGCATCCAATAACAGCCATGATCAGACAATGTTCTCGAATTCGCACGTTCACAGTGATCGGATTTAAAGTAGACCATACCTGAGCACTGAGAAATCGAAGAGCTGCAATTTCCGCAAATGTGACTCCTCCTATGAAGACAACGAGTACGAGGGATCGTCTGCCGTCAGCCACTCTGAAACATGGAAGACATGGGTTACCAAAATAGCACAGAAGCGCAATTTTTAATGCTGACTGGGAGACAAGTCATTTTCTTTTCGAAAAATAAATAGATCATCAAGGGAAAGGTTTCTATTATTCTATATAGTTCCTGATGCAGGTATAACAGAGACTACTAGGATCAGTCTCCGCATACATACCTTCCACCAGCTACAGACATTGACTCGGATGATGCACTGTGTGGAAATCCACCCTGCAATAACACAAACGTCATTGATGCTTTCGTATCGATATGTGGAGGAAGGAAGGGAGATAACATCACTTACCCTTTTTGTCTCTGAATGAGGCCCAGGCAACAGTCTCAAGATTTCTTCCATGGGGCGCCTGTTTGAGAGAAACTTATAAGATCTCGAAGACATCACATAAGTCTACTAAACAAAGAAAACAATCATCTGAATCCAGTACTAGCAATTCTCTAAATAACTTTGTTATAGTAGACAGCCCATTTATTGATGCAAGGTCAGGCCTAAGTGCAGCTGAGTACCTCACTTAATGAGGTATATTATCTAAATATCACGAGAATAAATTATAAAGATTCAGCACAGTACCCCACAAGTTTAGAGTAAAAAGTGACTAAGTTGGACATAGAGAACTAAGCTCACCATCCAGATCGAATGGCATGATGAACTAGGCGAATGCTCAGTGGTGCATATCCAGAAAAGACATATGAAATGTCATTGGGGCTGTTTCAAAGAGCAAACAATAGCTCTGTTAGGAAGGAAAAACAACACAGTATAAATGTGGGGCAGAGAGAAAAGAAAGAGACAAGACCAGAGTGACACGTTCCTCAGATACAAAAATAAATTTACATTGCATAAGTTTCTTCTTTCATTGTTTTCTCATGGAGCAAATCTACTTCCACATGCTATGTTAAGCGAAACATAAATTACCCGCATATGCATATCAACACTATGTTAGTGCAAAAAATTAGAAGCTGAGGAGATGGCTAAGAAGTTCTATACTTGGCCGTGTCAGTATCTTCAACTACAAGTTGTAGAGCACGCTTAACAGTCAGCCAGTTGGACTTTGATTCCTGCAAGTTTCAGATGAAGAGAATAGATCTAATCAGTTCAAGATCTCCTTAACCGAATTAGTTATTAGACATTTGAACTCATTCATGGGAAATGAAACAAAACCTGCTTTCTAAGCAATCCAGCCTTCTCTAGATTGTTCAATGTTGCTATATGTTCAAATCCATAGCTATGCAGTAGCTCCCGCCTGAACCAGAAGTAATAGGTATGGATACATAATGTAACATCACCACAGTAGGTAAACAATTGAATGCAAAGGATTGATGCTAGAAATGCAAGAACAGGATAATGGAAGGAAGCTTGCAGGTGTAGATAATTTTATCCTCACCTCAAATAATCAAAATGTTTCTTGGGCAATCCTGAATTGGTAACAGAAAACAGAATGAGGAGACGGAGGACACTAATAAGAGGCTCCTGCTTATGGATAAGTTCTTCTATGTGCTCAAAGCATCTGCATGGAGGAATGGCAGGATTCAATACTCATGTTTTCCAATGTTCCATGACAGGAATACCAAAAGATGGAAACAGCTTCAACCTAGGAGCACAGAATTGTGACTTCAAATCTTCTTGAATAAGTAATTGCAAAATGATGTCAAGCACCTTATTGGTCAAGACAGGGAGAGAGCCTCCAGACTTACATGTCATAACTCTCCGCCTCAACAATTGTATGTTCCATGTTAAGTCGTGCAAGAAAAGATTGCTTAGATGTGAACGTTGTCAAATGTTGGGCAAGATTTATGTGCCTCTGAAGCAATATCAATGACAAGTGAAGAAATTCGGCAATTGTTATGAGTTTATCGGGCGAACCATCCATGTATGAAGAGCAACAAATAGAAAGGTGGGGTTAGACTTACAGTCATTTCTGGCAATGAGTTGAGCTTCTTGACAAAATCCTTCAACTCGGAAACTGACTGGTTCTGCACATGAAATCACCGCCATTATAAACAAGCGTAGAATATTCAACGTACCCAAGAGGAAAATATACATGAAAACCCCAGATCTATAATGCTTACAACTGTGTATGATATCTATGATCCTGTAATGTGTAAGCATGACTTTCTAACATAATTTTTTTGCAAAACAGAACTAGTATTCATCAACAACAACAAAATGGAAGCAACCACAAAATTCATAAACCGGCTATTGTCTTGTACTATAAAAAAAATGAGGAACCAAATTGTAAGAACTTTTCACTCACGGTTGATGTCATCTCTGCGTAATCCTCCTTCATGGAGGTTGCTTTTTGGCGGAGAACCTGAAATTATATATGGCATAACTTCTACATAATGGAGGAAAATGAAATTCAGTTCAAAATGATAACGCTGATAGACAATTGCTCTAATAGCAAAGTAGCTCTTGAGACCATGAAATAAGTGAGTAGACAATAGCTCCAGGAAGACATCAACCTGGACGACGACTTCAAAGTTGAGATCACGGGTCTCTTTGAACAACTTGTCACTGAAATTCAAGCCACGTTCAATGATAAATTATGAGAGGAACTGAGGAAGAATTCACCAAAGGCATCGTGCGAGGAGAGTGTCACACTACACACTAAACAGAGTATGGAGGATGGTTCTAGCTTGACTAGCATACAGATGGATCTCTACACATTTGACACTCCAGCTCAGAAGCAAATACTCACTTGAGACTTAAGTAATTCAATTTACCTTGAATTGAGTGGATGTTTCATCTTTTTTCCTTCTTGTTGTTGAGCACCCAAAATAGATGCATCAAGCTCCACAGAACCATTATTTATATGGAAAAACTACATGCAGTAACATTTTCAAGGTAAGCAAATTCAATCAATATCTTGCTAATCACATTCTTACATATATTAAAAAGGAAATTCAATCAATACCCAACAAGTACCTGAAAAAAGAATGTTTAGATTAGACAATAGTGCTCACAACAAAAGAACGACATGCTTGGAGATGCTTAACAACCCTAAAATCAAACCACAATCAAAGGAGAGAACTAGTAACTAGGTTACTACACATTTTGGGAGAGAAGCAATTCAATTAGTCCCCTTGTAAATCATATTCTTGTTTTCATCAAAAAGGGGGGAGAATGGCATTCGCTAAATACCGGTCAAGTATGAAAAATATAGGCACATTCAGATTCTCCAATAGTGCTTGTATTAGAAGTGCATGCTTGGAGAGGCTCAACAATCCTAAAATCAACCCACAGTCAAGGGAGGGAACTAGTAACTAGGGCACTTTTCATTCAGAATTTATATAAACCTACAAAGTCCAAATTTGGGTTCCTTTCAAACATCCAATTACGTAAAGACATTTTTGTGTGAAAATATATATTATGTCTCATGTTACCTCATCTATCAATCCTTCGTATGTTAGCTGGGAACACATAGGTGTGACCATGTCCACCTGCAGCCAGAAAATCATGAATGTCTAGTCACTCTCGTCAACATTAGACAAACAAGAAACTAGCTAACCAGCTATACATACAACGTCACTCAATTCAGAAAAGGAACTAAACCTACATTATTAACAAAGTAAAAGTTGTCATCACAGTTCTGTTCCCTGAAGAGCCTAGAGAAAATCATTTTCCAAGGAAATATGCTACTCTGGGAAGCAGATTCTGCACAAAAGTTAATGGGTTGCAGCCTCAGGAACAGGAACTGTCTTTTAGTACAGCAACAGAAAGTAGACGGGATTATTCATCTCATATTTCTACACTGCACATACCAAGGCCAACAAGGCGGACAGTGCTTCTAACAGAGGCAGTAGCAGGTGAGGGAATTTACCTCTCTATCTAGAAGGATGACTGTGTTTATTTCTGGAATACCCATCTGAAGAAACAAACATATATTAGAGATACATTGCATTTTGATTACTGACGCAGAATTCAAGTTAGCACCAAGGACTACATAATGTAACTGCCATACATCATGCGAGTTGACTGGTTCTTCCGTCTGCATGCGAGTGAGGATGTCAGCAACACGTACAGAGCATCTGCCTTTGGCCCGGACATTGGGTATCAACCCAGAAAAGGACTGTAAGACACAAATTCCCAATCATAAACAGTGAAATTAAATGCACAACCCATAGTTCCTGACCTGTCTTATGTAGCTAACTCTGTTTAGTCGTAAAACCAATACTCATACGAACCTCAAGCTTGTGAATAGCTTTTGCTATATGCCAAAGCGAGCTTGTGTCACCATCAACTTGGAACTCCTATTTAGGCAGGGAAAGGAACACTATAAAGATGAGCATGAATGGATGCGAAAATAAATTAACTGTATCATGTAACGTAAGATACAAATGGCAAATATATCATACTTTGTTAACACAATCAAGTTCGAACGATATCACGTCCTCGTCGAATGGAACCATGTATAATGGGTATTCCCCTATGGTCATCAGGTGATGAACTTTTTCCTCCTCGAGCACCTAAATGCACAAAAAAGTTTATTGACTAACCTCCAGAAGCATGAAATATTTGACAGCTCACTAACGTTCATGAGGTGCAACCAATGAACAACAAGAAAAACTTACTTTCTCACAAACAACTTCTCGTCGAGGGACAAAATAGACATGGTACTCCCTCTGCAGTCCTTTAGATATATCATTATGCACTTGTGAAGAGATAAATTTCATCAACTCGAACTGAGAGCGGACAAGGTATATAATTTTGGAGATATCCGTCTCCAGTGGGTCAGCTGAAAGATGCCTCAGTTCAACCCCGTACTCCTGCAATCCAAAACTCAGCACAATCTCTTACAATTTCACCAGAGACGTACACAATTCAGAGTGTCTGCTAATCAGAAGACCAAAAGAATGAAAGAAAAACAAGTTGAGAAGTTCACCATTAGAACTGAGGTCTGGATGATCAAAGAAAGAGACCCACTTAGCTTGGGATCAATAACCAAGCACTTCTTTCCTCGAACCTGCAATTCCAAAACCAAACCGAATTTCAGTTGTTAAAGACATGATGAGCAAAACCAAACGAAATAACCTACTGATAGCCAAATTTCATGATCATCCTAGCCACTTAAACCAAATCCCTAACTTGCAGACATGGGGAAATCAGAATTGCCGAAGGGTCAAAGTGAGGGAAGAACGAAAATGTACATTCTTCAGAATGTTGACGAGCTCTCTCTGAGACTGCTCCCTGCAAATTCAGTTTCGTAACTCCACACTCAGTCGATACAGAACAGCCGACGGAAGAAGGAACCAGTGAAGGCTGGGTGTGAGCAAACACAAAAAATGATACCTCAGGGATCGTAGATTCAGTGGTGAATTGTCTAGGTTAGGAATCTGAGATACTTTCGCCATTGTTCAGTAGCGCCCTCGAGGATTATCGTTCTTCGGGTGACAAATTCTTCTTCCTATTGCGCCGTGGAGAAGAGAAATGAATGGGGTTTGATACAGAACAGAACTTGGAAAGTAACTAGAAATTCAAGAAACCCCGACCGCGCCAAGCCGCCAACCCTTCAAGATTCTGCAGCAATGAAGAGTGAAAATCTTACAACTTGTTTCTTTTTTTCTTCTTCTGGATACAGACTACAGAGACGGCGATGAGGCGTTCCGTGGAAAGGGGATGGACGGGGGGAACTTCAGTCAAAGCTTGAAGGCAACAAAGGATATGCAGTTGCGGGAGAGGATCTGATGATTGATTGCCGGAGAGGATCAGAATTATGGTGAAATTGAAAAAGGAACAGGGCGCTCAGTCGGAAGAATGGAGGATGACTACGACGACGGTGGAGTAAATCATGTATTCGCCTGTTCGGTGAAGATACACACGGACACGGGTAAAATCCAAAGGTTTGTAAAGAAGAACGGTCCGACCGAAAACCTTTCAGGTCAGGACCGAACCGAAAAACACGGAAATTAGCGGATTTTTAATGTTGTCAGAACCGAACCAGGATATGAACCGATATATAGTAAGTGGTTCGCACTTTACTGGTTTAATCGGTACTAAGCTGTAATAAACCCGTTAACGAACCGGTGTCTAATAAATAAAATTATTATAAGTAGACACCATTAATAGTACTATAATTATATATTGATTCTAATATATTCCTAACAGAAAATTATATATGACAAGTAAATATTATCATTTTACATAAATATAAATTATTTAAGCATAGAAGTTGTGATTTTTCAAAATTAAACACTGCGTTATGATTGATAAAACAATTCATTAGCTTTTGTTTCACTAAAATAGTGCTAGCCCTATTGCTAGATGGTTTGAGTTGTCACCAAAAGGGATTGTGTTCAAATCCTAGCTCTCTTGCATTTGTGCAAATTTTTTAATTTGGTCAAATAGGATTTCGACCGTCAAAACCGGTTCGAATGGGTAGCCCGGTTCAACCGGCTGATTCGCGTACAAATTGGAGGATCAGGCCGTGACGGTTAAATAGCCTGACCGGACAGAGTTAGTGGCGGGTGGCGGTTCTATCGGTCGGACCAGCCGATCCAGTCCGACTTTAGCAACACTGGGATTTTAGTGGTATGAAACAAATCATGTTTTTTTTAACATAAAAAAAATTAATTGTTAACTTTACTCATATGATATTCAGTATTAAATATATGCTCATTTTATTTCGGAGAGAAATGAAAAAGCATAAAACCTCAAATAAACTAAGCGTATCAAATATATTTCAAATTAATTTCTTACCATCTACATTCATATTTAAATAAAATACATTACAAATAAAATGATAACTCATCATATTTGAATAAACAAAAATGACAGGGCAGTGACAGATGAATTCCATATTCTTTCTTGTCGATTTGATTTTGCTCATGCAAAGGCTTTTTTCGTTGATATAAAAACACCACTGTTTTTTGTAGAAATACATTCGCTATTACGTCAAAAGTAATCCACTATTTAAGGTTAAGGTCTTTCATATAAAAAGGATTTGTACTAAAACGGAACCTATGATCTCTACTAGCTAAGAAATCATTAATGATTTTCTCTCTATGAATATGGGAAACACAAACTTCCCATTCAAGACTCAACCGAAATCAATACCACTATTTTGAATAAACAAAGATGATAGAAAACCAAAAAGAGTCTTCAAACTATGATCTTTAAGTAAAAAGTAAAAACTAACTTGGTCAACCTGCATATTGAAGTAAATACATTTGTAGAGAAGCTCAAGTTTTCCAAAATATGGGAAGATCTTACTAAGAGCCAAGAGGAGAGTGAATTCGAAGGCATAAAGGTAAGTCCATCTTCAATATGTTGTTAGTTCTTTTTACGCTTACGAATTTGAAAAAAGAAATAAAATTCGATCAGATTGTAAATGTTTTTATACTTCACAAAATATTTAAAAATAACTTCTTAAAAGAAGCCAACACATTATAGTTGGTATCGAAGTGTTAAATATAAAAAAAATCCCATTTCAACACGGTTACAAAAGCAAAATTTTGATATTTGGCTTGATTAGACCATATTGTCAAGTAGTGGTAGAGCTAAGACTTCCTTTTTCATAATGTAAACATATTTTTTTATAAGGGTGATATAGGTTTTATTTTGTTGTTATTAAGATACTATTTAAGGAATTCGAACCTAGGACCTCCAGGTTCCAGGCTAGTGGTATTTTCACTAGACCAAGCCCTTGTTCGTTCATAATGTAAACATATTTATATTTTTATGATTGAGAACTCTTGCCAGCAGTCGTCACTTTGGTTACACCATAGGCATGTCAAAATCCGGGCAACTGACTATAGTGTTGGTTTAAGATCAGGGGAGGTTGAATGCACTATGAACTACACTCATGACCACCTTGAGTGCAAGGGAACTACGACCATGTTGTGCATGCTGCAACTCAACGATTGTGAGTACGATCATGTGTGTTACAACTCAACCAACCACCTCACAACTAAGATACACCTCCACTCTCGAGAATGCTACTGAAGAGATCAATGTTGATACTAGGGTTTGAACACACGGCCTTGCGAGTGTCGAATCACCAACTGAGCTAGCCCCCATTCACATAAATAAATACTATAGTACAATGTGTTTACATCAAAATTTAAACATGTACCACATTAGTTTAATACAAGAAATTAAATGGCATTGTAAGGCAACTTAATTATAATAATTAAAATCAATTGAGATGAGCCACATGGATTGGACTTTTGGACTCATGGCACCCAAAAGCCATTCACCCCTGCACCATCACTCCAAAATTTGGATGATAAGTGGTGGAGTACCCTCATAATGTGATTATGGGGTAATCAACATACCTTTTAGGCCCCCTAGCGTGATGGGGGTCATTAGTATACCCCTTAGCGTGATGAGGTGGAGTGAAATTTGGCTAAATATGGAGAGTGCAGTACCACCATGGTTTGCCGAATTTTGCTAAGATGGCAAAGTGGAGTGTGGAGAGGAGGCTCCCTAATGTGACTAGAGGAGATTCAGCATACCCCTCTAGTGGATGAAATTTGGTGAAATTTTGTTAAGTCTAGAGCACCCCCCCCCCCCCCCCCCCCCCCCCCCTTGGTGTGATTATGAGGGGGTAATCCGTATAGCCCCTCTAGTGCAATAAGGTGAGGTGAAATATAACTAAGTATGAGAATCCACCTTGGTATGACTAGGTGGGTGATTCGACGATGGAGTACCCCCTCCTGGTGTGATGAGGGGGTGATCAACATACCCCTTCCGAGGTGGGGTGAAAATTGCTTAAGTATGTAGGAGAGGAGGGTGATAATATGTAACTCAAGTATCTCCTTAGTGGGATTACAAAAGGGGATGACATCAAGTGGCAAGAGGGTAACCTCTGACGCTCTCATGATCATTAGTTATGAATTATTTTTACCATTTCACCCCATATGATTCGAATACATACCCACACATGACTAGGGTGTCTTCATGCCTTAACCGTTGTTTCTCATCCGACAAGAAGCTACCAAACTACCAAGTGTAGGGGGTCAAGACTAGAGATGGTGGCACATTTGATGTCAGGGTTGTTAGGATAGTTAAGAGTGTAACTGTCACTCCATGTCAGTTGAGCAGTTTCTCAAGGCAATTACTTCTGATAATGACAAAAGGGAGAACTATGCTTATTTTAATCATTATTCAAGAAGTCAAGATGTGCTAATTTCATTTCAACACAAGTTTTCTTGTCGGAAAACACAATAACAAAAATATTCATATACCACCTCAAAATGGTAAATTGAATCCCTTGGATAATCTACATAGAGACATTTTGTTATTTACAAGAACTTACTTATGTCATGTGACAAAGACAAAAGTCCGTGCCGACGTCTATGTTGTATTGTTGTAAAAAAAAAAGTTAAAAGTCAAAATCGACGAAATATTTCGAATATATTCTGTGATCAAATTTTATGTATTGGGGGTTGGATAGCGTCACTTCCCTGCATGGGGTTGTGAGTTTCGCTTCCCCCTTCCCAGTCGTTCATCTCCCTTCCCCATTCGATGGTCCATAACACACTAAGGGGTTTTTTTGTAACCAGCTTAATAGAAATAATTTGAAAATAAAAAAATAAAAGCATGGGAGAATATTTTGCAGCGTGATTGGTGGGTTGTGGTTCCACTAACTATAACCGTCTGCGTCTCTTCCCCTACCATTTATGGATTCTTTTATTCGGCAAAAGCAACGACGCGTCTAGTAGCTACACATCTCCGGCAATACCTTATCGTTGCCGTCGGGATAATGAACGACTTCATGAGCAACGTCCACGGGGTTGGAGCTGAACGAACTTGTTTATTTGCGTTTGACCTCAACGTCCATACACAAGCAACGACGATGTGGGAGTTGAAGAGGCGAAGAATGGTGATGATATTTTCATGGGCGATGACGCCGTCGTTTTCAACGTGGAGGAGCTTCTCAACGAAGTGTTGTCAGAAAACTACGAAAGGACAGACAACGTCAACGTGGAGAACAACGACGATTGCGAGCCGCACTCAGTATTTTGAAGATGTTGGCGACGACACGAAGAATGTCGTCGACACCAACAATCTCGGTAGGGTTGAGTAGTGACGTTAGGACTTCCGTTGAACTGTAATTTTTTAATGGTACTACTGATGCCAAGACAGAATGGTACGAGTAGTTAGCTAGTGGTAGTAATATAGTGGTAGACGCCTAGTGGTACAAATCTAGTGGTAGTACGTTTTCTAGTGGTACATGTACTTTTATAACTATGGAAAAAAAAAGATACAGTTAATTTGCTCCTTGTTAAAGATAGTACGCTATTCTGATGAGGTTGTGTTCTCTTTAATCTGTTGTTGTCTTCCCGTACAAAAATTATCGGTACAAGTACCTCTGTTGTTACCGGTACAGATACCACATCTAGTTACTAGTACATGTACCAATAGTACTTAGTGGTACATGTACCACTACTACTTATTGGACCCCAAGGGAATTCGTCCCAGTTGAACTTCATATTCAATTTTGCTTCTTAGTGATACGAGTACCACTATGAGGTACTCGTACCAGTACCACTACTACTTACTGGTACCACTAGCACTACCACTACCACTTAATGGTACGAGTACCACTAGAACTTACAGGTGCAAGTACCATTACTACTTACTGGTGCATCTGTTCCAATACTAGTTAGAGTTACATGTACCCCTATTAATTTTTTATTTGTAATGATGTACCACTATTAGTTAAAGGTGCTTTTACCAGTATTAGTAGTTACTGGTACATGTACCATTAACTAGTAGTTGTACAAGTACCACCGCTAGTCACAGAATTCTTCAGGGGGAAACTAGTGCTGGATGTAACAGAAAAATTGCCAATGGAACACAATACCATAATAAATGGTTCACCAATATTAGAGATTTTTTCCAACATAATGGTTCACATTTAAAAAGCAACAGAACTAAAAGCCTCTTCTTCGCGATACTAGCTTCCAATATTTCAAAGATTGAATTTGGGTTACACTTCTTCTCAAATTGGCTTGAACTTGTTCCTACTTTCTTCTTCTTCTTCTTCTTCTTCTTCTCGCAAGGACTCTTCATGAACCCATCTCGTGGTCGTTTCATACTAGAGCTCGAACTAGAATCAGATGACTCCCCTTCACGCAGGACAACATGCCGAGATTCATAGGTAGCTGGTTGTTTTACAGCAAGTTGTTCTTTTGTCATCAACACATAGAATGAAATCTTTATTCTCGCCATTCCTCATACAAAAAAAGCCAAAACTACATTGTTAGACATTTTTAATTAAAACTTAGATTACTACCACTATGAAACATTCGGCAGTGATAGTATCAGGAATGCCTATGATACATGTATCACTAGTGATACTAGTACATGTACCACCATAAAATATTCTACAACTACCACTAAAATTGGTATCAATACCATTGCCTCTGAAGTGGTACAACACTACCAATTGAAAGTACCACTGGATTATGCAAACAACAAACAAGCTACACAAGAAAGAAAGTTATGCATGCTCTGATTCCAATGTTGCATTCGGAAAAAAAAAACTTCTGGGATAAATAAATCTCACCTGGTATGTTTTCCACCGCTGCACAAAGGACCGACGACGGAGGGATGTCCGACGATGGTTAGGACATGGATTAAAGAATGGTTGGCTGCTGGGAAACGACGCTTGAAGAGTGTGGAAGGTCTTGGGAAACGATGACTAAGGTAGTCAGCGGGAATTCAATCGCTCGGCAAGAAGAAGGGAGTGGAGGAAATAGAGCGGAATTACCTCAACTTAGAATGACCAAGTCTTCGAACCCAGTGAATAAACAAGAGAGATGATGCAAGCGAAAGGAAAACAGGCGACAACGTTGATCGACGGCGGAACAATGTTTTTTTTTTTGGGTTTCGAAGCAGATGGAGAGGAAAGGGGGTCTAGGCAGGCAAACGGTTTTTTTGCGGGGAAGGTGGCTGATTTGTCGCCGAAATTCTTTCCCCTTTCAAAATCGAAGGTTGCGTGACATCATAGATGGAGTGGGCAAGCAGATCCAGTGCGACAACTCTCTTTTTTGCCCCTGATAATTATAGACCGCCAGATCGTGAGGAAGGGAATTGGAAGGCTGGAGCCTGGAAAGGGGAAGCGAAACTCACAACCCCTAAGTAGGGATGGCAACAAAACCCGAACCCACGGGTACCTTACCCGACCCAACCCGGTCAACGCGGGTAAAACCCGTGTTGACGGGTTTTGGGCCGGGTTTGGGTTTAAATCCGCTACACTATTACCGGGTTGGGTTTGGGTTTGGGCAAACCCGCCACACGGGTACCCGCCCACACTTATATAATTAATTTTTTCGGTAGATTTAATATTCTAAACAATATATCTTCCTTAAACAACTAATATTCTTTATGTTTGTGGAGGCATGTCTAATTTGTTCTTTCTAATTGTGTACGATGAAGTTGATATTATGGAGTGGAGAGTGAAGAAGTTTAGTTGACAGTGAGGAATGAGCTGTCAATTAATCATGTTGTTTATAGATGTTTATCTTTAATTTTGAACAATTTGTATTGATAATTTGTGGTTTACTTGTATGCTCTAGAATGGTGTTTTTTGTATGGATAATTTTTATTAGAAAATTGATGTTATACTTTTATTTGGAAGAAATTTGTTATTGTAAATTTTTTAACGCAAAAATCCACGGGTACCCATGAACCCGCGGATACCCAACGGGTTGGATTGGGTTTGAGTTTTTCAAACCCAACGAGGTTTTTCCCAGGTATTTTTGCCGGATAAACTCATGGATTTGGTAAAACCCGCCCCAACCCGACCCATTGCCAATTTGCCATCCTACCCCAAGGGGGTTGTGTTGCTATCTCAACCGTTTCGTGTTCTAAACTGCCATCAGTTGAAAATAAATGCCTAATATGTCCAATATGATTAAATAAAGTGGTTTTAAAACATAAAGATTAAATAGAGTGATTATATTAGACATTAAGCCAAGGAGCCATTTACCAAATTTCTCATCTTGGAATAAAAATGAAATGAATATAGACCACAATTGCAACAGAAAGGAAAAGAAAGAACTTATAAAAAAAATGGGAAAAGAAAGAAAGAAACGGCAGGCAGTCGAGTAAAAATTCAGGCAATCCCCATGAACGTTTCCCAAAGCACCTTCTGCTCGAATTCCCATTAAATAAATCAGAGCAAAAAAACAAACAGATTCCATCCCCACCACCACCGTCGTCCCGTCGTCTTGCGGGCCATGTCCTCCGCCCGACGCTTCTGGCGCCTCGGCGCCCCAGCCGTCTCCGCCGTGGTTGCCTCCGGCGGCTATTTGCTCCTCTCCCCTAACCTTGCCTCCAGCGACCGAGGCGGCGGTCCGGCTCTCGACTCCTTGAAGCTGAAAATCCACGATCCCGGGGTCTCCGTTCCTTCCCGTGCCGCGCAGGAGTCGGCTCTGATCGGCTCCACCGCCTCCAATCCTCTCGACATTCTGGTCGTCGGCGGCGGCGCCACTGGTTGCGGAGTCGCGCTCGATGCAGTCACGAGAGGCCTCCGCGTCGGCCTCGTTGAGAGAGAGGATTTCGCTTCCGGCACGTCTTCCAGGTCCACCAAGCTAATCCATGGAGGCAAGCCTCTTTTTCTCTCTCTCTCTAATAGCACATAGAGACAAGTAGGATAGTGTTAGATTGACAGCGATAGTGAATTGCTCGGATGAGCCGGCCTTCGCGCAGTGCAATTGAAATGAGTTCTTTTCTTTTCTTTTTTGCTCTGATGAGAAACTTCGGCGAAATTAGATTTCGGTTCGAATTCATCCTTCTTTAGTTTCATGGATCATAATGGTATGCTTGACGAATCTCCAATTGATGCCATCAAGATTGGACCACAAGATGGAGCCATGGCCTTTGACCAAATACATTTCGCCTGAATTGGCAGAACAGGCATTTGTAATGAGAGAACGAAATTGACGAGGCTGATCATGTGCTTATGATTCCAGGTCGGTTTGTCATTGTGGTTGTTTGTTTAGTGTGGTACTAGTGTCTAGTAATCCATGACGATCAAGTGATGTTGCTTGATCTGGAGTAGCGAATGCTTGTAGGATTGGGTAGAATCATGGAAATGCTCCACAGCTGTACAGTTGATGACAAAATCAAAGCAGGTTTGATGGTAACAGGGCAACAAATAGGGTTTCCTGTTTTTTTTTTTTCACTTGTCTCAATGTTAAGCCAGGTCACCAAGTTAGTTCCTAGGAAAAATGACCGCGATGATTGATGGGGGTTTTCTATTCCTATTTGTCTAATAATTTTACTTTTGGTGTTCCTTTCTTCTACTAGGAGTTCGCTACCTGGAAAAGGCAGTCTTTAATCTCGATTATGGGCAGTTGAAGCTAGTATTCCATGCACTTGAGGAAAGGAAACAGGTTATTGACAATGCACCACATCTCTGCCATGCTTTGCCATGCATGACACCTTGCTTCGATTGGTTTGAAGTAGTATACTATTGGGCGGGGCTGAAAATGTACGATTTGGTCGCTGGAGCACGCTTGTTACACCTTTCCAGATATTATTCTACACAAGAGTCTGTTGAATTGTTTCCAACTCTTGCAAAGAATGGCAAAGATAGAAGCTTAAGGGGAACAGTGGTGTATTATGATGGGCAGATGAATGACTCTCGGCTTAATGTTGCTTTGGCATGTACTGCTGCATTAGCTGGTGCTGCAGTGCTGAATCATGCTGAAGTTGTATCGTTTCTGAAAGATGAGGCTAGTGGGAGGGTAATTGGTGCTCGTGTTAGGGACAACCTATCAGGTATGCTAGTTGAACCTGTAGTTGTCTACTTAACTCTGGTACTGTGTCAGAGTAGTTCTCACCCTCTCAAGAAGTTATTGTGATGATATGCATATCTGAGGTTAGCCTCTTACTTCTATGTTGTGGATTATCCACATGGAGCAGATAGTTTTACCGTTTTTCATTTCCCTTTAGTTGGACTTTGGTATAGATTATATTTATATGCTATGGAAGGACTTCACACCCTCTTGAAAGCTTGACTACATGTATCAACCCATTCTTCACTCTCACTGAGTCTTATACAATGGCACTGATCAGTTGATTTTAACCGCGAGGCCTTTGTTTTTCAACCTTCTACCAGTTAGTCTATTGGAGTCATATAGCAAGGACCTTGGACAACAGAAGTTTATTAAGCTTGTAATTTTTTTCTTCCTGTATTTATTCTACCAATGATGATTTATGACCCCTTCCGTCATTGTTAATTTGTGACATCCATATGGGATTGCTTGAATAAATGTTGATGCGTTGTATAGTTGTTCCCTCTGACTATTAAAATAGCAATAACTGAAAAAAATGGTATGGATGTGGCGTTGTATAGGTGTTCCCTCTGTTCTGTTTCCCATACTCTGTTTACCACACCTCAAGTAAATGCGTCACTCAGCTAATTATGGTCGTACCTTTGTCAGGCAAAGAGTTTGATGCCTATGCAAAAGTTGTTGTGAATGCTGCTGGCCCATTTTGTGACTCTGTGAGGAAAATGGTGAAGGATGATGTACAACCCATGATCTGCCCTAGCAGTGGTGTACATATTGTTCTACCTGACTATTATTCACCAGAAGGAATGGGACTGATTGTTCCGAAAACAAAGGATGGACGTGTTGTCTTTATGTTGCCGTGGTTGGGGAGAACAATTGCCGGGACGACAGATTCTAATACGTCTATTACTCCTCTCCCAGAGCCACATGAAGATGAGATTCAGTTTATACTTGATGCTATTTCAGACTATTTAGTTGTTAAGGTACGTAGTTGTGCTGATCGGCTCTATTTTCTAGCAACTTAAATGTGGTCTATTGGAATTGAACCCCAGTCAGCTAAAACCGAGGCGGCTAGAAAATACCAGCTTGCTATTCCATTTATATTCCTTCCAAAATTTTGATCTATGATGTGGAAATAGGAAATGTACTGATCCTTTGAACTTTTGCTATATGAAGATTCAACCAATAGGTGAGAGTCAAATTACAAAATCCAGAGTCCTGGTTTAGTGAAATCATGATTTCATGTCTATTATATGCACACTTGAGGAGTAGCTAGATTTTAATGATTGATCTGAACTGTTAAGCTAGAGCTCGATTCTTTGTGGAGGACTTGTGGAATGTTGTATCTCTTTCCTCTTTGTGGGATGTGGTGCATCTCTATCCTTTTTTGGAGAAGCAACTTTTTTTCAATGAATAACCAATTTTGTTCATCAAAGAAGGGCGAGCATATCACTCAGAACTTTCAAGTTACAGCATGTAAAACTAGGTGTACCCTCCCAACTGAGCAGTCTAACAAGTGCGAACAGGAGAGCAATACACTGCTGCTAGGATACAGAAACCACAGCTAAAAGACTATACAAACTACACAATTCTCCTCTATCTCACAAAGCAACTTTTTTTTTTTAATGTGAAGCAACTGTTCTTTTTTTTTTCTTTTTTTTTTTGGGATCAAATTGATGTGAAGCAACTATTGATAAATATATAGGTGCGGCGCACAGATGTTCTTTCAGCTTGGAGTGGGATTCGTCCGTTGGCTACAGATCCTTCTGCAAAGAATACTGAGAGCATTTCCAGAGATCATGTTGTATGTGAGGATTTTCCTGGTCTGGTCACTATCACTGGTGGCAAATGGACCACCTATAGAAGGTAATGGTGCAGACCTATTCACTTGATTCTCTGGTATTTTCTTGCTCTCTGTCTCCTCTTTTATGAAATGCATGATTTCTCTGTCTCCTTTGCTCACTGGATTTCTTTTCAGTATGGCAGAGGATGCTGTTGATGCAGCTGTGAAGTCCGGGAAGCTGAATCCTGAAAGTGGATCTTTGACCCATCGTCTAAGACTAACAGGTGCCAACGGCTGGGAGCCCTCGTATTTTACCGTTCTTGCACAACAGTACATGCGTATGAAGAAGTCATATGGCAATAAAGTTGTCCCTGGTGTGATGGATACTGCTGCAGCAAAACATTTGTCTCATGCATATGGTACTCTGGGTGAGCGTGTGGCTGCTATAGCTCAGGTACTATATGGCATTTGGTGCATTTGTTTCCTGCATGTAAATGCTATATTAGCTCATGTTGCTTTTTGAGACCTGTCCCAAGAATTTGATGAATGCTATAGAAATTCATCATTGCCATTTACTATTGTGCAGTCGCATTGATTGACCCGTCTAGTCTGCTTGTTTTTCTTTTCATTGTCAAGAATGAAGGCCTGGGGAAGCGGCTTGCCCATGGGTACCCCTTCCTGGAAGCCGAAGTAGCGTATTGTGCACGCAATGAGTACTGCGAATCTGCAGTCGACTTCATTGCCAGGAGGTCGCGGCTTGCCTTCCTAGACACCGATGCAGCACACCGTGCATTGCCACGAGTCATTGAGATCCTGGCCTCCGAGCATAAGTGGGACAGTAAAAAGCAGAAGCAAGAGTTGGAAGATGCCAAGCGGTTCCTGGAAACCTTCAAGTCCTCGAAAAACGCCCAGTTCCATGACGGCAAGCATCAGTAGTATGTACACAATTGCTCTATCCTCTCCTCTCCTCAACTTGTAACTATCTCCGGTTGCTTATTCGAGCTTCAATCGCTCTCTTTTATCTTGCTAGGTTGAAGGCATTCATTGAGCTCGAGTTCTTGCTTCCGCGATACATTACTTGATACATGGTCTCTGCCTCTGCCCCGGAAGTTTTACTACCGGCTGGTGTTTTGGGTTCAGTAGATGAAATGAGATTTGGCAGACTTGCTTATAGTTAACCACAGTTGATTAGAAAGGAAATTTCTGTTGTGGTACAGGGGGAAATATGAATGTACCCGGTGGGAAATTGGTTTTGTTTCAAAATAAAGTGACCAGTAAATGGCAGTAAGCATAATTTGGGCCTTTGTTCCCAGTTGGATAAAAGAAAAGAGACGGGCCTTTGCACCTAATTATGATTACCTTCTAAATTGGGCCTTTTGGCCCAGATTCAAAGATCGAACTAAAACCCGCACCCGCCTTTCTCCTCTGCTCCAAGAGCGCAAAAATGGCGTCCTCACGTCACGTCTCCTGCTCCTCTTCTTCGTCTCCTTCTCTTTCTCTGGAATTTAACCTAAGCTTCGACCCAAGCCCAAATCTGCAAATTCAGCTACTCCATCCTCAAGCTTGGGAGGCATCACTTCAGCAACCAGGTTTGAAGTTGTCAAAGGGATTCTTACAGTCCAAGACAGTGGGAGAATCTGCTATAGCTGCTACCTGATTGTCGAGGTTGAAGAAGACAGGGACAGAAAGGGACAGGTAGTAGTAGCCTTTGCCTTTGCCTTTGCTTGCATGTGGAATGGAGGAAATGGCTGAGGTGTGTTATCAGTTTATGTATGTATGTACAAAGCTGTGGGGCTTCACTCTGCACATGCCATCTGTCTGCACCTGCTGTTGGCTTCTGAATGAAACACAAAAGCAATAATGAAAACAGATGTTCTGTTGTTTCTGTCTTTTCACGCTCTTTAAACATATCTAAGCTCCCAGCTGCAAATGAGCCGAGCTGCTCGCGAGCGGCTCGACGTTCGACTCGAGAAAACCTCGTTTGAAACTCGGCTCGTCTTTTTCAGCTTGTGAAGCTCGCGAGCTAGCTCGACTCGGTGGCTTGTTGAGCTAAACTCGTGAGCTGGCTCGTTTAGAGCTCATGATATGTCTTAACATGTGGCTAGAGAGCCAACTCGATTACCAACTTATGGACGAATCAATCTATATCTTATGATTTTAATTCATATGGTTGTTAAATTATATATCTCACCACATATAAAGTTTAACAAGTTGAGTATGTGATCAAATATATCTTATTTTCTACTTTAAAAAGAAATTATGCATCATATATTGATTCGATACTATGAAATAACATGATTTGGAGTAGTTAAAATTTATTAACTAAATGATATATGATACCAACAAAGTATAATATGAGATTAGCTAACAAAATAAATCATATGTATCATGATATACAAAATGAAGTACCAAATAAAAGTCAAGATTTTAATAAACAAGCTAGCTCAAACTCGACTCGGCTCGTTAATAAACGAGTCGAGCTCGAGCTCGAACTCGACTCGTTTATTAACGAGCCGAGCTCAAACTGAGGTAAAACTCGACTGGACTCAACTCAGCTCATTTGCAGCCCTACTCCCAGCCAATGGCCATGAAAAGAAGACAAACAACGGTAAAGGGTAAACATCAAGATAAACATAGGGTGAGTTACCTGTAATGATCACCCTTTTTGAGTTTGTTTGCTACTTTGGTTTGGTTTGACGTCAATTCTATAGTTTGTTCCTTCATTTGGCTCTTCTCCTAATGGGATGGCCCAACCCTTTTGACATTTATATATGAACCAATCTAATTATTCTGATGATAGGATATAAATCTAATATAACTCCATCTGTGCGTTAATACGTAGTACAAAATCATATGATTCATAGTGCGGAAAAACTATCACATTATCATTGGATCGTTATTCTATTCCTACCAAATGCGTCGATAGATCGATCATGCATCGGATCCAAGCCTCCAATCCACCATTCCAGCATTCAGGGTCGTGGTTTTCCAAATCCTCCTCTCCTATAAAACCTTATATGGATCTTTTTTTTACCTATTTTTGTAATTTTTTTTTGGAAAGCAACTTTTTTTTTTTGTAATTTAGAGTAGTGGCTGTAACATCCCAGACCTTTTCCTGACGAAGATACTGTCCGTTTTGGGCCTCGACCTTCACGGTTTTCGACTTGGGGTGCAATTCAAGGTGACTTCCCATAAGGTCACCCATCCTTGTTGTTGAGCACGTTTAACTTCGGAGTTTTCACAAGAACTCATCAATTTCGCCCCAAAACGCTTCTTGTTACTTAATGTCAGTTTCTTACTTATGAACCATAGATCTCTCCCGTATTTTGTCGATGCAGGATTTGAATAAGTTGTTACACTAGCTTTCAGTCTGGAGAAAGGAGAAGTAGCTTTTAGAAGAAATAAAAAGTGAGGGTAGTAATGAGGAAAAGGCCAAAATGAAGGGCGAATGCAGAGGGAATTTTGATCTGTTCTGTTCTGACACAACAGGAAAAAATAAAATAAAATAAAATAAAAAAGAGAATATAATTGAATTCGAAGTTTCCGTTTTCTCCCTGCAATTCCCTCTTCCTCCCTTCTCCCCATTCTCCCTCCCTCCTCTCTGCAACAGTAATAACAATGGCGTCCTGACTGATTTCGGCAGGAAAAATAATAGAGATATGGCTGCCAATGCGACTGTCAGAGCTTCTGTCAGACAGTTACAGAGTCCTTATTCCCATCCTTCATTTTCTGCTTCTTCGTCTACCACTTCTTCCCCTGCTGCTTCTCCTTCCTCCTCCTCCTCTTCTTCCTATTCTTCTGCTAGAAACGGAAACGGGAATGGAGCTTCTCAAAAACAGCAGCAGCAGCAGCAGCAGCAGAGCAATGGTTCGTCTGTCACTGTCAGGAATAAGGCTCCTTCCGGCGCTGCCACCGGCAGCCGCCGCTCCGTCACTCCAACTACTTCCCATTCTCAGCGCTCGCCTTCGCTTTCCTCGTCGTCTTCTCACCACAACAAAGACAATGGTCTAATCTCCCTCCCCCTCTCTCTCCCTCTGTATTGTTCTGTTTCCCTCAATTTTGGAATCTCGATTTAGGATCAAGGACTGGGGAAACGAAGGGCGGAATTTGGAATCTTATTCTTCTAGTTTTTGTTTGTAGAATCTGGGAGAGTAAGACTTGCGGTTAGATTGCGGCCCAGAAGTGCAGAGGAGGTCATTTCAGATGCCGATTTTGCTGATTGTGTTGAACTCCAACCAGAGGTACGTACGAAGTCGAGTGCGGCAATTTGTCGTCATTGCTTTGCCGATGATGATCTGAAAGGTTTAAGTTCTAGGTTTGATTTTGCGTTGGTTTATGCCATCTTACTTGGCATGCAGGGTTTTTGTTTGCTAATAAACTAAAAAACCTGCATCCATTTTCTGTAAATTCCTTTGCCATTGTTTCTGCTAGTGCTAGAGGCTTCTTTGGATTGATCATCTGGGTTGATGATAATCGATTTGTCATTATGGCGTTCGTGCAGCTGAAGAGGTTAATGTTAAGGAAAAACAACTGGAGTGCTGAGTCGTACAAATTTGATGATGTTTTCACAGAAACGGCCTCTCAAAGGCGTGTATATGAAGCTGTTGCAAAGCCTGTTGTTGAGGTGAGTACGAAGGAGCAAAGTATTGAAGCTAAGCATCATGCAATGTATGTTACAGACTAGGCTAGGAGGTGATTCAATGATCCTTTATTATCATATTGTAGGAAGACGGCTTAGTATTTGCTTCATAGATGGTATATATTTGTGATCTGTAAATGTTTCATGCCTCACTGAAGATAAACCTTCAATCTTGTCTTTTTTAAGGCTCAATGTTGTACTTGGCATAGGATGTTAATCAAATACTGATAATTTCTGTGTAACTATACAGAGTGTATTGAGCGGATACAATGGCACGGTTATGGCTTACGGTCAAACGGGTACTGGGAAAACTTATACCATTGGCAGAATGGGAAAGGATGACGCAGCTGAGCGGGGCATCATGGTTAGATCTTTAGAGGATATACTATCTGGTACTAGCTCTAGCTCTGATGTCGTGGAGATCTCTTATTTGCAGGTAGTAAGACTTGTATCCTATAATATTACATAATTATATTGTATTTGGTGCACAACTTAAAGGAACGGTTTTGAATAAAAGGAAAAACAAAAAGGAACTACAAGATACAACATTTAACATCCTGATCCATTTGCTCAGCTTTCAAACTTGATACAGTCTAATTTAAGAATGGATTGATGGAGTAGATTTCTGGTGACATGCTCCTGTTCAAATATGATAATGTCGACCATTATTAATGTGTTAAACAATACTCAACCTTGATAATTACTACATTGTTCTTCTGTCATTGCAACAGTTGTACATGGAATCCATACAAGATTTGCTCGCACCTGAAAAAGTCAATATCCATATCAACGATGATCCAAAGACTGGAGAACTGTCTATACATGGTGCTACATTGGTTAAACTCCGCGATCTTGATCAGTTTTTGGAGTTGATGCGAATAGGGGAAGCAAACCGTCATGCAGCTAACACAAAACAAAATACAGAATCTTCACGTAGTCATGCAATTTTGATGGTCAGTATTTTGTTCTATCTAATTTTATTGCTTGTGATACCCTTGAATTACCGTTACAAATTCTTGAGTGCTATGCTTCTATGAGTAATGATAGGTCAATGTTCGTGTGAACCTTATTGCTCGTTCAGGTCTTTGTACGCAGATCTGTTCCTCAGAAATCAGAAGATGGAATTGGTGTGGTGCCTAATCTACCGCGAGGAAATGACCTTTGTAAAGTTAGAAAGAGCAAGATGCTAATTGTTGATCTTGCCGGTTCTGAAAGGATAGACAAATCAGGTACATGAAAGCTTGACAACGGCAATCTACAACAGAATGGGAAAATTGAGTGACTGTTAGAATATAATGCATTTCATCTGTTGTTGTGTATTGCTCTTAGTCTTAAAAACTTTATATCATTATCTTTTAGTTGTGCAGGCAGTCAAGGTCACTTACTCGAAGAGGCAAAGTTCATTAATCTTTCTCTCACTTCCCTTGGGAAATGTATAAATGCTTTGGCTGAGAACAGTCTGCATATACCTACAAGGGACTCGAAGTTGACTAGATTACTGTGTGATTCTTTTGGAGGTCAAATTAGCATGCCTTCTTTCCAACAGTGTCCTTGTCTTTTTTTCTTTGTCGATTTATCATACTCATTAAAATTGACGTGTTCGTAATCAAATAGGTTCTGCGAGGACCTCACTAATTGTAACAATCGGCCCATCTGCACGACACCTTCCAGAGACCAGTAGCACAGTTATGTTTGGACAACGGGTAAGTTGTGAAAGATTCTGCAAGTACAATCAAATCGATAGCTTTTTTCTGTACTCGCGTCATGAATGTTCGATTGTTGTGATTCAGTAATTACATTCCATGTTATTTTTCATGCCACTATTGTTCTTCATATTTGCTGAAGGCGTCACATTGGGATACAACTGAAATTGAAAATTTTACTGAAAATTTCAAAGCCTTATCAGGCTTAGCTATGCAAAGCTAATTCACTTGAGAAAATTTCATAAGCAACCTGAAAACATTTCTACTTGCAGGCAATGAAAATTGTAAATATGGTGAAACTTAAAGAAGAGTTTGATTACGAACGTCAATGCCGGAAGCTTCAGATACTGGTAGACCAGCTGACCGTGGAAATAGAAAGGGAGAAGAAGTTGAGGGTTAGCGAAAGGTATGCTTGTGAAAGGCAGGTTAATGAATGTCGGGACTCTTTAAAGAATGTTGCAATGAAATCTGAGGTAATTTTGCTCTCTCCGTTGTAGCATTTACCATGGTAGTTATGTTCTTATAGTATGCTTACAATATCTTGCGCTTGACTAGTTCTTGGAGAAGGAGAAGACTCATATGGAGGTTCAGATAAAGGACATCGTGAATGAATTGGACAACCAAAAGGCACAAAATGGTGGACTGTGTGATAAGGTGGCACAGCTGGAAATGAGGTTGAGGCTTAGCCAGGTACTTTCGTTTTCCAAGTAGCACATGGTTTTGTTTCCCGATCATCGTTGATGGTCTCCCTGCAACATCATTGCCACCATTGTGATTTCCGTTTGAACTATTTTATGGGGCAATAGTTAATATACTATCATAAGGTTGGAGACTGAACTGGTGAAAGATTTCCATTCATGGATGCTAATGTATCAAAATGTTATTACAAAAAGAGGGAACTAGGCTATCTCTGATATTAGAATTTGTATATCTTGTGCTTTGTTGTAAAATTGCACGATCCCTTGTTTTGTTCTTACTCAGCTAGAAAATTCGACATATCAAAAAGTGCTTGCTGAAACCACACAATTGTACGAGGAGAAAATAGCAGAGTCTAAAAAGCAGCTCGAAGACAAACATGATTCACATGAAAGTGCTAAGGAAGAACTAAATATGATGAAGGAACTCCTAAATGACCGTCATACATCAATAAGGGTTTGTGAATTATGCATTATTATTGCTTATCTGCTGCCAATTTATTTTGTTCTGGCTTCACATGTATGTTTTTCTGCTGTCGCAACTATCTCTCGTAGAGAGTCATCTCAACTAATTAATTGATCTTGTACATTCTTATTGCAGCAACACGAGATGGAAAGCTCTACGTATCAGAAGGCACTTGGAGAGACCACTCAGATGTATGAGAAGAGAGTAGAGGAGTTAATCAAGGAGCTTGAAGAGGAGCGTGCTCGTACTTCCAATGCCGAGAAACAATTAGAGATGACTAACAAGCTCCTAACTGATTGCAAAAAGTCAATTCAGGTTTGTGATTAGGTCTGAGGGGATTTGTTATTACAACATAAAGTCATCTTTCCATCTATGTTCTCATATATTTGTGTTCTGCAATGCGAGGCAAAATATGGCCTCCTTTATCAATTTTGTTAATTTCTATTGATGTTCCCTTTATAATCCCTTGAAATTCTACAACTTTGTGTTATTTTGACTCACCTATTTAGGCTTTGAATGTTGTTGCGAAAAGGCTCTAATTTTGGAATTCTGTTTGTTGCAAGTAGAAACATGAGGCAGAAAACTGTTCGTTCCAGAAAGCACTTGCAGAAACTAAAGAACTGTACGAGAAGAGAATAGCAGAGCTAATCGAGCAACAAGATGATGAGAAGGCTCATTTGAAGGGAGGAAAACCTCTGAGCGATCAGCAGAACGTAATGCAGGTTTAAATTTTTTCGAACTCTTAAAAGATTTTGGATGTAGTTTTATGGCTTTGAATTCATTTTGTTATGCTTCTGACATCAAATGGCCTCATCTGCATTAATGAAACCTTAATGGCATCGCAGAACAGATTTTGTTAGTGCTAGATTCATGTGAATCTTGATATGTTTTCATGGATATCCCTTTTATGCAGTCTAGAGTTAGTACTGATTCGTGTATAATACATGATATCGATGATATGGACGAATCCCGGATAAAGATTGAAGAAGTGTCACACCTTAATGCGAGCACTAAAGCTGAGCTTGAATCCTTGAAGTCTGATTATGAAGACGTCTTACAAGGAAAGGTATGGTTGAGCAACTAGTCCACTTCATTTGTTCTTTGGAGGTCTGAGTTTAACTTGCTAGACTCTGCAATCTAATGAACACTTGTGTCAATGCATCCAAAGGCAAGATTAAATGAAGAACTTCTGGAAGTGAAGCAAAGACTTGAAATGGAAGAGAAGCAAAGGAAGAATGTTGAAAACGAACTGGCTAAATTGAAGAAGAGCGAACCTGAAATTGAAAATTGCTCTGAGGTCAATAGCTAAATATTTGAAGTCTCGTCTTCACGTTTTCCTGCTTGCTTCTTTACTTTTACCTAACATCGTATTGCTTGCAGGATACGTCATCCATGAAGGAAAATATTGGTAAACCCTCTTCAGCAAATAAACTTCCGGCAGGATTACACAAGTCAGGCCCTCTACGTGAAACACTTTCAGGTCAGAGAGCATCTATTGCAAAGATGTGCGAGGAAGGTATGAACAAACCATTTTCAGAAGCTTTTCTACTTTTCATCCCCTGTCTCTTGAGGAGTACATGTTTCTTAACTAATTACGGCTGTAAAATTGCAGTTGGGCTTCAAAAGATATTGCAGCTATTGGCATCAGATGATCCTGATGTTCAAATCCATGCTGTGAAAGTGGTTGCTAATCTTGCATCTGAAGGTAAGGCAAGGCCTTCTCATTTCTGTGTTTGTTCCCATCAGATCACCTTCGCCCTTTATAATAAGTCTGTTATGTTCAAGTTTGCCAGTAATGCTATCTTACAAGCCTAAGATTGTTTATACACCACGTGCAGACATAAATCAAGAGAAAATTGTGGAGGAAGGAGGTTTAGATGCCTTGCTTATGCTGCTGAAATCTTCGTTGAACACAACTATCCTTCGAGTGACTTCTGGGGCCATTGCCAACTTAGCAATGAACGGTATTTTCTACAGTTAGAGTCATTTGCAGTTCGGTTAAGTATTCTTAGGAGAAAGATTAAATCGTATTTGATCCATAATACACATATTTTAAACTAGCAGATTTGAATCAAGGATTGATAATGAGCAAAGGTGGTGCTGAGCTACTGGCAGAGACAGCAACTAGAACAGACGACCCACAGACCCTCAGAATGGTAGCCGGTGCCCTTGCCAACTTATGTGGAAATGGTATAACACACTAAAGAATCTTTCTCTTCCTTGAATACTATTTTCAGCAAACTTTTTGTTTGATCAATCCCATCCATCTCTGATACATCCTGCTTTCTGTTTCACAGAGTCATTACACTTGACGTTGAAGAAAGATGGAGGCATAAAGGCACTCTTAGGGATGGCCAAGTGTGGAAACACCGACGTAGTTGCACAGGTCGCCAGAGGAATGGCCAATTTTGCGAAATGTGAATCCCGAGCCACCCTTCAAGGTATGTCTGATTTTACTGACAAAACAGGCTACTAGAGAATCTGCGTGAACCAAATATGTAACGGGCATAGTTTGATGAACTAGAATGTTATCGCTGTCTTCTACAACTATAGGGCACAGGAAAGGGCGTTCACTTCTGATGGATGAAGGTTCTTTAGAGTGGCTGATCGCTAATTGTAGCACACATTCGACTTCTACGAGACGCCATGTTGAGCTCGCCCTCTGTCATTTAGCACAAAACGGTAAACTTAACTCTATTGCACTCACAATTGAACCATGAAAAAGACTACAAAACGAAGTGCAGATGGTTAAACATTTCATTCGAATTTTCAGAAGGGAATGTCAAGGAGTTTGTATCCGGTGGAGGGTCCAGAGAACTGGTCAGAATATCGCACGAATCTGCCAGAGAAGACATTCGCAGCCTTGCCAGGAAGACTATGAAAATGCATCCGCCATTACTGTAAAAAGTAAAAAGATACTGATCTCATCTCATCATGCCAGAATATCTCATCTCACAATTAGCAGCTTCTCTGTTCTATAGCTTTCCTTTTCTGGCTGAGTAATTTTAATCCAATGTTCTCATTCAGGAAATTTTACCAGTATGGTAACATTATGACTGAAATTTTGTTAACTGTATATGAAAGAGCTATGTAATGGGGATATAAACCTCACATACTACTCTTCTGATTCTCACTTGGGAAAACTTGAAAGATACAGTAACGAAAGAACCGAGATCTATCCATTTGAACTAGAGGAACAGACTAAAAAGGTAATGGGCAACCAAATCAGTTGTCCGGAGTGGCAGCTCCTTGGTTGAGCTCCGCAAATCTCATCCCAACACGCATTGAATGCTTCAAGAACTTCTCGGCACATCTCGTCACACAAGTTTCCTCCTGCTTCTTGAGAGATTTGCGGGTGAAGTCATCCACGCAGTCGGTGAAGCATCTCTCCACAAGCGAGTTGTACATCTTCAAACTGCAGGAGGCAAAACATCAATTTGGTGGCGGCGAGAACAGAACTTAAAAGCAAATTGGTGGGGGTGATTTATCAGTAGATGACTAAGAAGAGAAGAGAACCAGGCGAGAATAGAAAACCAAGTAAACCGCAGATTTGAATGTTGTTCCCAAAACGTCCAATTGCAGCAGAGATTGCTGCATTGGTTTTTAAAGGAGAACATACACAATCACTCTGGCTTCACTCCACCGAAAATGTCACCAGAAATTCAGAGAACTATCTCTCTGCGACATCTCCGAACATCTCTCAGATGTGAAGCTTAGCTAAATCAAGAAGCACAAGGACTCAAGGGATCTTATAGACATGAACTTTTCCCCCTAGATGGGGTTGTTTCCTAACAGAGATTACCTTCTTTGCAACCCATCTTCTCACCTACAATTTACACCCAAGAACCCGCCGAGAACATAAAAAATATGTGAAAACCTCAGTAGAAAATGTTGTTCCCAAAACGTCCAATTGCAACATAGATAGATAGATGCTGCATCGGTTTCAAAGGAGAACACATCATAATCACTCTGGCTCCACACCACTGAAAATGTCACCAGAAATTCAGAGAAGCATCTTTCAGAGACATCTCCAAACAACATTGATAGATATGTGAAGCTGATCTAAAAATCTAGAGGTCATTCTGGTCCAAAGGACATTCTACTGAAACGCTACGAAATCCCCCTCCCGCAAACACCAAAACTGTTAATAATCATATGAATACCAGAGAGCGAGAGCAGAAACGTTCAACCAAATCAAAATTTCGCCCCAAGAAACAAGTACTTAATCGGATACTAGAGCGAAACCAGCAGAAAGGTCCATCTCCATTCTCCTCTAGGACTGAAAATCTCAATACTACGACTACAAAACTCAATGAGAGAAAGGGAGGAAGAATGTAGCGGGGATAACCTGTCGCGGATTTGGAGCTGGTCGATCATGGAGGCCATTCGCATCTTGTCTTCCTCGGGCATACCTTCCAGCCCAGCGAGCATATTCTTGTCCATCTCGGAAGGATTTTTCCGACGTCCCCGCTCTCGGAGGAAGATCGCAAGACGATCGCGAAAGTTGCTTCTCCCGGCTGGGCGGAGGAGCTGATCAGAGAGGTTGCAAGGGAGGGAGAGAGGTTTATCAGCCAAGATTTAGGGTTTACACAACTTTCTCCCTTTTGTACTTATGGCTTTATTGTCGACTGCAAAACGGCAAAGCCTTGGCTAGATATCCACGTGGGATCCGATCACCGATGGTTAACGACTCGATCTCTACTCTCTACCCAACCCAACCAACCCGGTCAGGGGCATCTTGGTGTAAATAATGATCAGATATATGACATGTTGCAAAGGGGTACCATCACAGATTTCTCGCGATTTTTTCGAAATGTCATTTTGCCATTGAATTTTGAAGGCTATATATCACGAATTCGGCCTTAGGCTACTCTCCACCCTTAATGGAGTCTATTAATTACCGATTTGAGTGGATTTTTTTCAGAGGACATTTTGGTAATTATTGGGCATTTTTTTTTCGAAATGTCATTTTCCTTAGATTTTAAAAGCTACATATCATGGATTCAGTCTCAGGCTATTCACCAGCGATGATTATATCTATTAAACACCGATTTTGGCGGAATTTTTCCAGATCCATTTTTGACAGATTCCAACGAAGTACCTTCACATATTTTGGAGGATTTTTTTCGAAAGGTAATTTTTCTTAGATTTTGAAAGCTACATATCATGAATTCGGACTTAGACTGCTCTCCACCAATGATGATGTTATTATTAACCGCTGATTTGGAGGGATTTTTTCGGAGGACATTTTCGTAATTTATGACCATTTTTTTGAAAATCCATTTTTCTTAGATTTTGAAGGCTATAAATCACTGATTCATCTTGAAGCTATTTTTTAGCAATGATTATGTACATTAAACACCAATTTTGGTCGAAATTTTTCTTGAGAGAATTAACATAATTTTTGGACACTTTTTTTCAAACTGTCATTTTCCTTAGAGAACTGTTCGATTTCACCACATTGGTAAACAGTTGAACCTCCGGGCTTCGACACATCGACGGATGACAAATCATTTCCTTTCGACTTTCGTACTAGGTTCAATGTTTCACCTCAAGAGTTATCAAGTACGAAATCTAGAAGAGTTGATAATTTACCTCGAGAGGTGATTTGGTAGGAAGAGTCCCCTTCGAACTCTCTTGTTTTCTTGGATGGGATAGTTTAAATACATGGTCTTTAGGTTTTGCCAATCTACGTTTGTTGTGCTATTTGAAGGCCGAATATCTTTTCCACTTCTTCATTTCGCAAGTTTTGCTATCTATTTCAATGTTCCTAATCCAAAATGAAGCAAACGAAGTCCATCCTATTTCACTCCCTAAAAAGCGAAAAGCTATCCCTTTTTTATTTTTTTTACTTCTTCACTCTGCACAAATCCCTCAAAAATAAATCCGAACAAGCAAGCAAAAGAATGACGGGGAAATAAAAACCATACAAACTACCAACTGTATGCTTACTGCAGAAGAAACTACAGCTGAAAAGGCGACCACTAAACACTATATCTACCATGTCAAAATCGCGAGAATCCGGCAAGCACACCATTAAGAGTAAGACATTCATCGCATTCGCCACCAGGTGGTTCCATCAGTTCGTCTTAAGTAAAAACGGTCCCTTTCTATACATCACGCAGCAGAGAAATTGGAACCCCATCCATAAATCGGGTGACGACGTGCTATCGAGATAGGACGGCTGAAACCCGATGTTGTGCATCAGGGGGAACCTCTCTTCCAGGGACTTTCACCTTTAAGAGATAACCATATCTGCAGAGACAAAACACAAGTGGATGCATTAGCAATATTAGAAAAACAAGCTGCTTGTGATGGACGTTAGTATAAGAAGTTGCAGCAAACTGACTCTTTAGCGGTAAACAAGTGCTCATGCTCCGCAATGAAAGCAAGCAAAGCCTGAAAAAAATGCAGATTACCGACAAGGTATTAGAGACGGTAGCCGGAGAAGAAAAGAAAAAAAGGGTCTACATAAAGGCAAACTAGCTGGCTTGCCTCAAAGGGCATGTTTAATAGTTCATAGTATGTTCTGACGCGATCCAGTCTCAGCTGTACAGATTCACTGTCGATTGATGGAATAACTGCAAGAGCCTACACAATAACGAAAGCCATGGTAAAAAAATTAGGACCCATATCACGGCATCCAACTTTTACAAATCACAACTTTTGAAATAGATTTGGCATCCACAAGTTGCACGTGATTGTGCAAAGTATATCGAAAATGGTTTTGATCAACTTGGAAAAATATATACATGGGCTGAAGTCGGCGGGTAGGGGAGAGAGCTTACCTGCTCCAATGCTATTGAATTTCGGCAAATCTGTTGAACCCCAAAAAGGTTGATAGACCTCAAATCAGCAAGAACCTGTTGAAACGTTGAGATTCTCTTTCAGCGATGAGAACAAAAAGAACTGAGAAGGCCAAAGCTAAAAACTGATGGAAGCCCCATAGAAATCCATGCAATTTTCAGGATGAGTAATGATCCATACCCTGATAGACGCATTTGCAGCAATGCTACATATTCCACCAAATATGTAGTTTCGCTTTACTGGTGCAACAAAAGGTGCCATTTCTTCATCCCGGCGTGTTATCTGGGATCACATAACAATCGATAAATCGGATTTCAAAAGAATGAAGTATAACACCATGTCTGAAACTGCCTTGCAGGTACATTTGGGACCCACTGCAACTATCTTACTGGGCAAGAAATCCAAATAGGTAAGTTAGCCAGTGAAACCTGAATTAGGTCTACCTCTAGAACATAGAGCAAATACACAAATGTGCAATCACCAAAACATTTCACATTCGAGTGCTCTAATTGTACAGGAATAACACTCCTACATGTAAATATTCAATAACGTACTATGATACAAAGGACGTAGATGATTAAAGAAAAATCCTTTAACACCAAGTCCAACTTAGAAAATTTATAGCCAAAATGTCCACTAAGAAAGATCGGTACCATAAGCTACTGTGTATTAGGTCAGTGTCAGGTTGAAAAAGATTGATCTACTAGAAGCCAACTCACTGAGAAGTTGAAGTTCCAACAAACATGCTCTTTCAGTTAGAACGATGTCAAATACACTAAAAATTAATGACAGGCAGGGAAGAGCAACAACTTCCAACTGACAATAACCTGCAGAGAAATCTGTAAGCCAGGAATCTAACCTGTGCAGTGAGAGAAATGATAAAATCATCTGGCTCTTCTGTATCCTGGTCCTCCAAGTACTCTCTATTTGTCATTTCCTGTTTCAATTACCATATGATGTGTGAAACAAAACACAGAAACACAACCTCAGTTGCCCAAAAAACGACACTCAGTTACTGTTGCTTTTCCAAACCTGCAAATGGAATATGGTCTCCAACTGCATCTCCACGCGCAAAACCTTTAGACAGTCAATCGCTAGTTTCCTATAGTCATCCGCGAATGAAGCCAGATTCTTTCCTCTCTCTCCTACTAGCTTTGCTGCACGTATGTTGGACTGACTAAGCCTACATGCCCAAAAATAATTTGTCCAGATCAGCAAGGTGGTCATTTAAAAAACATGTGCAAAATAAGAGGAATTTAGACAGACTGCTCTTCATTTTCTCACTGGAGTCCAGTTAATAGAACAATGCCAAAGACTAAATCCAAGTGTCTTGCCTTTCAATTGAATCAGCAACATACTCCAAGGAATCACTAAGAGATGCAAGCAAAATGAGTTTGTTATCATCGCGAATCAGATTGTCCTGCAAAATGTGAATTCAGATTATAGTTGCTAGCAAAATGAACAGTAAAAACTTTGTGATTAAGTCAACAGCACCTCATGAATACCAAATAGCAATGCGTATTAACTGATAGGCCCTCAAGCAGCAGAATACCTGTCTGATTGGGCGCAAATTCAATAGCATGCCATTCAGTTCTGACTCAATCTCAACTGATTCTGCATCTGAAGCATTGTTTACCATGTTTGAATTTGAATGGCCAAGTGAATGAGGCAAGCATGAACTTGCTGGATCAAGTCGCATCAATTTCTCTATATCGTGCCTCCCAATCAGCATGTAGCTTTGCTTCTCAAGAACTGCCTGATGCATGACAAAAAAATAAAAAGAAACACAATAATATGGGTTGCTCTAGGTGGCTAAAAAAGACTGCTATTCAGAAGTGGTATGCACGCGTCAGCAAGAAGATACTATTTTCAGATAACCTCTCAGAAATTTAGGAAAACTAAAGCCCTCAAACTAAAACTATATTCTTCTGTTAAGTCTTGGATCCATGATGAAAGAAGCCACAGTTATAGATCTTAAGAATATAAAATTCCTTTAGCATTGGAATAGATCAAACAATAATGGAGTAAACCTCCTAAAATAATGATCAATGGAACACGAAATAGAGGATGCAACTTAAGAATTTCATATAGATTCATGAAAAGGAGTAGAAGAGGATCAATAAATATCACATCAAAAGGAGCAGATCCATGCCTCCATATAGGATGTGCGACATCTTTCGTATGTTCTTTCCAGGTATGTCTGCACGTTCTTCACGAGATCACTTGCAAATTTAGGCATTGCTTGAGCCCAACCAAGCACCTGCAATAAGAGAGAGTCATCAAATTGCAACATCCCACTATAGAGTTGTAGGAGCCACTCAATAACAGGAAAGCTTCACTGTCCACAGCTTGCCAATACTCTGGAGCTAATGCACAAGAAGCCAAGGTGAAAAGAGAGCAATAATGCTTGCCTCTTTTGCAAGGAAATCAATTGCCAAGAGTCCCTGCAAGACAGGCCGACCTTTCTCGACGGATGGGGTGTAAGTAGCTGCTGCTGCAGACCGCGGTCGAAATGCAGCTGGACCTGTGTTGAAGTCATGAAATAAGATAGAAACAAACAACAGAAGTAAGCTTTCTCGAGATATCTGACACTTGAACTGTGAACAACAAAATTGCCATTCGAAAGGGTCAATTGCAACTTCATTCCTTGGGTTCTCTTGATACAACTCCATATTAAGGTTTACTATGGTTTTACATCTTTGTGCATTAGGTTCTCATGCTTCAATGTCAAACGGCAAATCAACTATGCCAGCACGAATAACTAATCCAGTTTTCAGTTTTCACGAGCAGTTACATGAGGCCATACTGTAAAGTCCACTTCAGAAAAAGGTAGCTGGGTAATTGGATAGAATTTAGTACAATATTATCTATGGAAAAAAAGTGACAAAAACACATCCATACAATCACAACTTCTTCTCCTAAAGAAAATCTTAAGCAAGGCAACACAAAATGAAGCAGC